GTCTGCAATAACCACAACACAAGCAGTCAAAATGCAAACAAAAAGACAACTCTGATAATAATATGCACTGTCCTTGAATTTATTTTTGTTTGCATTTTGACTGCTTGTGTTGTCTTTGGTTCTTTCGGTAAAGTCACGTAGAATGAGAATAAAATAATAAATTGATAAAATAAAATAACACAATAATATTCTCACGACGTTTCGGCCACAACACAAGCGGCCTTCATCAGGTGAAGGGACGAGACTGTCTGGAGGACAGCGCTGGAGTGAAAAAGCCACGCTCAGATCGCGACCTTTAAGCTGTGTGAGAAGAAACAGCGCCTTGACAAAGGAATTAGCATAGAATTTAGCATTGAAATGGCTGAGTGATTAGCTTGTGACTGGTCACAGAAATGGCTATGTTAAAGTTAAAGCATACACATCCGCAGAGGCACCCCTTGACAAAGGAATTAGCATAGAATTTAGCATTGAAATAGCTAAGTTAAAGCATACACATCCGCAGAGGCACTCCTTGACAAAGGAATTAGCATAGAATTTAGCATTGAAATAGCTGAAGTGATTAGCTTGTAGCTGGTCACAGAAATAGCTATGTTAAAGTCAGAGCATACACATTCACCGAGGCACCTAGTACAAATCAAACAGGAGAATTTAGCATTGAAATAACTAGGCGAATTTAGCATTGAAATAACTGAGTGATTAGCTTGTGACTGGTCACAGAAATGGCTATGTTGAAGTCAAGGCCTCCACATCTGAGCTATTCACAGTAACTGGGTATACACTACAATATATAATGAATAATATATAGTGAACCAATAAAAACTGAAATATAAATTATCTCAATGTTATCAATAAACTCTATATATTCTCCAATCAGCTAAGCTACCAACAATAAGTCGTTATATATCACAATGCTATATGGCGAAAAAATGGGTGGATTCTTATCCTCAACTTTAGCAACACGGATAGCTACGGGCCCCGTTCAGACGGACGAGTTCATCCATGGTCGGAACAGAGGAGGGGGAGAGAGACAGCTGCGAGGCGCTGTTATACTAAATGTTGTAAACCATACCATTAACCGTGGTGTGAGAGGTATTAAGAGTCAATGCCAGCGAAAGAGCTGCGATCTGAAGGTCATCGTAAAATACAATTAATTAAGAACGGAAATGGTTTAAAACATCTTTCCAATGGTTACTAAGCCAGAATCCATCTTCTCGGTTGAAATTGTCTCTGTGCTTGTATATGTGAATGGCCTCATGAACGAATCTCTCATGGTAGCCGGTTGGTTTGCAAAGAACCTCCGTCTTGGAGAAGTCAATGTCATGTGAGCCCACTGAATTATAACAGTGATCTGCCATGGCAGAGAAGTTCGTTCTACCGTGTTTCAAGTCTGCTTTATGTTCGCGGATGCGGTCCGAGATATGTCATTTGGTTTCTCCAATGTAGCTACTACCACAGAGGCACTTTAGTAGGTAAACACCCGGGTACTGTATGTCTGGAACAGAATCTTTTACAGATGGAACTAGATCACGGATTTTATGTACTGTGTTGAATCAGACCTGGATCTTGTGTTTATTCAGGATTTTGGAGATCTTTTTAGTGACCCCTGCAATGTAGGGTAAGGTGATGGTTTTGAGTGGCTCTACAAGAGGATCCTTCTTCATGACTGGAGTGATGGCTTTGCGGATTGTGTAGTCGGAGTAACCATTAGCCCTGAGAGCCTGGTGTACGTGCTTGAATTCACTGGTAATGTGTTCCTGGTCGGAAATGCATTGGGCTCTATGGTATAGAGTCTTGATGAGGGAGTTCTTCTGGGATGGATGGTGGTGGGAATCCGGTTTCAAGTAAGCATCTGTATGGGTAGCTTTCCTGTAGACAGAGTGGCTCGTTGAACCATCATGTCTCCTTTTAATTAAGACATCCAAAAAGGGTAGTTTGCCATCTTTTTCGACCTCCATGGTAAATTTGATGACTGGGTGTATGGAATTGATGTGGTCACGGAATTGGTCTAGAGCAGGCTGGCCATGTGGCCAGATGACAAAGGTGTCATCCACGTACCTCTTCCATAAGGTCGGGCGTAGACTGGCAGTCTGGATGGCGTCAGTTTCAAATTGTTCCATGAATACGTTAGCTACAACCGGAGATAGGGGGGAGCCCATTGGGGTGCCCTCAGTTTGTTTGTAGAAAGTTCCATTCCAGGTGAAGTATGTGTTGGTTAAGCAATGTCTCACCAGGGGGGGTACATCAGTATGCAGTCCTTGATGAACCAGGTCTTCAATGATAGCGATGGTGTCAGGTACCGGGACTTTGGTGAACAAGGACACCACATCAAAACTGACAAGCAGGTCGTCTGGGGACAGGGAAATGCCTTTGATTGTCGATACCAGGTGAGTAGAATTTAGTACCGCAGAGGTGTTTTTTCCAGTGAAAGGTCGCAGTCTATCAGCAAGAAAACTTGCCAGTTTATAGGTGGGGGAGTTGATAGTAGAGACGATGGGACGAAGGGGTATATCTTCTTTGTGTATCTTTGGAAGGCCATATAATCTTGGTGGTCTGGCAGCAGAGGGTTTCAACGAGAACTGTTTTGTCTCATCAATTAATGCTGTTGAATCAGAGATGATTTTGTTCGTTTTGGTAACCAGGCTGTTGGTGGGATCTCTTTTTATTTTTGTATAGCTGCCATCATTGAGTAGTTCTTGAATTTTGTTGTTATATTCTGTTTTGTCTATGATGACAGTGGCATTGCCCTTGTCAGCTGAGAGGACGACAATATCATCTCTCTTTTTTAATTGAGATAATTCAAAACGTTCGTCTTTGCTGATGTTGCTGGGTGGCAACTTAGCGTTTTGAGGGTTGCAGCGATTTCAGATCTTGCTACGTCTGCAGAGATGTGACTCAAGCCCTTGAGTGCAACGTCGACATGGGCAATGATATCATTAACCGGTAAGTGTCTCGGTGTGACACCAAAGTTTAGACCTTTAGCTAAAACGGATTTCAGACCATCAGAAATGGAACTGTTACTGCGATTAATTACGACTTTGTTGACATCTATCTTTTCGGTGTGTGGATCCGATTTTTTGTTGGAGAGGTGATTGAATTTGGAAATCAAATTGTCCTTACATTTGGTCGACATAGTGGCAGCTGAAGAGGTAGTCATATTGTCTACATGTTCCCAATCCGATGTAGACATTGTTGCTGTCAATGTTAAGTGTGATTTGTAGAGTGTCTTGTCTAACTGATCGAGTTCGGTGCGTGTAAGTCCGATTTTTTCCGAGATAAGAGCGAAGCTAGTTCTAGCTAGAATTCGTTTTGCATTGAGAGAAGTTGCAGCAGCAGAGGTTAGTGTAAATGCGGTTGGTATTACCTTAGAGTCGCGGCATCTCTTCAGAAAGGTGAGAGACTCGATTAGTTGAGCCTTCTTATCCCGGAGTCTGTTGAATGATCTTAAGGTTGTGTGGAATCCCTCTCCGTAGAGGCAGTTAAATTTAGATTTAAAGCTTTCGTGACTGCAAGGATTCATCTTCTTTGGTTCTTTCGGTAAAGTCATGTAGCATGAGAATAAAATAATAAATTGATAAAATAAAATAACACAATAATATTCTCACGACGTTATTGCAGACATGATGCCTTGAATAAAGATGTCAGTTTTTTGTGCCAGTTAAAAGGGTAAAACCTATAACTATTTGATTATTAAAATTTACGAAGGTCACCTTTTATTTATTCTATGAAGGAGCATTTTGCTTCTCCATGGGAGAATGGAGAAGTGTAAATTTTGAAAAAATTTTGAATGATTGTCATTAAACATTTTGATTCTAATGATTCTACCAGGGCTTTTAATTCTGTGGAATGAATGTGATTGTTATAATTGTACTCTCCATTTATCTTCGTTCTACTACAAAGTTTTTTTCATAGTTATGATTACTTTTAATCTTTTAAAATTATAAGAGAATTTCAATATAACATTCTGAACATCTGCAGTTTTAGTTAGACATTGAATATTTTCAAGTGAATTTTATGCTAAATTTAAGCTTTCCAACGCCTCATTTTTAATGTTTTCTCCTACAACATCAGAGTGCAGCGCCACATTAAATACGCACTACAATGACAATAGTTTAAAGAGATTTGAAGCACTTTTTATTTTCAAAATGGAAATGTTTTTTTGGGGGGGGGGGCAGAGCTTTGTGACGTCATATTTGAGGGGGGTCTGACTTTTCGTGACGCCGTGTGACGAGGGGGGGATTGGGGGGGGGTCAAAAATCGCCCAAAATCGCGTGACGTCATTTACGGACGGCCCCTTGAGTGAACAGGACACTATGCATGCGCATGATGCGGGCCCTTTGATCTTTACTCTTTGATGTGTATTAAAATAGCCGTACCAATGGTAATCCCTATTGAAAGTATGGTGCCCTGTATAAGGCACGCATTTTAAACAACGTCTTATTTGACGATTCGCTTCCACACAGCACTGAGTCGGTGGCTATCCGAACGGTTAAAATTATTTGTACTGTTTTTTTCAATTTCGATAGATTCTATAATTAGTCTTGGCCAGTAGTAGCTAGTTTTTGCACAGAACTTGGACATTATCAACATCAATTGAGCAATTGAGCGTCCTTGATATTGGTCGCGAAAGCCGACGTTGTGTTGTAACGTTGTGTCTTTCGATTTAAAGCTTTGGTGACTGCAAGGATTCATCTTCTTGGTTCTTTCGGTAAAGTCACCACGTAGAATGAGAATAAAATAATAAAATAACACAATAAAATTCTCACGACGTTTCGGCCACAACGCAAGCGGCCGTCTTGTTGTCTTGCGTTGTGGCCGAAACGTCGTGAGAATTTTATTGTGTTATTTTATTTTATTAATTTGTTATTTTATTCTCATTCTACGTGACTTTACCGAAAGAACCAAAGACGATAACGTCGTGTCGTCGAGTCCCTTTGACGCGGAAACGAGGAGATGACGTCATTTCGCGACAGGTAACGAAGTGACGTCACGGCGCCAGACAATGCCCCCCTTCCCCGCGCGTGACGCATTAACCGCGGTCGGGTGATCTAAACAATGACGTCACATCCGCAACAGGTGATAACGGAAGTGACGTCGTCTCCAACCAGGTGAGCGAAAAAGAGGTGAGTGCGCGGGAGAGGTGAGGGCGAGAGGTGAGTGCCGGTGAGAGTGAGGTGAGGGGAGGTGAGGTGAGGGCGAGAGGTGAGAGTGAGGAGAGGTGAGGGGAGGTGAGGGGAGGGCGAGAGGTGAGTGCCGGTGAGAGTGAGGTGAGGGGAGGTGAGGTGAGGGCGAGAGGTGAGGGCGAGAGGTGAGAGTGAGGTGAGGGGAGGGCGAGAGGTGAGTGCCGGTGAGAGTGAGGGGAGGTGAGGGGAGGTGAGGTGAGGGCGAGAGGTGAGAGTGAGGAGAGGTGAGGGGAGGTGAGGGGAGGGCGAGAGGTGAGTGCCGGTGAGAGTGAGGGGAGGGCGAGAGGTAAGGGTGAGGGCGAGAGGTGAGGGCGAGAGGAGGTGAGTGCCGGTGAGAGTGAGGTGAGGGCGAGAGGTGAGGGCGAGAGGTGAGGGCGAGAGGTGAGGGCGAAAGGTGAGGGCGAAAGGGGAGGTGAGGGGAGGGCGAGAGGTGAGTGCCGTTGAGTGAGGGGAGGTGAGGGCGAGAGGTGAGAGGTGAGGGCGAGGGGTGAGTGCCGGTGAGAGTGAGGCGAGGTGAGTGCGTGAGGCGTCGTGAGGAAACTTGCTGTGCCCCCGGTGTCGCTTGGTTGGCGCGGGAAGGACCGGGTGGGGGAGGGGGGCGGAAAGAACACAACCACAACATAACCTCGTCTGTAACCACAAACCTTACCTCGTCTGTAACCACAAACCTAACCTCGTCTGTAACCACAAACCTCACCTCGTCTATAATCACAAACCTCACCTCGTCTGTAACCACAAACCTAACCTCGTCTGTAACCACAAACCTCACCTCGTCTATAACCACAACCCTAACCTCGTCTATAACCACAAACCTAACCTTGTCTATAACCACAACCCTAACCTCGTCTATAACCACAAACCTCACCTCGTCTGTAACCACAAACCTAACCCCGTCTGTAACCACAACCCTAACCTCGTCTATAACCACAACCCTAACCTCGTCTGTAACCACAACCCTAACCTCGTCTGTAACCACAAACCTAACCTCGTCTGTAACCACAACCCTAACCTCGTCTATAACCACAAACCTAACCTCGTCTATAACCACAACCATAACATAACCCGTCTGTAACCACAACCCTAACCTCGTCTACAACCATAACATAACCTCGTCTGTAACCACAACCCTAACCTCGTCTATAACCACAAACCTAACCTCGTCTATAATCACAAACCTTACCTCGTCTGTAACCACAAACCTAACCTCGTCTGTAACCACAACCCTAACCTCGTCTGTAACCACAACCCTAACCTCGTCTATAACCACAAACCTAACCTCGTCTATAACCACAAACCTAACCTCGTCTATAACCACAAACCTAACCTCGTCTATAACCACAACCCTAACCTCGTCTGTAACCACAACCCTAACCTCGTCTATAACCACAAACCTAACCTCGTCTATAACCACAAACCTAACCTCGTCTATAACCACAACCCTAACCTCGTCTATAACCACAACCCTAACCTCGTCTATAACCAAAACCCTAACCTCGTCTGTAACCACAACCCTAACCTCGTCTATAACCACAACCCTAACCTCGTCTGTAACCACAAACCTTACCTCGTCTATAACCACAACCCTAACCTCGTCTGTAACCACAAACCTAACTTCGTCTATAATCACAACCCTAACCTCGTCTATAACCATAAACCTAACCTCGTCTATAATCACAAACCTAACCTCGTCTATAACCACAACCCTAACCTCGTCTGTAACCACAAACCTAACCTCTTCTAGAATCACAAACCTTACCTCGTCTATAACCACAACCCTAACCTCGTCTATAATCACAAACCTAACCTCGTCTATAACCACAACCCTAACCTCGTCTGTAACCACAAACCTAACCTCGTCTGTAACCACAAAACTAACCTCTTCTAGAATCACAAACCTAACCTCGTCTATAACCACAACCCTAACCTCGTCTATAACCAAAACCATAACATAACCTCGTCTATAACCACACACCTAACCTCGTCTATAATCACAAACCTTACCTCGTCTATAACCACAACCCTAACCTCGTCTGTAACCACACACCTAACCTCGTCTATAATCACAAACCTTACCTAACCCATCTATAACCACAACCCTAACCTCGTCTGTAACCACAACCCTAACCTCGTCTGTAACCACAACCCTAACCTCGTCTGTAACCACAAACCTAACCTCGTCTATAATCGCAAACCTTGCCTAACCCATCTATAACCACAACCCTAACCTAACCCATCTTTAATCACAACCCAAACCTAACCCATCGATAACCACAACCCTGACCTAACCTCGTCTATAACCACAACCCTAACCCCGTCTATAGACACAACCCTGACTCTAACCACAACTGTAACTCTAACCCCATCATCTCTAACCCTAATCCCGCCCGTCTATAGACACAACCCTAACTACAGTTTAATGACAACCCTAGCCCCAACTGTAAATATGTAACACTAACCTTAACCCCCACTCAAACCCAACCCTAACCACAACCCCAACCAGAGCCTCAACAATAACCCCACAAAACCCAATCCTAACCCAAACCACCAACCCGGATCCCCACCCCAAACCTAAACATAACCCAAACCAATCTATACATCACATCTATCTACCTTCTGTTGATGACAGCATATATGTCCAACTGCCTGTTTTACACTCGCCTATCTGATTAAACACATCATCTGACAACCCAATGAACGCACACAGCACCTGTCCGACTACATGTGACACCTTTAGGGCACAGGGAACCACACCCAACAACGCCCCATCCTCACTGGGTACAGCTGCTGTGCAGATAACCACTGCTATCTACACTTTGTCCCACCAAACATGTCTGCACGATCCTCATGCGCGTTTTTCGCATTGTCTCCCACAGCTCTCCTTTAACGAAAATCAAAGTTATCCTCAGGAGAAAGACGTTGTGGTATTAGACAAGAAGGTGAAAGTGGGCATTAACGAGTTCTAAAGGGAAGTTTCAAGCGAGGCGAGGATGGCCAACTCGGGACTGCAAATGCTGGGCTACGCGCTGGGGATGTGCGGATGGATCGCCATCATCGCCGCCACGGGGCTACCGCAGTGGAGGACGAGTGCCTACGCCGGCGAGGTCATCATCACGGCCGTGAGCATCTACGAGGGGCTCTTCATGAGCTGCGCCTCGCAGAGCACGGGCCAGATCCAGTGCAAGATATTTGACTCCCTCCTCGCGCTGCCCAGTGAGTGCTCGCACAATAAAGACGAATATTCCCCTTCAGCCTGAACAGATTGTTGTGGCAAATTCCATAAGAGAGCACCTGTAAAGGCAATACAGCAAACAAGGAGGTGGTGTGGCTAGCACCATGACCCCACCACCGTTGTGTCCCAGATAGTGACTTGAAATACCACACCAGGTATTCAGTTAGGGCTTAGTTCATCCCGATAAGGCCCAGGACTGATTCAGATATTGATGCTGGCTGTGACCGGTAATCAAACTCTGGTTGCACAGTTCGTAGTGTATTGCGATAACCATGACACTACCACTATCCACATGCGCACACCCACCTTGTGTGGTGTCCAGCGCTCTGTGTTGGTGATGATGATGTCACCAACAATTGCGTCCAATGACTCCTGTGAGCACGCAGGCCATTGGGTGCCTAGTTGTACTTCCATGTGTGTCATTGTTTTTTTCATTTTGGTGACTCAGGTCACTCCTGCAAAAGAGACAATCCTGCTCTCTTGAGTTCTGGTTAAACAAACGAGGTAATGTGTAAAGGGTGAATTTTTTAGGCACAATAATTTATTGTCACCTAGTGGGTGCATGTTTACTAGGGTTGTCGCAATGCATTGCTGCCTTGCCATGATGTTTTGGTCAGGGGGGTTGTTTACCACACTTCAAGCCTGGTCAGCACAGGGCCTAGGAGTGGTTCACATATCAACCACGATTGATGTTAGCCATGGCTGCAAATTGTACTTGGGCCTGGTTCCATAGCACAGTACACTTACCACTGCATCACCATGCCTTTACTAATCCTTGTATAAAATGTTTTAATGTTTGTGTGTGCAGCAAGGGTGCAGATAACCCGTGCGCTGATGATCTGCTCCATCGTGGTGGGTCTTTTTGCGCTGGGAGTAAGTGCCGTCGGCATGAAGTGCACTCGCATGGGATCGGACAACAAAACCCGCAAGAACCGCTTTGCCATCTTGGGCGGAGTGGTGTTCCTCGTTGCCGGTGTGTGCTCACATGTTATGCGTAATGCTGCAGGTCTCCCTTGCAAATAAGATGCATTGTTTTAATGGATTTATTGACAAAAATGGAAACATTTACGAATTGTTCGTGCTTCCATCAGCCACATGGGAAATGATACAGGCCAAAAGGTCAGCTTGGCTACTGTTTTCATTTATCATATAATATAATTAATCAGTGGGTGTGCTCCTGCTCTTACAAGGAAATTCCTTTTTTCACACCCTAACAGGTTACCTTAACAAGATGGCACTATAGTTTCATCTGCAATTATGTTAAAGATAAATAGAAATGTATGCAGTCCGTGCATATAAATTATATACAGTGAGGGAAAAGAGTATTTGATCCCCTACTGATTTTGTACGTTTGCCCACTGACAAAGAAATGATCAGACTATAATTTTAATGGTAGGTTTATTTGAACAGCGAGAGACAGAATAACAACAAAAAAATCCAGAAAAACGCATGTCAAAAATGTTATAAATTTATTTGCATTTTAATGAGGGAAATAAGTATTTAACCCCCTCTCAATCAGAAAGATTTCTGGCTCCCAGGTGTCTTTTATACAGGTAACGAGCTGAGATTAGGAGCACACTCTTAAAGGGAGTGCTCCTAATCTCAGCTTGTTACCTGTATAAAAGGCACCTGTCCACAGAAGCAATCAATCAATCAGATGCCAAACTCTCCACATGGCCAAGACCAAATCTTGTCAGGGACAAGATTGTAGACCTACACAAGGCTGGAATGGGCTACAGGACCATTGCCAAGCAGCTTGGTGAGAAGGTGACAGTTGGTGCAATTATTGGCAAATGGAAGAAACACAAAAGAACTGTCAATCTCCTTCGGCCTGGGGCTCCATGCAAGATCTCACCTCGTGGAGTTGCAATGATCATGAGAACGGTGAGGAATCAGCCCAGAACTACACGGGAGGATCTTGTCAATGATCTCAATGCAGCTGGGACCATAGTCACCAAGAAAACAATTTGTAACACACTACGCCGTGAAGGACTGAAATCTTGCAGCGCCCGCAAAGTCCCCCTGCTCAAGAAAGCACATATACATGCCCATCTGAAGTTTGCCAATTAACATCTGTGATTCAGAGGACAACTGGGTGAAAGTGTTGTGGTCAGATGAGACCAAAATGGAGCTCTTTGGCATCAACTCAACTCGCCGTGTTTGGAGGAGGAGGAATGCTGCCTATGACCCCAAGAACACCATCCCCACCGTCAAACATGGAGGTGGAAACATTATGCTTTGGGGGTGTTTTTCTGCTAAGGAGACAGGACAACTTCACCGCATCAAAGGGACGATGGACGAGGCCATGTACCGTCAAATCTTGGGTGAGAACCTCCTTCCCTCAGCCAGGGCATTGAAAATGGGTCGTGGATGGGTATTCCAGCATGACAATGACCCAAAACACACGGCCAAGGCAACAAAGGAGTGGCTCAAGAAGAAGCACATTACGGTCCTCGAGTGGCCTTGCCAGTCTCCAGACCTTAATCCCATAGAAAATCTGTGGAGGGAGCTGAAGGTTCGAGTTGCCAAACGTCAGCCTCGAAACCTTAATGACTTGGAGAAGATCTGCAAAGAGGAGTGGGACAAAATCCCTCCTGAGATGTGTGCAAAACCTGGTGGCCAACTACAAGAAACGTCTGACCTCTGTGATTGCCAACAAGAGTTTTGCCACCAAGTACTAAGTCATGTTTTGCAGAGGGGTCAAATACTTATTTCCCTCATTAAAATGCAAATCAATTTATAACATTTTTGACATGCGTTTTTCTGGATTTTGTTGTTATTCTGTCTCTCACTGTTCAAATAAACCTACCATTAAAATTATAGACTGATCATTTCTTTGTCAGTGGGCAAATGCACAAAATCAGCAGGGGATCAATTACTTTTTTCTCTCACTGTATTTGAATGCATATAGACATACCGACTACCGATAATGAGCTGTTTATTGTTGAAAATGAATAGATGATGTTTTTAAAAAGTCCATAAAGCCACCGGAAAATGTGTTCACGAAAGATTGTGAGTTTCTCAAACTTCCAGGGCGGCATGAATTTTAGGATCCACGGATTATTGGAGTGCATCTTTTTTGAGTTCTGTATATGGAACATTATTTTTACCCATGTAATGCAATGATGCCCTTATATTTCATGGCACTCAAAATGTATGAACAGTAAGGTATAATTTAGCTTTTAATTATGTTACATGGTAATGAAATTGTCCAACTGAATTTAAAAATTATTTCCAGCTGTATCTTATATTTTATAGAATCATGGCTCTAGTTCATTGATTTATAAAATGTCTTTTTTGTTTTATTATAACAGACCTCTGCTCATGTGTGAATGTGTGTGTGTACTCGTGTGTTTTAGGGCTGTTGTGTCTGAGTGGCACGTCTTACTACGCTGCGGAAATTGCGCGGGAGTTCTACAGTCCCTTGACGCCTGTACAGGCCAGGTGAGTGTTTATGTAGTCACAGGTGAGTGTGTGCTGTGCCACACATATAGCTACTCCATAAGCCAGGATAAAAATGATTGCTTGTGTTACCCACTTTTTGCTGCTACACAATCACCTTAGCATTTGCCTTGCCACTCAGTGTTTGATGGCTATTGCCCAAAATGTAGCCTTTTGTGTATTTTTGCCTATTATATATTTTTAAACGTTTGTTGAATTTCTTTTGCAACGTACGTAGCCAACCGTCCTAAATCGTCCTTAAATAATGAAAAAAAGATTCAAAACTAATTTAGAAAGATTTTACCAGCTAGCATTTTTAAGCTACCTGTGTCATACCTTGACGCACATACGTGTGTGTGAATTCTTGTTCCAGGTATGAGTTTGGACAGGCTCTGTTTGTGGGCTGGGTTGGTGCTTGCCTCGTGCTCATGGGCGGCGCCTTCCTGTGCTGCTCCTGCAGCTCCAAGCCTTCGGGGAAGAAGTCGCGGCCACGTGGCCCCCCACGGCACGGGCCCCCCAGATCAAAGGGCTCTGGCAGGACAGATTATGTGTGATGTGAGGTGTGAGTGGGTGATGAGAGTGGCATGCTCCCAGCTACTCACACATGCTTAGTTATTTTATGCATCATGCTTTTTTAAAAGTGCGTTTGGATGTTCATTTATAAGTTGTAATGAGTTAAATGCATGCAAATTTCCCAAAAATGTTCATATGTAATTACGATTCTGACGTGATTGAGTTTTAGTTGGACTGTAGGTAGGTTCTGTTGATAAAGCACGTTATGCACAACTTATGCGAGTACGCTTTAGACAGTACCACATTCGCATACGTGAGCCTGGAGGCAGTGGTATAGGAATAAGCTGTTATCATGCAATTGGTGTATTCATGTTTATTAGTTATTCATTTAAGTCTGATTGATGTTCTGGTAAAAATGTCAGTAATTGGTGAAAAAGTGGCCGGGTGTCCATGACTAGTTACAGATTGGGCCATTTCTATCAAAAATCTGCAGAAAATTCCACTAACACTTTTGAATCAAATCCTTCATTAACAAAACAACTGCTTAGCCAATGCATAATATCAAAGTTAATGATTTTCACTGAAGATTTATCATAAGATTCTTTCTTGTGCAAGCTTTTTTCATTATTAGGCATGTGAAATGCTCAAAAAATTTATATGGAAAGTTATTGGAGACAATGGAAGACAACACCCGAATAAACATTACTCAGTGCTATTATATTACATCAGAAAGACATTATCGATCCACAATATAGCAGCAGTTTATATTTTCTTCTAAAAGTAAATGGCAATTCACTAAAATTCTGGCTACGGGCCACAGCTGCGTATAGTTTTCAAATGCTTCTGTATGTGGCGAGTGCTTTTGTCGCATATGCAGACACTTCTGTCATGCACTGTGCATTTTTAACACAGCCAGTTTTACTATGACTCCAACGCGACTGACACTACATGTGGGCACGATACCTCAAAAGTCATGCAACTTTACATTTCAGTTCATTTTCTCATGAATGGAGCCTCATACTTTTGTCAGACGGCCTGGACCTCAGAGCCTAAATGTGTTAAAAAGCAGTTGTCTCGTTGGATTGCGAAGTCTTTCATTAAGATGGGCTGACGTCTTATTTCTTAATGCTTTAGTGTCGCATACTTGCAAGCGTGAAATGTGAAAATTAACCATGCTATAATTCGGCATATACATTTTTTCTGTATTATTCCACAACGAGGTATGCTCTATAATAAATTTCAGCCGTGTAAGTTCACTGCTAGATGAAGGCCTCCCCATTCCGCGTTAATCAGGGAGGCTGTTTGATCATACTTCGCAACACTTTTCAGTATGGATTGCTGAAGAGGAGTTTCCAGGTCTGGTTCAGGTATCACTCCCTGATGTTAGCCATGAGCAGGAATAGAATTTTTAGTAACTGGGTTCTGAGGAGTCCGCTAGCCACTCTGCCACCGCTCCCTTTGTTATACAATGTAAATTATTACATCATTTATTTTTTAAGGGTTTATTGTTAAGTATATATGAAATTGTAAATGCTTGAAAAAAATTCACTACAATCTAGAAATGTGGATTTACAAACAATGGATTTGTTGAAAAATTACTGCACATTTTCAGTGTAAACATTAACAAAATAGAAAATTTTCCAAGCATTTTAATTCAAATATATAATTTGCAATTGTTCACTATCCCATTTTCTATATCAGATTCATAGCAGGATGGGGAAAAAATCGAATTCATAGCTGGACTTGAAGCCACATCATGGAGTAGTCCCAAATTTGACACCACAATTTATTTCAGGTCAATTCAATAGGGTCCTCTTCTCAGTACTAGATGGTGCACCTTAATCTTCTATAATACACGGTTCATCATATTTATAAGTAAATAAGCCAGTGTCTCCCTGCTCAAATTATCATTGGGGGTGGCAGTCGTGCTGGTGAGGGAAGCGCATTGCAATGGTTGGCGCCAGCTGCACCTAGAAAGCCCAATGTTGACATTCCTCAAAGTGTCACATTTATCTGCCACATTGGGGTTTATAGATTGAGTAGGTCCCTGACCAGAATTGATCTTGCAACCTTTGGATTGCGAGTTAAGCAGTCTAACCACAGCATCATTCAATATTTACTTACAACCGTGAACCTTCACAGCCAAGCGAAGCTAATAATGATTGTAGTCCTATGTTGTGCAGACACTGGTGATCATGTTGAGAGCATTGTGCTATCCTCGAAGACCTTGTTTGATCACAGGCGTTTGCCCAGATATACACCTGGGACTTTAGTTGGTGCCAGCTCAGTGCTCTGATGCAGCTATGATGACCTTCATAAGTTACCCGTCCATTTTAAATGTCAGGAGAGTTAACAAAATCACGACTTCTCCATTTTTTTTATTGATGAACACTTCCCCCCCCCCCCCACAGTTATATAAGTGTTGTAGAATGGCAAATGTTTAAAAAAATAAGAGTACATGCATGTTTTATACCTTCTATGATGCATATATTTTGTAATGACTAAACTCACATGAGCCAATTGAATATCTTGATTTGTTTTAAAATGATTTGTGAATTAGATTTTTTATAGTTTATTTTTGTTTGTGGTGATTAATAAAATGAAATTAATCAAATATTGTTATGCTTAATATTTTCTGGCTTTCATTCCACACTCTTGAATTCATTATGGCTAGAGACTGCAGAGCCACGTTTCATAGAATGACTCTTGTGTCAAGTTGGCACATGGCATCCAAAGTATACGAAGGCTTGTGAACAATTCAAGATAATCTGGTGCATGGGCTGTAATATGTATTTTTATCACATACATAAAATGCTGTGTTCACATGCCACGGTCTGTTCCTCAACTTGTTTCCATAGATCCAAAATAACATCATCTGGGGCAAAACGATCATCTCGTGTTCTGGCTAGTGGCACTTACGCATATATACTGGGTAGTTTGGGAGAGGTTTCTGTGTAGGTACATGGCTGTAATATTGATCACAAGTCAATCACGTGCAATCATTAACCAGAAGCGAATGTTTTCGTATGACTCAAAACAGTGCTTGATTACATGTAATCTCCACACTTGTAATTTTGCCTGACATTTAATAAGTACTCAAGTGTATGTTGCAAAATCCGTGTCTTCCACCTTATGAAGAGGTTTTTTTAAAGTTATTAAAAGCAATCATGGTTCTATGTAACATGTAAGGTAAAACTTTGTGAAATATCTTTGTTCTCCAATTGTACAAGAGGTATTCTTGGTACTTTCGGTAAAGTAATTTAGATAGAAGACCGCTTATGTTGCGATTGAAACGTCGTGGATTTTTTGTTTATATTTTATTTGTTAATTTTATTTTTTTTTCCTACCGAAAGAACCAAGAATATGAATTCCTGCAGTCACGAAATCTTTAAGTCAAAAAATGAAAAAGAGGTCTTACCAAACATTACCAATGTAAAGATATAGGTTTTAGGGAAATGGGTCTTCAATCTCTACAACATCCACAACAACCTTGTTAAACGTGTAATACATGTAATAAACGTTATGCAAATCTGTTAGTCACAGCATTTATTCAAGTAATTTTCATTCTAAAGTGAAGTGAAGCCCCAGGGACGCATGGTATTGATGTCCTATGTATGCCCTCAAAAATGTTTGGCAGATTAAGGGAACCCTAATTGAGATCATGAGGCAGAAATAATGAGTAGATTGGTCTGCTGAGTAAGCTGCCTTTGCATTGTATACTGGTTAAGTTGAATACATATCTTTCTGTGATGTTCTGGTCAAGTAAAAATTACAGGTGAAAAAAATATATCCTGTTTTAAGAACAAGAAATGTATCTAGTAATGGAATGTATACAACAGTAAAACGTCGTTATCTGTACCCAATACTAGAACAGAAAGGCAACTGTTGAGTAAGGTGATTTAAATGGACTGCACTGTCATTCTAACTTCCTATGGAGAAATGCACATGACCATAACTTTTCGAAGGTGAACATAACACAAGACCTTGCCCCATCAACTTTGTCTGCAAGGCCTTATTCACATATTAAATTAATTTTCTTCAGCACACACACATTGAACGTGTACACCGTTTCCTTCACACCGTGGTGGAGTTATCGTGTTTGTCTTCATTTTCCACCTTGGGCTTTCGGCACAGATTGAACACGTGGCCACCGTAGTAAACGTGCGTTGTCATCAGCATGTTTGAGGTTGTGTCGGTGTCATCCCTGTCTTTGCCCTCCGCCTCCTGCTCTGGAGACGACGTGAGCGTAATGACAAACACGGCCATGTTGGGCATGCTTTTTTTTGATGGTGGGAGTGGCTGGGCCTCCGGGAAATGGTGATGGTGGTGGCCCTCTGAGGATGTAATCAGCTCCAAGTGCTCCTCCTCGTGCGTCTCGCGCAACATGCCATGAAGACGCGCTGCATTCACAGCATCGACACAAACACGTCTCAATGAAAGCGAGCTTCAGGAAAATGGAAACATTAACTTATTATTATTCCGCTTGTTTATCTAGAAAAGCCTGAGTCTTGTGACCTTTTCAGTAGGCTCCTACCAATTAGTAGGGGGCGATGATTTTATGCAAAAAAAACTAAGTAATTTTACGCCAGCAGAAAATAACCTACTTTTACGAATAACGTCATGTGATCTTTAACGTCCACTGAAGTAGACCGTGTGCATTTTTACGGTTAATGCACTTGCAGTAATAATCAGGGCTGCCACCGGATTCGAATCGCGAACCTCCGAAACAAGCGGCAACCACTGGGGCATGTCACCACTCATAATGATAGAAGAGTTCATTAAATGTATTTATGTATGTTGAACGTCTGTCACAACGTACGTAGCCAACCGCGCTAATGGAATGAATGTGCTGATACAATTAATTTTCATCCATGAAAACCAGCATCTCAAAACTTTAAGGGGGGGTTGTCAATTACATATCAATGGGTGTTTTGCATGATGGGAGAAATTCATATTACCTGGAAAACCCCAAGAATATCAGCTGATACCACTCAAAGGTCCGCACACACTAGTTCATTAACTCATTGTAGAAATATATGCCATCTCCTGGCCATCTTAAGGAGCTTCAGAATCATTTATTTTTTCACACTGGAGGAATCCGATGAGCTATCAAGCTAATCGGATCAAAAACTTTTTGAACATGGTTTTGTTTTTCTCGAATATATCTTGGGCCCCACTTTTCAGCCTTTTTAAACGTTATTTTAACAATTCCTGTATAATTACTGGTTACTATTTCCCCATTTATATTCATGCCCTTATTTCTCAAAGCTTTGGAAAACATATCATGTCGATATTTATAACATTGGGAGTCCTTCATCCAGCAGTGGATAAAACATGGTGGATGAAGTTACCGCTTTACCGGTTACCATTAAAAAACTAAAATTAACTAACCCTGCGCAGGTGATTTACGCAGTATTTGATACTGACCCCGTCGTGAACTCGTGATTTAAGGTAAACGGTGGTTAACCCCCCGCTGGTCACCTTCCACCGCGGTTATTCGCCCTCACCGTGATGATTGGGGGCACTTCCTTCCGATATTCGGAAGCCACCTGAGGCTATGCACTTTTAAATCATCTAGATTGAAAACTAATTTCTTTAGAACAAATTTTCGTGTTCAAATTTCGATTTAAAGCTTTCGTGACTGCAGGGATTCATCTTCTGGGTTCTTTCGGCAAAGTCACGCAGAATGGAGATAACATAATAAAAATAATAACAGAATAAAATTCTCACGACGTTTCGGCCACAACACAAGTAGCCTTCCTCAGGTGAAGAAACAGGACTGTCCGGAAAACAGCGCTTGAGTGAACACTGCCAAGCATGGACAGCGTCTTTTAAGCTGTGTGGGAGGAACAGAGCACCTTGACAAAGGAGTTTACATATAAATTAGCATGTAATTGGGGGATTAGCATAATGTTGGTGTGAGGGATCAGCACCACGGAGAGCGACGAGCTTTGTTCAGACGGACGAGTCCATCTATGTACGGAACGGAGGAGGGGGGAGAGGAGTTTACATATTAACAATAAATTAGCATGTAACTGGGGGATTAGCATGATGTTGGTGTGAGGGATTAGCACCACGGAGAGCGACGAGCTTTGTTCAGACGGACGAGTCCATCTATGTTCCGATTAGCACGGCTGGCTACGTGCGGTGCGAAAGAAGTTCAACATCCACACATACCATATGGAGGCTGCACTGAAACTCTCCGCTGGTTTCCGTCGGGGGCGCTGATGGCGCGATGGAAGAGACGACGGGCGGTGGGTCCTACCCTTGCTGCTGCTCCTCCTCCTCCCGCCTCGACCTCGTGGTGCTCCTCGTGGTGCTCCTCGTGGTGCTCCTCGGTCAGCAGCACGGGCGCAGACTTCTTGCGAGTGTTGAGAGCCATGGCTGCTTCCTAATTGCCACACAACCGCATCCGCTCGCGTTTGAACTCCGAGTTCGCGAGGTCAGCTCGGCAGTGTCTTTCCCAGCCCAAGAAGTGTCGCTGCCTCTCGCCTCCATTCCATCCACGCCGAAATGCGGTCTAGCGCCTCAGTGTTTCAGTTTACATTTATTTGGTATGGCCCTGTGAGCCATTCGGCTCTTGAATCGGGTGCAACCGCAACAAACAAGAAACTAAAACAGGAACAAGAAAAACATCTTAAAGTGACTGTGCGCAAACAGAAAAATCCAGGAAAAAAACAGCAAAAATCTTCCAGAAAAAGCACCGTACACCAACGCTGTGTGCAAAAATCCCAGTGGGATGCAAGTCAAACAACAACAACAACCACAAGACAACTTAGATTAAAGCCATCAGTCTAAAGTGACTGGTGACCAACGAATGGAACGCAACCGAGAGAGAGAGTACGTTCACCGAGAAACTGATTGATAGAATCAGCCCCGTGTGTAGGTGCTAGGTGGAGTATTACTGTGAGAGATGGCGACGACATTCGGGGACGGCTTGGTGCAGCAGTGGATTGAACATGATTAATGATATCTACTGGACTTGTATGTGCGGCATGAAACTTTCATCGCAAATTTATCACAATTTAATGTCACCACGCGCCACGCGGGTACATCTCTAAGCACGTGGAAAATAATTCAACGTGAACCAAATGTGGAACGGACCTATAAACACAACCAATTAATGTACAAAAACAGTTACAATGCACTGTATTGTGAATACCTATGCCGTTGTGCTGAGTGTGGTTCCACACAAGATGTACACGTAGAGCCCTTTTGTCAATCAACTGTTGGAATGAGGGCCTCTCCATGTTGAGTCGTGGGGGTTATTTGACCATACTTTACCACGGTAGTCAGTGTGGGTTGGAAGCGGGGAGCCGTAGACGTGGGAGCATGGGAAGCACAGTACAACTGATTTTGTCGGACTGCCCTCCTCCTCGAAGCTGCCGATGACAACCTTTGCGTGCATGGTAGCCATCCATCATCCATAATATAGGATGTTTTGGGGGATTATATCGCGTAAATATAAATGTGACAAATCTAGCTGTCGCCTGGTGAAGCTAGTTGTAATTACTGGCGAAACATCGTACTCAGATTGAAAATGTTGTGGATTTGCTCTCCAAAACACCGGTGTGCTGTACTAGTAAGGAATTGGCATGTTCTGTTTACGTGACAAACCTTACTAGTTGGCTGTGTTGGGTGGTGGCGGGTTTAACGACACATTAATATTTACGCGATATAACCCGAAAAAAACCCAATGTTATGGATGATATTGGTCACGAAAGCCTACGTGTTAAACTAGCCATCCATCTTCTTGGTTCTTTCGGTAAAGTCACGTCGAAGGGAAACAATAAAATAATAAAAATATAAAACAATACAATTTTCACGACGTTTCGACTACAACACACGCAATCATCATCAGGTGTGAAAACCACAGCTGTCATCATCATGATGATTGCTTGTGTGGCAGTCGAAACGTCGTGATAATTTTATTGTTTTATATTTTTATTCTTTTATTGTTTCCCTTCTACGTGACTTTACCGAAAGAACCAAGAATATGAATCCCTGCAGTCACGAAAGCTTTAAATCAAAATTTAGCCATCCATCGTTAACACTCAAACCCGCTTAGATTCCGAGAACTCACGAGAATGGGTGCATTCCAGCCGATGTAGACACTGGTCACAAAACTATATTCCATTATAGTGTAGGTAGTGGAACACAAGATATCAAACGACGGCACGGGTCACACATCGCAAATATATTTTAAGGCGCAACTCGGTGGGTGTAAAGTGAGCGTAAGAACCAATCATAATCGACGATCGGTATATCACACTCTTGCACGCATATGTGCACTCTTGCAGGTATCTTACGCGCTTTTAGATACTCGCACAAGGAGATCACTAATACTGTATATGTCACTGGTACGAGTGCGTTATCAGCCAGTGGCTATCCACTGCTGGTTTAAGGCCTGCCCACAAATATTGCCATCTTGTATGGTCTTGAGATGCCACAATCAATTTCACTCATAACAATGAACTGATTCCACAGTGATCGCGTTCTCTATAGTATTCCAGATGTCATCCCGTCACCATTCATTCACCGAATGTCAGTTCATTATATACATGGTAAATTAATGGTACATGAGCAAACACATAGCATTAATTCACACTGGTACAAAGGCTGAATTTAAAACAAAATCTCTCGGCTATTTGAATCATGTACAGCATCTTACACACACCATTCTACGAGAATGGCTCACCTGATTGAAGACTCGTCCTGAACTCTTGTGATGACAGGAGTGCGTTGCCAGTACTTGTTAATGATGGGCTGGGATTAGCCTGGGACGAGGTTGAGATGTTGAGATGAGGCTGGGATGGGGCTTGTTAATGATGGGATGGTGCTGAGATAAGACTTGGGGGGAGGTTAGTGTGAGGCTCAGAAGCCCCAGCTGAGGAGTCGAGCCTGCGCTTTGTAGCAAGGGGAGTAGGCGTCATCTGATCCCCCGCCTCCCACGTGAGTTTGTCGGCACTACACGTGGCTGAACGCGCACGTTTGTGGGGTAAACAAGGGGCCCGTGCGTGTTCGGTAAACATCAACACGGGGCCCTGTGTGTGGGGTAATCACAAAAAAACGGGCCAATGTGTTTGGAATAAATGCGAAACACGGGGGCGCTGTTTATGAGACAAACACGAAACACGAGGCCTCTGTGTGTGGGATAAACAAGAATCACCGAGCATCAGCTGAGCTGACCTTGCAAAGCGTTGTAGCTGCAGCACGAAACTGGCTAATGAGGACAACAGACTTAAGGGATGTGCGGCGTGACGCAATATTACAAATTAAAGTGAATTTATATTGAGTCTATTTCCGAGTGTCTCTATGGTCCAGCGAGTGTGGAGGCGGTTCTAATTCCCATTGGTGGCCCTCAACGAGTGGTAGAGATAACGTCACTGTGGCGGGGATCATGCCACGAAGTGTTGCTCACTATCCAATAGATAACTACTCAATAGAGTATTTTGATTGCATTTCATTATTACCTGATTAGAGTATTGTGGCATTATCCATGATATCTGTTTGATAAATCCACACGACTCGATTAAGTATAATAAATGCGGAAAGCCATATGCAGATATAATTATGGCCAGGGTCGGCAACCTGCGCGTTCGGAGCCGCATGCGATTCTTTAAGGACCGCTTAGTGACATTATCCACATGTATTGCGGCTCTTGAAATATAGAGTTTTGATCGAATTAGAAAAAAATGTTGTTATTCTGGTTGCAGATACACGATAGCAATATCTTTAAACGGTAACATGTATTATGCATAGCTTACTGCCTTTAAAATGACCTTGAAAAATGTGTGTAACAGATGGTTATATTTACCAAACATCCAGTGTGAAACATTAAACAAGAACATTTTACACCAATCATAGAGCGTGTTTTAAGAGAGGAAAAACTGCGTGAAAATAGCCTAGGTTTTTTTAAAATTCTAAATTGGGGTAAATGAAACGAGGCCATGTTTGTGACAATAACAGGTCCTATGTGGACACAGAGGGTGAACGCGACGTGAAGTGAGACGACCGCCCGTGTCTCGGGGCTGCCAGTGGCTCATCGGGTGAGCAGGCAGAGGACGGTGGGCTCGCCTGTGGAAGGCTCACAACCCAATGGGCTGCGTGGGGTCCAATCTACACCACCACGTGGCCCCGGGGGTAGGGTGGAGGAGAGCCGTTCAAACAGCTACATCACCCATGATAATAATCGGTGTTCTCGCATCCACTAAACACATATTTCTCAATTCAGCCTTAGTGTAGTCTCAAAGCTCTGCCGTATACTGCGGGAAAGTTAAACAAAATGGCACAAGATTTCGGTACAAAATAATTCCTGTCACCCCACCACAGATGCCAATTTTCCCAGAACTACCCGCGGGGTCAAACCCAGCCGGGTGCTACAAAATATTAGACTAATTGTGGGACGTCGGTGGTTGGTGGTGCAATCCGGTAGAAATCGTGAATGTGGAATGTCCTGTTGCCCCAGAGCAGCCGCGTGGCTCGTGCGAGAATTGTGGTTTCCGTGAGGCCGGTTAATGCCCCCCTCGCACGGCCTAAAACGTGGCATAGCCGGCCCCACTTTGACCTCCACGCTCCCGCCGCCCACCTCCAGCCAAAGCGAGGCAAGCTGTCACCGGCCTCTAGGGCCCAAATTGTGCGGCTTTGATGGCCCAGGGGGATGTGTGTGTCTGGGGGGCCGGGGGGCCGGGGGGGGGGAGGCCTCCACGTGGTGTTTTGTGCGGAGCGCGCCACGTCACGGGGCCAGTGCTGGTGGAGGGCGGGGGGGGGGCCGCGGGGGTTCAGAGCGGGTGGGGTGGGGGGCGGGGGGGGGGGGCGTCTCTTAGCAACGAGGCGACGCCGAGATTGCCGGTAACCTAGGGGACGCGCGCCACCCGCACGGAGAGGCGAGAGAACGGCGGTCGGTCACCACGGGAAGGTAACGTCAGAATCATCACTTTAAAATAAATAAATAGATACAGTAATACACCTTGAGGAATCTGTTGAGCTGTGAAGCTCTTTTGCACAGATGTGCTCTCCAAGTGCTCTGGAGAGTCCTTCACGAGCCTCCTCCGCAGAGGCCGATCTTTACACGGATACATACAGTACACAACCCACACACATACACACATAGTACCTAAACTTTACACATACACACAGTACCTAAACTTCACAGATACATACAGTACCTAAACTTCACAGATACATACAGTACACAACCCACACACATACACACAGTACCTAAACTTTACACATACACACAGTACCTAAACTTCACAGATACATACAGTACCTAAACTTCAGATACATACAGTACCTAAACTTCACACAGATACATGCAGTACACAACCCACACACACAGTACCTAAACTTCACACAGATACATACAGTACACAGCCCACACACACACAGTACCTAAACTTCACACAGATACATACAGTACACAACCCACACACACACAGTACTTAAACTTCACACAGATACATACAGTACACAACCCACACACACAGTACCTAAACTTCACACAGATACATACAGTATACAACCCACACACATACAGTACCTAAACTTCACACATATACATACAGTACACAACCTACATACACACAGTACCTAAACTTCACACAGATACATACAGTACCTAAACTTCACAGATACATGCAGTACACAACCCACACACACATACACACAGTACCGAAACTTCACACAGATACATACAGTACCTAAACTTCACACAGATACATACAGTACCTAAACTTCACACAGATACATACAGTACACAACCCACACACACATACAGTACCTAAACTTCACACAGATACATACAGTACACAACCCACACACATACAGTACCTAAACTTCACACAGATACATACAGTACCTAAACTTCACACAGATACATACAGTACACAACCCACACACACATACAGTACCTAAACTTCACACAGATACAGTACCTAAACTTCACACAGATACATACAGTACACAACCCACACACATACAGTACCTAAACTTCACACAGATACATACAGTACGCAACCCACACACATACAGTACCTAAACTTTACACATACATACAGTACCTAAACTTCACACAGATACATACAGTACACAACCCACACACACGTACAGTACCTAAACTTCACACAGATACATACAGTACAAAACCTACATACACACAGTACCTAAACTTCACACAGATACATACAGTACCTAAACTTTACACATACATACAGTACCTAAACTTCACACAGATACATACAGTACACAACCCACACACACAGTACCTAAACTTCACACAGATACATACAGTACACAACCCACACACACAGGACTCAAACTTCACACAGATACATGCAGTACACAACTCAAACACACAGTACCTAAACTTCACACAGATACATACAGTACACAACCTACATACACACAGTACCTAAACTTCACAGATACATACAGTACCTAAACTTCACACAGATACATACAGTACACAACCTACACACATATTACCTAAACATCACACAGATACATACAGTACACAACCTACATACACATAGTACCTAAACTTCACACAGATACATACAGTACACAACCTACACACACACACAGTACCTAAACTTCAGATACATACAGTACACAACCTACATACACACAGTACCTAAACTTCACACAGATACATACAGTACCTAAACCTCACACAGATACATACAGTACACAACCTACATACACACCGTACCTAAACTTCACACAGATACATACAGAATATAAACTACGCATACATACAGTACATAAACTACACAGATACACGCAGTACATAACCAACATACAGATACAAGTATATAAATTACACGTACAGTGCGTCAACTGCAGCCATGCAGACAGTACACAGAGATACACACTGAGCTACACAGTACTGTACATAAACAGTACAATTAAAAACATACATCTAGCACAGTACTTAATACTGGTAGGAACTTCCTGGTTACACCACCAGCCCACGGGGGATTATTGTGTCCGTCTGTCCGTCGTGCATCCAAAAATGGGAGGGGTGGGGCTGGGTGGAGAGGGTGGGGAGGGCGGGGAGGGGCTGGGTGTGGAGGAGCTGGGTGGAGAGGGTGGGGAGGGTGGGGCTGGGTGGGGGGTGGAAGGGGTGGGGCTGGGTGGGGAGGGGCTGGGTGTGGAGGGGCTGGGTGGGGCGTGGAAGGGGTGGGGCTGGGTGGGGAGGGGTTGGTCACCCCGTGGTGCCCTTATAAAACTCAACGTTTAACCTACTCACGCCGGCTTGTGCCCGCCCTCACAGTCGGGCATATTTGTGGAATACACCACGTGGTGGTGCCGCCGTTGACCCTGGCCATTGACCGAGCAACCCAACGTTCCTACCAGCTCCCTCCACAGGAGAATGTGTTTTATTTGACGCGCTGTGATACAGTACATAGAGGTATACTGCCACACTGAGATATGCTACTACACGCCGAGACGTAAATGGAGTTATTTTTTACCCACTAAAATACACAAATACATTTACTGTATCTCAGGACCACAGAGATACAGATGCTCATCAGACACCTCACTCACAAAAAAAAACCACTACATTCACTTGACCCTCACCAGACGCTCAATCTAACACCACTCACTGATGTACTCTTATATAAGCGCACAACTTTATCTATCTGTGATGAACGCTATCACTTTCCGTCATTTTCATGAACGACGGTACGCAGGGACAGACGATCGATCACGTTGGAATCGATCTGCAGACGGCGGTCTTCTCGAACGGCCAGCAGCGCTATGTCGCCTTATCACGATCCCGAACCCCCAGCAAGGCCATCTTCTTAACGACGAGAGAAAATTCACACGAAATGTCCTTTTCAATTAAGTCTTCTATATTTAAAATGATTTCAGCTTTTAATGAAGAAATACAATTATCTCATTCTAAACAATATAATTCAAAGATGCTTCATTTTAAAACTTCAAAACGGAGCATCGGGTGCTTGCGTGAATGCATCGTTCGTAGTATTCTATAGTTACACTCACCGGACACCATCAGCAGATCCCTCCAGCTCAAGTGCTATGTGCTGTTTAGGTGACAGTACACCAGTTGCTACAGTCTACATTATAGACTGCCAGTACGCTCACTGAGGTTAACAACCAGGCTACAATCTACATTATAGACTGCCAGTACACTCACTCCAATTAATAACCAGGCTACAATCTACATTATAGACTGCCAGTACACTCACTCCAATTAATAACCAGGCTACAATCTACATTATAGACTGCCAGTACACTCACTCCGATTAAAAACCAGGCTACAGTCTACATTAATGTTTTTTGTTTTATTTTTTTTTGATCATTTTTCATGCTTTTATTTATTATATATTTTCTATCTGCGTGACTTTACCGAAAGAACCAAAGACTAAATAGTACACCACTCAACGGTCACAGATGACATCAAGGCCAAATAGCCTATGTCCCTGGATTATTCTGTATCGAATAAGCCCTTACTAGACCCTGTGCAAATGAATACAGGACTCAAGGAAATGCTTTGACAAGTTTCCTAAATACTGTATATATTGTAGATGTACCGTGTTTGAGACTTTTTTGTGAAAGATACATACACATAAACAATGGTATCTTCTGTTTTCAAGTGAGATATAAGGAGGGATGTTCAGTTTTTCTTGGAGATCGGCGCGTGTGCATGAGATAGAAGGATCGTTGCAATAAGATGCTGTTAGAGATCGTGACAGCTTGGGGAGACCTTCATCCAACACCGTATAGATAATGGCCATTGTTGATGATGACTATATCTTGTGTGTGAGGTGCACCCCTGTGTGTCTGCTGTGTGAGACAGTAGTGCCAGCAGCCATGAGCAAGTCACGAGGAGAGGGCCTGCCCATCAGGAGGGTGTTCATCAGCCATGTCGACTCGTATGTCGGCAGGAATATTGGAGAGGTTTGTTCACAGCTCTAAGTATGACTTGTGACAAAAATTTTTTTATAGCTAATACAATGGTCTATATGTATTTTTGGGTTATACCGCATAGTATAGTTCCAGTAACCTTGTATCTGAGCTTTAAGTGGGGACCACTTTTTATGGAGAACTGTTAGAAAAATAATTATCCCTGGATCATAGTAATTGATCCTTGTTGGTCTTCCTGATGCAATGCCAATGCTGCGTCACATATGTGTTGTGATGTGGAGCATGGCATAATACAATGGGTGATGCTGAGCAGTGTCATCCATGCAGAGAGCCTTGTTCATATAACCGTATAGATTCACAGTCTCAGCCGCCCGTGATTAACATATATGTGTTGTTGCCAATCGGAGGCTGTTGTTTTATGCCTGATGTTTTGTCTCCTGTGGAGAAATGTGAGGGAGAGAGAGCATCCTGTCGCTGTTCAACTTTTAATTGTGCAAGAGGAGACACCTGTGTTTATTTTCTGCACTGAAATATCCCATGTTACAGTATGTATGGTACACTGTTGACACTGTTAACGTCCTGCCACACAGCACAGGGACCTATCGCCACAGTGTGGACAGCAATGACTGACATTTTCCACTGTCACCCATAATATCCATGGTCTTTGTGGATGGGCCTACTTGGCGGATAATAGAATTTTGCGGATAAGGGGAGTGCCACTGTAGTGATGTACCTGCATTAAATGCTTTAAATTAATACAACCGCATTGTGTCAATACAAAATGCTAATAAAATAATAAGAAAGTGTCCGTTTCACGTTATAAAATAAAATCTTATTTTAGTCAGCCAAATGGTTTAAATAAAAAAAATGTTCATTACATTTAGAGCCTGAGTCTACTGTCTCATAATTCCTTAATTCAATGTTTTTTATCGACAGTTTTGTGTTGTGTTTTATTTACTCTGTTAAACATAATGGTGCTTTGTTTACCATGCATGCCGCTGGGAAATTGTAGAGTGTATGTATAATGTCACCGTGTAAGAATGTACGGTGAGTATTGTAGAACATATAATATCACTCATACTTTTATTCCCTTGGCATTCATAATTGTTTATTTATTTATTTCAGGTTTCTGCGAAGTAGCTCTGGGTGGGATTTTATTTAAGAACTTTGAGATCTGGAATTGCCATTGTGATTCCAGTTATGTTTCGTGTAGATTCACAGGTCCATGAGTGATTCAAATCAAATCTCTCTGAAGCGTTTAATATACAAATAGAGGAACTAATTTTAGACCATCAGGCAATTTCATACCCTTTGACCTTACATGGAGGAGTGTCAATCAAATGTAATTGAATGGTGAGTTTAATTGCATCTACATTCGACCCTAACTAAAGAGATACAAATTCAAGTACTCACCATTGAACCACTTTGGGTAAGGTGGCTAGACTTAGTGTATTTTTAGCCACAACTTCAAGTTAGTAATGCTAAATTCATCTTATACACTGATTATAAAGGCATCATAATTGCACCACTGCTTCCGGGCTTAAAATCCAAGTTCTTATATTCTTGGGTCTTTCGGTAACAAAAAACTACGACGTTTCGATCGCTTGTGATTCCGATTGAAACGTCGTAGTTTTTTCGTTATTTTTTGTTATTTTCTTTGAACCTATCTACGTGACTTTACCGAAAGACCCAAGAATATGAATTCCTGCAGTCACGAAAGCTTTAAGTCAAGATCCCAGTACTTCTTAGAGTATGACTTTGATTTTGTAATTTGGTTATATTCACTTGCTCACAAATACAGGATGCTTCAAGAAAATGTTAACACTTACATGGGACTATCGTTTTTTTGTGGTAAAAGAACGGATAAGACACAGTAACGTGACAACAAATGTATGTTAATAGCTTCAAAAAGTCAAAGAGTCTCCACTTGTCCGCCATCATTATCAACACATGCCCGGAATCTTCACCAGGTGGTCTCCAGAGCCTGGAGGCACATTTCTTGTGGTGTTGTTGCAAATTCTCAGAAGTGTTAAAACATTTCTAAAGCACCCTGCATTTCACAACCGTACAACCGGCAGGCTTTTATGAGAGGTGCCAGGCTGCATGGGAGACAGATGCACCCTTCCCATGCCACCACACAGTGTTATGAGTGAAGTTTTGTGGGAAATATTAAACCTTGATAACCAGAGCTAAGCTAAGATTGTAATCTTTTCACATAAAGTATGTTACCATTAATATTGCATATTTGGCATTTGTGTGCCCTTTTCTCGGCAGTATCTGTCACAGTGCGTGGTCGGGGAATCCACAGAGCCACTGGATTTGGAGGAGGAAGAGGAGGGGGAGGAGCAGGACGGCTTCTCACAGGCGAGGGAGGGCACCTACCAGGTGGTAGGGTCCCTGAGCCAGACCCAGCAGCAGCCACCACCCTTTGTGCTTGAGACTGTGCAGGTATGTTGCCTTTTCCTGTTTATAAACACATTGCAGTACGGTAGTTCCAATATTAGTGTTATGTCTTCTGAAGACCAACAGTTAGATGTCTACACTGATAGACAAAGAAGAGCACATGCATTAGAGACATTGTTCATTAACTTAAGAAAATCAAGTAGGCTTGGGCAAGACACATCCATGTCTGCTTGGCTAAAACACTGCTAGAAGGGAAGGTGGCTGATGGTTGAGATGGATGACAGTGGCAGCTGAAGGAAGGAACACACCTGAGAGGAAGGTCACCTTCCTGAAGCAATGAGATCATTTTGTGCAAGAGCTACATTGATTGTTGAATCACGAAACTGTGAGGGATGGTGACAAATTAGGCCTAAATCCAGCAGTGGATAGAACAGCTGATGAGGATGAGAATGAAATGCTTATTTTAATTGTTACAAATAACATATCTTAACACTTGAAAGTATCTTCCTGCTCAAACAAGTCTTGGGTGCTACAAATCTATTTTGGCAGTCATAAGCTACCATTGAAAATTACACATTCTGTGGCAGGACCAGTCGATACATAGGAAAAATATTGTTGACTTCACACAAGGTGGTGAATTATATTGATATCATCATGAGCATGGGTATTGAAATGGCCAGGAGATGGTAGTGCATGGAGATGATCTTAACTTTTTTTATTTTAGTGAGTGTTAGTCCCTTATTTCTAGGAATTTTCTCCAGGTACTTTGGTGTCTTCTTATTTAACAAAAGTCTCAAAAATAAATTGGCCAAAATCCCAATACAGGTGCCTCCTAAAAGAGCTGACACTTAGTAAGGCTTTCACGGATAAAGGACTATCATTATTTTTCAGCCAAAAATACAAGCGAACATGTGGCTGTATTTATAGACAACAATAAAGTAAGCCTTAAGTTCACAAAAAATGGTATTGTTTTTTCACATGTGACGTGGCTCATTCATGAACAGGCCTCATCTCGGGAGGAGTTAAAGTCTTTCCTCTTGGGCTGCGACATTATTGTCTATGACATCAGGGAGACGGCCGATCTCCTGGATGAGGCTGCATGGGTACATTCAGGTACAGAACACCATTGTATCCACTATTTACTCTGGCACTAGTCTTCTGCTGAAAGGAATATGCACCACAAACCATGAGATGATATTTCCATTCCTCTGGTAGCAGAGAAGCTGGGCTGTAACTGATCTTGACATGTGAATTCTGCTGAGGCAGGATGTTATAAAGGTTTGAGATGGGTGTAGCCCAAGGGTCATAAGCGAAGTGAGTGGGGCTAGAAATCAAATTTGCATGTAAATGTAAGATCGGAGAGCTGGGATACCTCCACGACGACGAAGCTGTGGAGGTGGCCATTGTATTGTGAGAGATTAGCATGTCAATGTAAGAAAATCTCTCAGTGGTCATCCTATGTAGATACTGGGTTTTAGAATTTTCATCACCAGTAGTAATAAGCTTTGCCAATCACTCGTTTGACTTTATTATTTTTACATACCTGTCAACCCCTTATCAGTGCCTACCTTATTACAGACCAATTCAGACCTTATTGGTCACCTTGTGCCCTTATAAATATCATCTTAGAAAGTCCCATCACAAGAAATAAACACACACAAATAGACAAAAAAAATGTTTCCCGTATTGAAACGGCTGTACAACGTATGGACCTGAAAACTTAATTTCCTTGTACAAGAATACAGGTAAAACATTTGGGTTGACAGGTATGCTTTTAAAAGTCTTAGTTTGGTATAAACCTTACAATGAGGTTCACACTTTATGAGACATAAGTACATTGTTGGTGGCATTCGAGACATTGGTCTTGATTTGTTTATTTGCAGTAGTCTTCTATTTATTGTTGAATATGATTTTGTGTCATCTGCAATCACCACTGATATGTGAAATGTTGGTGTTGTTGCTATCTTAGCCCTGCATGCTGAGATTGAGAACTTCAAGGACCCAAAGATCTTCATCTTGATCTCAAGCTTCATGACATGGACACTCACCAAGCCTGTGGATCCCGTAAGTCACTGCATGAAAAGTGCACACGCTTCTTGAACATAAGCAAGCCATGCTATGATCCATAACGTCCTGGTTCATTGGACAAAAACGTACAAAATTACATTAAGGTGGTGGAGTTCTAATTGGGATATGGTGATACTAAAATATATTGTGTGATATAAGATCCACGATGATTGTATCGTCAGTTTTGTAAAATATTCTCGTCGTGATTGTCGTTGCTCATTTTTTCAGAAGTACCTTTATTTCCTTTCAATATTTTTAAAGTTAAAAGCTCCAGAATGAAAGATGTACTGTAAATTAATAGATAAATTAGTCTTTGAAAATTGTTTTTCAGAGTAATTTATGACATGGTGATTAACATTATCCTTTTTATAGTGGTGCTCATTGTTTAATTAATTTGAGGAACTCACTGGCTGTGTGTTTTAAGCGTTATTGATTAGAAGGTGTATTATATATGGCAAACGTATGCTGAGTGAACTGAAATTTAATAACTTTCAAGTAATCTTTATTCATACTAAAAGTACAGCAAAGCACAAACATATTACAATAAAAATAAATGTGAAGTAGAATGATAAAAAATGGGAAACTGATATTGTGATGATTGTCACATCGTGAAATTTGGGATTGTATCGTATTGTAGCATGAAAGTTAAGATTGCAGCAACTACATATGCATCAAATACTCTTAACAGGGCATAATGGTGCTATCTAGGGTTACATGTGAGTGGCCTGTTGAAGTGGTGGCATATGCAATTCTCTTGATACCATTGGCCATTACCCACATGATGAGATGTTGCAATGTTCATTGTGTGTTCCAAATAAATAATGCCTCATTACATGACATGGCACCGATAGCATCATTAGAATATAATTAATCATAACAAAATACGAAAACAATTAAAGAAAAATTTGCATTCGGAGACAGAAAAATGACAAAATTATCAGCCACATAAACCTCTTAGCAAAAATACATGATATTTGAAAGTAAAAAAATATTATGCAGTTATAGAGGACTATCTTTGACTGATTCCAGAATTTGTGAGGTGCATACAGTAGTTCCGGAGGAGATAGGGATGCTGAATGTAAAATTACTAGTTTTCTCCTACTGGAGAAACTGACAAGGGATGGTCAGGCTCTGATGTGCCTCTCACCCTGTAGGATGATCCGGAGGTTCCGTTCACTGATGATGACCATCGGAAAAGAAGGCCTCATCCTGCATTCAAGGATCATGTGGCCTTGGAGAAGCTGGTCATGAAGCTGGGCAAGACGGTATTTACATAGTTTATTTACTCAGCTCTTAAGATGGCCAGCTAGCTTAGCTAGCTCAGGTGGCTCATGATGAATTATAATGCCTTTGCCAACACTAGGTTTGAATCTAGTTAATCACTAATAATTAAGCCAAGTTCTGAAGTGTAGTTTACACATTTTTTGCTTAATTTGGTCACGGCTCACAGGGCAAGAATGTATTAGTACACTGGGGGCCAGACACATGGTGAGCAACAAATTACTTCACAAGTAGCCATGTGCTGTCATCTTCCTGGCACTTTCCCTCACATGATGTGGTATATTAGGTCAGTTCAGTTGGTACTAACAACATAATTTCTAAATAGTATAAAACAATGAAGCACGACATTTATGATGAATATATATTCTAAGTGAGTGAATACATGACCAATGAATGATGAATTGGACTTTGCTTAGTTCTCAAGATGTTATTGTTCTAATCTCGTGAGATTTACCCTCAACTCAATTGGGATTACACATAGCAATCATCACCCCCTACTGCGAAACTTTGGCAGGACCCTCCTAAAAAGACCTGAGACTCAGTGAGGCTTTCCTGGGTAAATAAGCGTAGTAATAATAATAAACTTAAGTTGGCTGCGATCACATGGTCAGCAAGTGCTCATCTGTAACGACCACATTTAGACACATTGACACAGGATCTCGGAACTGGCTACAGTCCTGTTGCCTGAGGAAGGTCCTGATGGGTGTTTCTTTATCGCATGACACAAATCCCATAGCACAATTGGGATATATTTGTAAATCAAGTAAAAAATATTTAACCCATAGTTTCAATATTTGTTCAAGGCTAACAAATGATAATACATTAGTACAAATGAATCGATTGGCGGTAGCCCGGGTCACCGCAAAATATTGGTGGGCCGGGCATAGTTTAAGGGTTTTTTTCTGGGAGCATCGCTGGTACTACCACCCTGTCCTGCCGGAGGGCGACGCTGGGAGCGATGATGACGATGATGTCAATCCCGCCAGCACGACCATGACCGCCGGCCGTACCAAGAGAGCGCCTGGTGCGCCATTGCCTCCAAGTGGTCTCGCTCCCAAAAACAAGGGGGGTGACCGCCCCCATAAGAAGCAGAACGTGCTGGGGAATGACCAGACCAGCATCCTGATGCACTTTCAAAACAAGCAATAAACAGCCGTTGCCACGCACAAATCCCCAGCAGCCCCCCTTTTTTATGGGTGTTTTGCATGTGTTTTTTATTTCCATATTTGGCGTGTGTATCGGGCTCAGTGACATCTCCCGTCTTCATAGGCCTTCTGGTTTCGGAGTTATGGAGGTTTTGGCACCCCCGGGTCACGATGGTGACCCGGGTCACCGCCAATCGATTCAAATGTTGCTACACTTATGACAATACATCGTGGTGCAATGTTATTTGATGACACTTTTACTTTCAGAGTAAGAAAAAGTTCATTGGCTATGTGGTGTCTTCTGGACTGCCCTATGGAATGGGGGAAGAACCTTTTCATTTTTTTTTCAAGGTGACTATCACAGCATAATTCTACAGGTTGATATTTGTCTCATCTTTTTTTTAGAAGTGACACTGATGTGTGCCCCCAGCATTCACACATGTGTTCATGTTTTAACAGACCGCCTGGTTGGGAGAGTCGCCTGCAGTACCTGTGATTGATAGAGGAACAAACGTCCTGCCGACCATTCACATCCGAGACCTGGCAGGGTATGGGAATCCTTTTACTCTTTTGGCGAATCCGGGCTCATGGTTGACCTTGAATGTAGCACTTAGTGGTTGCTAAGTCATTGTTTTTTGTCAGTGTGCACAGGCATGTAGGCACATCAGGTATCATTCCCATCTATACGAATACTCTGTAAGAAAACAAACATTGTCGTCTAATACATTGTGCTTGCCCCACAGTCGACTGATTACGCACAAGCACAATCGGCTGATTACGCAAAAGGTACCTTGCAAATGGGCACTTTTGCCTGCCAATGCTGGTGTTAACAGCCAGTAAGGGGGAGGTGTGCTTGCTCGGTTCTCCATACGTCGGAACATTTTCACTTGCTGGAGGTGGCGACTGATTGAACATTTACAGCTAATCGCTGAAATGCTGATTGGAAAGGTTCTCTGGGAAAAAAAAAACATGCATATATCTCTGTTGACACTCGGTAGCATTATAACCACAAACATTTTAAGGAAATGCCCTGCACAATTCAAACAATTAGTATAATCACAACGGACACCACCAGTGCCGGGGTTGTGTTGATGAGCTGTAAAATTGAGATGCAAGGGCAGGTGAACAAATTGCTCTGTCCACGTTGTCACTTATAGAGGTTTTGTAGAAATGCTGCCTAAGGAAGTAAATAAAGTACTCCATTAATCCAGGAAATCATCACTCACTCTCAGGAGAATCTGCATTGGGATGTTTGGCCAAATCCTTATGAGGGATTGTTTTGCAAGAACTTGCCCTAAAACATTCGCTCTGTGAGTATAAAGTTAAAAGTGTTTATCCTGTGCAGTGTCTGGCCACCTCCACAGAACTGTAACTGAGAGCTACTCTGCAGAGATGAGCACCACCTCGGTCTGAACAATGAGGCACTCTGAGTTGACATTCCTTTTTGAATATTGCCAGAGTGATTCAGAATATAGCTGACCACAAGCCCAAGACTCGCTACATCCTGGCTGTGGACGAGGGCAAACACACTCAGCTAGAGGTAGCACAGGTAAGAACGTGTTTTCGCATTTTTGCCATGGATGGGCTATTCTTTATTCAAATAATAATTAAAATAACAAGACGAATACTTTATTTACTTTGGAAAACCTCACTGGTCTCTCAAGATTTTTTTCAGGAAGTTCTTGCTTGGGATGGAAGGGGTTTTTTTGGTATTTCTGCATTTTTAGGAAACCTCTCTGGCTGGTGAAAGCTCGCTTGTATGATCAGATAAAAATAATGAATCCACACTCATCCCATGATTGAGGTCAGCCTCACTATCGTACAGCATTATCGCTTGTTGACTACCTACAAACTGTTACTCGTTTTGTCCACTGATTAGGACTGTAGTGCTGAATCGACCCCCGACTCGAATTTAACTCCAAAAAGTTTTGATTGTGATTGTCATGGATTCAAATGACAGTGCCACCTGACCATAATAATTAAATATTGATGTGAGTATGTATACATTGACATATGTTTCAATGTACCTACCTCAGAATTAGCATAAAAATAGTTTTACTTTTTGGTCCACAAGCCGGAAATCAGGTGAAAAATAGGACCGACATGAAAATGTACCCCATTATCCTCATCATGTGAAGACTTAGTGGAAGCCTTCAATCGCGTGTGCACTATTGGTTGTGAGTGACGTGGAGATGCTTCTGAATGGAATGGAAAGTTGTATCTCCGCACCGCAGGCTATCAGTAAGAGGCTGGGCACGGGGCGCATCAGCCACATCTCCAAACATGAAGCCCTGAGCAACAAGGACTGCCTGGTAAGAGTGCTCCTGAGGAAGCATCTCCACCCCACCGGTGCCCAGCAGCCTGGGCTTATTTACTCCTCCACAACTCCACGCCACTGGCAATTCACCATCGCGACAATTTACTCTCCTCATCATTGAATTCGCAACAAATGTTTTAGGTTACACCACAAAATGTCTCAACCTCCTCTTGCTGGTTATAAGACGTTTCTGCCACATTCTATTTAGCAAACTTCCAACTTGTTTGCCGATTAATATATTTAAATAATATAACATTTCAGTACAAAAACATATTTATTCCTTTCAGCTCATATTTTGGTTAGGGTGCTTAACTTAAAATTGTAAGTTTGTGACTTAAAATCCAGTCATGGATAAATTCAGTGCGTTGTCTCTCTGGGATGATTAAAGGAAAACTCTTTGGATTGTCAATAGTGGTTACCATATGTAGATACTCGCCCCACCTTAGCAATGTAGAATTTTAACCAATGGTTTAGGACAACATTCGGAGATAAGCAGCACCCAATGTTTCAAGTGGGAGATACTTTCACCTGACTTAACATGTGTGATAGTATTATGGCTTTCAGACAGCATACAAAAAAAATTCGTCTCCCTCCTCCTCTTTTCAGAATATAGATGGACTAGTCCTAAATAAACTGCCAAATCGCTGCGCGTGGCGCTGACGTTTTTTTATAAATAAATAAATACACCGTTTAAAAATAACTTTATGCAAACCAACACACCTGAAGACGACCGTTTGTGTTATGGTCGAAACGTCGTGAGAATTTTTATTGTTTTATATATATATTTTATTATTTTGTTGTTTCCCTTCAACGTGACTTTACCGGAAAAACTAAGAATATGAATTACTGCAGTCACGAAAGCTTTAAATCAAAATGTGTGATAGTGTAGAGGACATTATCATCACCAGCCATGATCAATCCATGGCTGGTGATGCAGGCTTCCCCACACTATCACCAACCCTCATGGTCCTGCAATGCCACAATATATTTAACTCCTGAACATGAGCTGATAGCATGGCTCAATCTCTGAGGTGGTCGACCTCTCAGACATGTTTTCTCCTTAAACTACCACTCTGTTGTTAGTCTCATCTATTGGCCGAAAGCGACCCTAGTGAAGTGTCATACTCCAGCCCATTTACTTTCCTTAGCAGTCAAATATGATGTCTATGATTTGCGTTTGTTCTCTGTTATTTGTGTTCCTCTTTTAGTCTTTCAGTGTATATCCCAGCATGCATCTATCCAAGCTTTTTGCATGCTATTTGGCTTTTCTTCCATTTTCTTTGATTGTGTCCATATTTCTGATCCATGTCATCGTGGGTAATATTCAATCATGTGAAAATTTCTGCAAGTGAAAGAGGTCACTGCTTATTACTTGGCATTATGAGTAGATGCGAGCCAATGAGCGAGGTTGCATATCTGATCGAGCGAGTGCACTGTCCACGCCTGCACGCCTGCCAGCCCCATCATGTGGAGCAGCTGCTGCTGGACGTGTGTGCGGAGGCCGTTTTTGTCAAAGAGGAGTTGAACGTGCGCTGGGTGGCGGAGGCCGGCTTGCTGGCCAACCTGGAGCGGGTGGTGCGCGAGTTCCGGGCCACACGGAAACTCCAGGTTTGAGACAGTGTTCTCCACTGCATCACTTAATGACGCTTATGTTGTGTGTACATTGCACAAGGGCCCTTTTATAGTGAGTGCTGTATGTATATGTTTCTGCCCATATGTGCTCTCCTCTTAAATAGTCTTCGTATTATACTATTAAACGCATGATGGCTCACTGTATTGTCCACGTTTATCCATGGCTAAGAGTGGAAATCGCCGCAAAGGTGTGGCTCGTGCGTGGAATTCACGGTGGTGCCAAACTCGTCATCATGATTGCATCACGCACTGCTGATGATTTGGCCAGAGTTGACCCGCGAGCGGGAAACTATGGTATATTTTCCGAATAAATGGTGTAAAGAAATGAAGGCAAATATGAAGTTATTAAGAGTTGATTCATACAGGGAGGAGATTCCACAATAACGTACTTTACTGATGTTTAACTGTTTCATCAGGGCTGTGTCGTGAGAGAGATATTTTGTTTTATATCCCCAGCCCATCAGAATCTGCATCCTGGGCCCACCGGTAACTGGGAAGACAACTGTGGCCCAAATGCTGTGCAAGCATTACAAAATACACCATGTCAACATGAAGGATGTCATCACAGAGGCTCTATCCAAGCTGGTAGGTAGGCCAGGCAGCCAATGCCCCATGTCTCGTGCAGCGCATATAACAGCATGTTGATTAGACATCCTTAGTTCTTACCATAAGAATCCAGGAATTTATGGGTGTCCCATGTATGCCTAAAAATAGACACAGGCGGGTCACAACCCCACATTGCTTTCTCTTGTCCACAATTATGCATTTTCCCAATGAATTACGGATTATAAATAAACAACTGGCCATTTTATCCTCAGTCAAATAATGTTTAAGTTCTTTGACGGATGGGCCTTTTAGCTAGTTTCAAAAACGCCACTGGAAAACTGTGATGTGGAAGGCCCATTGGGCGATAGATGTAAGGGTTATATTATTTTGGTGATGAAACAATGTCTGTCTATTATTAACGTCTCTGTCCCTGGGAATCAGGAGAGGATCGTTGGCTCAGCTAGCAGGAAAGAGGAGACTGAGTGGCACGAGGAAGACGTGGAGGCGTTTACAGAAGACGTTCAAGAAGCGCAGGACTTTCTTGAGGCTCTTAGAGAGAACATGCTGCAGAATGAAGGTGTATTGTCTCGTCAGAAGAGATGTTACCACCACTGCACGTCTTTTATGGCTCTGTGTTTTATTTACAACAGCTGTAGCCCACTCTTATGTTGTGCGTTTCAATCCTAGCCAAGAGTTTCTGCGCTCATAATTTCTTAGAGCTCAGTAAATTAAACTTCACTTGGCAAATCAGAAATCGGTTTTCCTTTTGGTAAGACTGGACTATATTATGGAAATGTGGAATTTCAATCTCTAACTCAGAACTGCCAATGGGGATTAGTACCGCCAAATGCTGGTTTAAGTATGGCGTTACTTTGGCTTAGTTTTGCCTGGCCATATGGAACAGTGACTTGCTATCACTTTCAGAAATCAACTGCATTATATAAACCTGACCCTGCCTGCGTAACTTCATGGTCCAGCCCTGCCTTCCCATAAATAACCCATCCTCGCTGCAGAAACCCCAAGTGTAGGATTATCTAAATTCCACTTTCACATCCTCAAGTGGCTAATTGCCCATGTCTTTATAGTCTGTGAAGATAAATGGGGTTTTCTCTGTTTGTGTGTGTCTGGCGGTGCCCAGGACGACTGGAAGATTCGTACTTGGTACGGTTGTACAAAGAGACGTTGTCTTCCCCACCATGCCAAAATCAGGGCTTTGTGCTGGACGGTTTCCCCAAAACATTTTCTCAGGCAGTGCAACTGTTTGGCGGTGAGTACAACTACCTGTGGAGGTGACTGTTGGAAATGTTTTTGGTAATACTAGCACAGGTAAATCCACAACACCATCCACCAATTTCCCTCCAACTAACATATAACTGTAAGTGAAATTTCATAATGGACATTAAAATACTTTTCACATGAACCTATTTTATAAAAAATCTTCGGCAGATTTACTCACGTGAATAACATTAAAATATTTCAAATAACGTACTTAATATTTATGTGCATTTCAGATAAACGGCGTGAATTATAATTTACAATAGTTTTTCTTAATCACCGCTACGACGTATATCCCACTTACGTACCAGCATGGTCATGCAACTGATGCAGCGCGCTTGCTGCACAACAATTGGCTATAGCAACACAGCACAACAAAAACCACATCAGCCAAGCCGGCACACGCCACGTGTGTGACACCATAGCTAGATATGACGTTACAGCACACGTCTCTTTGTGGGCCAAGTTTATTTCTCGTAATGCGTTAGTCAAACCAAGGCAACAAAGTGTTACAACTTTTACATTATGAGACCTCCTTTGCCAGTAACAAGATATAGTAATAGGTTGTACCCTTTTAACTGCCACAAAAACTGACACCTTTATTCAAGGCATCATGTTTGCAATGACCACAACACAAGCAGTCAAAATGCAAACAAAAGAGACAACTCTGATAATAATATGCACTGTCAAATTCAAGGACAGTGCATATTATTATCAGAGTTGTAAAACCTATTCCTATATCTTGTTACTGGCAAAGGAGGTCTCATAATGTAAATGCTCACCCCGAGCCCTCAATACTCTGATAGTGCGCTGTTTTTGAGTTGTACGCCTTTTGGCGTCTTCTGGTCCAACACCAGTGGAGACTAGGCTCTAAGAAAAGCCGTCTCGGGTATGGACCAATCAAATTCAAGGACAGTGCATATTGTTATCAGAGTTGTCTCTTTTGTTTGCATTTTGACTGCTTGTGTTGTGGTTATTGCAAACATGATGCCTTGAATAAAGGTGTCAGTTTTTGTGCCTGTTAAAAAGGTAAAACCTATTACTAGAGGTTGGTTTTCTCTCCAGTTAAGGCCAGTCTCTCACTAGGTGTGGTACGTGTTTGAGAGGCGATCAACGTACGCACTGTTATCATTCTAGCATACTGTTGGCAGTGCTGCATTGCCATTGGAAATAAGTTTTGAGAGCGCTTGCCTCACAATTGAAAGATTGGAGAATGTAATAAACTCGTCCCATCATCCCGCTAGCATCGATAAATGTGTCTCACTTTGCCGGAATGTCACAGTGGCAATGCTCTGGAGAAACTGTCTATTGTGACAGGAAGTGGAATATCCACAAATGCTTCTGGGTTACCAATAGAAGAAGATAACAAGCCATTACCAATGGTGTTAGATTACATCTATTTTTATGGCAGAGTTAATAAAAATGGTGGCGAGGTGTTTCCAGCCCGGAATGGTTGAAAATCTGGTAATACTCCTCTTTAGTGACACTATTATGTTGACAGTGGAAGACGAGGAAGATGGTGAAGAACTGAATAAGAGGAAAGTGCCCCTCTTTGACAAGAGCATAATCCCAGGTATGCAGTGTTTATTTCGCTAGCATGGCAAAACAGCGTTTAGTTGGTTCCTTTTTAAAGTAGAACGGACAAGGTGAGTGTGTGTGGCAGGGGACAGGGTAGTGACCGCAGCGCGATGTCGCGTACAAACCGCGTGACAGAGCTGGTGGTGTCGCTGGACGCTGAAGACGACGTTGTGCTACACCGCGCCATGGCGCTGCCTGAGTGCGCCGTGCTGGAGGCTGACCTCACGGAGGAGCGCGTGAGGAGACGCCTCGCAGAGTTTCACGCTCGCCATTCCGAGGACGACACGGTCCTCGACTACTTCGATGAGCTGGAGATCCATCCTGACCACATTGGTCAGTGTTTGGCTCTCGCACATTTTTACACGTGCGCGTTCTATTTTGCGTTTCAATGCCACGGCGTCTTCGTCGGCTCTCTAAAGCATAATGTGTGCAGATGTGTATGCTGTGAACCAGTGATGTGGTTGAATTCATGCAGCAGAGATAACTTGTCGCCATAACATACTAATTACTTTAGCTAATCTTTACCTTTTATTCCTCAATTAGGATTATACATAGCAATCATCGGCACCTACTGGTTAGACTAATGCCCTAGATTATTTGCAAATGAGACTATCCTGTTGTGTTGAGTTCTCACCTGGTTAAACAAAATAACTTGAAACCTTAAATTCTACATGGGTCACAAGGAGCTGATATGGCTATGCAATAGACGAGTAACCTAAATGAATTAACGCCCTCTAAAGTGCATGCGTAGTAAGTAGTATGTTGTGTTGCACACGTGTGTTAATGCAGATGTGAGTGTTTGCGAGGTGGCTCAGATCAAGCGACGGATTAGAAAGCTGATTGGCGAGCCCCGTAATTACGGACCCTCAGCGGAGGAGCAGCTGGAGTTAGCCCAGCGAGCGGAGGCGAAGCAGAGGGAGCGAGAGGCACGGAGGCGTGTGGACCAGCTGCTGCTGGACGCACAGCAGGCTGCCCAGAGACTTTGTCAGGAAGAGGAGTGGGTCAGTGCATTGATCGGCACAACTCATCTGAATAGCTCAAGTAATACAGGCATCCCACACCTGAACTCAACATTAAATTGTATCACGCGTCGCGAGTGGCCAGGAGAAGGAGGTTGCTTGCCTATCAGTATGAATATTGAGTGAGATCCCTCTGTGTTTGATTTCCTTCTACATACAAAACACTTTAGTGCAGCCTTACTTTATTGTAACTATAGTGGAGCTGCATTCTATTGTAACTGTAGTGCAATGATAAGACGTGTATGCTGAGGTAGATATATTTAATTTATTTCGGTAGGAAGTGCCCAATAAGCTGGTAGGCTCTATTTCATGGGCGTCCTGCGACGATACAGATGTTATATGGTACAGATCTTGGTTACAATCTTGGTTACATATGTCGCGATATAAACAGCAAGTATGAGTACATGCTTTACATGTGACAGGAATAGGGAACTGGTTGAAAATGTAAAAGAAATACAGAGGATGACTACATCAATTTACAAACAAAAATAAAGGAATTACTCATTGGTTCTTTCGGTAAAGTCACGTAGAAAGAAAAGAAATTAAATAATAGAATACGTTTCGATTGCAACACAAGCAATCGTCATCAGGTAGAAAACAAACCTCGTGAACTTAGAAACACAATGCAATCCAACACAGAGAGTCGGCTAACACAACAGTCAGCACCTTACCTGGTTGATTACGTTCTTCCAAAGATTGCTAAATTTGAGAGAGAGACAAAACACAGACACGGGTACACACAGACAGACACACCAGCCGAGAGAGACAACACAGAGACACACAGAGAGAGACACACAACATAGACAGAGTGTGTGTATTCTATTCTTTAATTTATTTTCTTTCTACGTGACTTTACCGAAAGAACCAAAGAGTAATTCCTGCAATCACGAAAGCTTCAACAAAGCAAGCAAAATCATTAACCGGGAATTTTAAGTATAATGCTTACAGACTTGGGTTCTTGCTTCTCTCCTGATTCATTATTACAGCTACATCTATGAAGGAACACTGAGTTTTATGAGCGAACGGAGGTTTCTCATGCTTGGGCCTCAGATGATGTGTGCGGTAGCAGGAGAGACTCCGATTGGTTTAAGGGGTAAGGACTAATTAAGTTGATGGCATTTGGTAGGGTTAGGCTTTCTTTTATTTAACTTCAAATAAAATGTCAGTGACTCCAGGGGCAATAGTTTATTTTTTTTTTAAGAATAGGAGCAAACTATATTGGTCTGCCCTTGCTCGTATCCCGCTTCGCCAGCACGCGTGCTGGGAGGAAGTGAAGCGTCAGGAGCACGAGGCGATGGGTGCCCGCCACCTGCCCCTGCGTAACTACCTCATGAAGTACGTGATGCCGCCGCTGGCTCAGGGCCTCGACGAGTGCTGCAAGGTGAAGCCGCACGACCCCATCGACTTTGTGGTGAGAAACTCAATGCATTGTCCACAGCTATATAGCTCTTTTTCAGAAGCGACCTGGCCACAAATGACAGCTCAACGAAGTGTCTTGTGTGGAAATTTATAGCAGCCAAACACTCTTAAAACGCACGTTTATAAATGTGGAGGGAAAACCCAGAGAAAAATCCACATGACCACGGGGAGAATATGCAAACTCCAAATATACATGCGTCAAGGTCAAGATTGAACCCACAACCTCTTGTATACCAGGCGAGGTAATTAACATCTTGTGACTGTGGCGCCAAGCACATGGCCACAATGAAAAGTGGCTAGCAGCAGAGAGAGCTAGAGTGAGGGTGAGAGTTGATCGGCTTCTTGAGTTCAGGTTAAGCCAAAGTGCGAGTGGTAATCAGGTTACTATATGGATGGAGTGAACACCAACACAGATTGTGGAATTTTCCCTATTGCTTATTTTAACAGTTGAGAGTTTGATTTAATAATTAACACATGGATATTTGTTTTTTCATCCATTTTGTGCCACCCCCAGGCTGAATACTTGCTGCAGTACAACTGTGACAAGGAGTGAGCTGTGCCAGCACGTGGAACTCGGAGAGACTGGCAGTGTTTCTGTAGTCTAGGTCGTGCCGATTGGCATAATGACAGCATCCAGAAATATATGCAACTGTAAAGGGTAAAAATCACAATTATTGTATAGGAATGTACAAATGTTTTTCTATTTTCGGGCCAACACATTTATCCGACCTTTTATAGATTAAATTCTTATAAAGAATGGTTATTCATAAACATACCTTTTTATATTAAAAAGTTTTTGTTTTACTTGCAGGTTCTTAAAGCAATTTAATAGACTAGAAAATAGGTTGTTTAAATATAATTTTATGCTTAGGAAGTTACTAAAAAATATCAGTGCCATGAGACATTTTAATTCATAGCGAGATGAAGACATTTCCATATTGACAAATACAGTGATTCTGTGCATGCGAAAGAGGAAAACAATCGAAAACACATCTTAAAAATGGAAAATTATTTACAGTGTAAGAGTTGTGAAAATATATTTGAGAATTAAACCATTCGGCACCGTAATAAACATTCCATGGTATTTGTTTATATAATGTATATCTGTACAAATTTTGATTTAAAGCTTTCGTGACTGCAGTAATTCATATTCTTAGTTTTTTCGGTAAAGTCACGTTGAAGAGAAACAACAAAATAACAAAATATATATAAAACAATAAAAAATTCTCACGACGTTTCGACCATAACTCAAACGGTCATCATCAGGTGTGTCGGTTTGCATCAATTTATTTTGAAAACGGCATATCTATTTATTTATTTATATAAAAAAAATAACTTTGCGTCACGCGCAACGATTGGCAGTTTGCCCAGGACTAGTCCATCTATTTTTTGAAAAGAGGAGGGGGGAGACGAAATTTGTTATTATGTATGCTGTCTGAAAGCCACTGTAAGCGTGAACAATCAATCAAGAACTGAAATGATTTATCAAATCTTTCCAATGATTGCTAAGATAGAATCCATCTTCTCGGTTGAAATTGTCTCTGTGCTTGTATATGTGGATAGCCTCATGAACGAATCTCTCATGGAAGCCAGATGGCTTACAAAGAACCTCCGTCTTGGAAAAGTCAATGGCATGTGAGCCTACTGAATTAGAACAATGATCTGCTACGGCCGAGGTGTTGGTCCTACCGTGTTTAAGGTCTGCTTTATGTTCACGAATGCGGTCCGAGATATGGCGTTTAGTTTCTCCAATGTAACTACTACCACAGAGGCAACTTAGTTTGTAGACACCAGGGTATTGTATGTCCGGAATCACATCTTTTACAGACGGAACCAGATCACGGATTTTATGTAATGTGTTGAAACGGACCTGGATCTTGTGTTTATTCAAGATTTTGGAGATCTTTTTTGTGATCCCAGCAATGTAGGGTAAAGTGATGGTTTTGAAAGGCTCCTCAAGAGGGTTCTTCTTCATGGTTTGAGTGATAGCTTTGCGGATTGTATAGTCGGAGTAACCATTAGCCCTAAGAGCTTGGTGTACGTGCTTGAGTTCACTGCTTATGTGTTCCTGGTCGGATATGCATTGGGCTCTATGATACAGAGTCTTGATGAGAGAATTCTTCTGTGATGGATGGTGGTGGGAATCCGGTTTCAGATAAGCATCCGTATGGGTAGCTTTCCTGTAGACAGAGTGGCTCATTGAACCATCAGGTCTCTTTTTAATTAGGACATCCAAAAAAGGTATCTTGCCATCTATTTGAAATATTTGAAATAGATGGCAAGATACCTTTTTTGGATGTCCTAATTAAAAAGAGACCTGATGGTTCAATGAGCCACTCTGTCTACAGGAAAGCTACCCATACGGATGCTTATCTGAAACCGGATTCCCACCACCATCCATCACAGAAGAATTCTCTCATCAAGACTCTGTATCATAGAGCCCAATGCATATCCGACCAGGAACACATAAGCAGTGAACTCAAGCACGTACACCAAGCTCTTAGGGCTAATGGTTACTCCGACTATACAATCCGCAAAGCTATCACTCAAACCATGAAGAAGAACCCTCTTGAGGAGCCTTTCAAAACCATCACTTTACCCTACATTGCTGGGATCACAAAAAAGATCTCCAAAATCTTGAATAACACACAAGATCCAGGTCCGTTTCAACACATTACATAAAATCCGTGATCTGGTTCCGTCTGTAAAAGATGTGATTCCGGACATACAATACCCTGGTGTCTACAAACTAAGTTGCCTCTGTGGTAGTAGTTACATTGGAGAAACTAAACGCCATATCTCGGACCGCATTCGTGAACATAAAGCAGACCTTAAACACGGTAGGACCAACACCTCGGCCGTAGCAGATCATTGTTCTAATTCAGTAGGCTCACATGCCATTGACTTTTCCAAGACGGAGGTTCTTTGTAAGCTATCTGGCTTCCATGAGAGATTCGTTCATGAGGCTATCCACATATACAAGCACAGAGACAATTTCAACCGAGAAGATGGATTCTATCTTAGCAATCATTGGAAAGATTTGATAAATCATTTCAGTTCTTGATTGATTGTTCACGCTTACAGTGGCTTTCAGACAGCATACATAATAACAAATTTCGTCTCCCCCCTCCTCTTTTCAAAAAATAGATGGACTAGTCCTGGGCAAACTGCCAATCGTTGCGCGTGACGCAAAGTTATTTTTTTATATAAATAAATAAATAGATATGCCGTTTTCAAAATAAATTGATGCAAACCGACACACCTGATGATGACCGTTTGAGTTATGGTCGAAACGTCGTGAGAATTTTTTATTGTTTTATATATATTTTGTTATTTTGTTGTTTCTCTTCAACGTGACTTTACCGAAAAAACTAAGAATATATATCTGTACAGTTATGTCTGGCACATTTATGCATCAGGACCGTATTCAACGGCTCTCCCAAAGAGCATAATGACTGGTATATTTTGTGATTCCAGTGTGCACATACGGGTAAGATACAAATGGTTTGACACACCAGCAAAAGAAACGTCGACACCAAAACTGATAGCCGAAGTTCATAAGCGTCTCATGGCAGCATATTGCACACCCAAGTGAAGGCACTTCCTGCCCAACAGGTGCAATTCCGGGACGTCGACACGATGTAGCATATGTTCAGACGTCAATCCACTACTGGATGAGAGCCTTGCCACGACATATGTATTCTTCCTCTCGGGTGTAATTCCAATCATGGATCTCTAACAATGCTCCTAAATGCACTTTTTTAGCTTCTTTGATTCTTTCGGTAATGTCACGTAGAATGAGAATAAGTGAGAATAAAATAATATTCTCATTCTAAGTGACTTTACCGAAAGAACCAAAGAAGATGAATCCTTGCAGTCACGAAAGCTTTAAATCTCACTTTTTTAGCTTTTGTTCCAGCAGGTAAAATACACTAAATACTCTTTTGTCGGGGCATTTTGGTACGTTGCTTTTTCCAAAAGCACTCAACTTGCTCTCATCGTCCTCTTAAAAATGTAGGTTCCGGTCCACCTTCATAAACAGTCCGATTCTATGACATTAAAATTTACATTCATTCTGAATTTTCTCTTTAAGGGTTATTATCACCGGTGCCGTGTAAATACATGTCCACGTGTTGGGCTGCGTCCCAAATATCTTAGTTTATAAAATATATAAAGGACATGCATTTGATTGTTTGCGAGTAGGATACAGTACTTTTATTTGAAATATGCATTGTAATCGTCCTATCCTATCGATTTCTTTCAAAAAAACCTTTTGGGTACAAGGCTTACACGAGGCTGAAACATGCTCACTGCCGTATAACTTAACTACAGTGCTCTCGATCTGTGAATCGAGATTAGCAGCAAGCCCTCCAGGGTGCAGCCTGCCGTGATTAGTGCCGTGATTACTTCCCATCGGGAGCATGCAGCCTAATTCGCCCATGAATGGAAACGATATCTTAACGACTTGCGGTGAGCCACACCGTGGTGGTCGCGACGGCTGGAGATTGAGAAACTCGATTAAAGTAACCGCGCGCGTGCTGTGTCAAATCACCTCCCATTGCTAATGAGCGCGCACGTGTAATATAATATCCACGTGTAGCGCCACTCGACGCCTCGATCCACTGCGGTTCGCCAGCCACAGCAGGGGACCCCGGCTGCTTAAACCGCGAGTCGCAGGGACTCGTGCAGCGAGGTTCCCGCATCGCGGTGTGCGAGTTCCCCCATGCCGTCTCCGCTGCCAGTGGGGCGCTTTCGCCCTCGCCTCTCCTCCCCGCGGTCTGCCGCGGGCTCCCCCAGCAAGAGCTCCCCGCTCTCGGTCGCGTGTTGCTGCGCGTTCTCTCCACCGCTCACGCCCGCGCAGGACTTCTCTCCTCCTCCTGCTGCTGCTCCTGCTGCTCACGACCGACCCGGTTCGGTCAATCTCTCGGCGCTGAGCCTCCAAGGCCGCCTGGGCTCGGGGGCTTTCGGCCGCGTGTTCGAGGGCTGCTACTACGGGCGGCGCGTGGCCGTGAAGCTGCTGTCGCTGCGCGGCGCGTCCAGCCTGCACGCGGAGCTGAACGCTGCGGGGCTGCGCCACCCCAACATCGCGCGTCTCCTCGCTGCGTCCCCGCGGACCCTGGTGCTGGAGCTGGCGGGTCCCCGCAGCCTTCAGGGCCTCCTCTACGAGGGCGACGACGCGCCGCTGCCGTTGGCGACGCGCCTCGCGTACGCGCGGGACGTGGCCGAAGCGCTGCGCTTCCTGCACGGCCGCGACATCGCGCACCTCGACGTGAAGCCCGGCAACGTGGTGCTGGCCCCCGACGGCGCCTGCAAGCTCTGCGACTTCGGCTGCTCGCGACGCCTGAGCGGCGAGACCCCGCGCCCGGCCGCGCCCGGCGGCACCTACACGCACCGCGCCCCCGAGCTGCTGAGCGGCGGCGCCGTGACGTCCGCCGCGGACGTCTACTCGCTCGCGGTGACTCTGTGGCAGCTGGCGACCCGGGAGGCGCCGTTCCCGGGCGAGGAGCCGCACTGCGTGGTGTACGCGGTGGTCGCCCGCGGGGCCCGTCCCTCCTTCCCCGCCGGCTTCGGAGAGCGCGGCGGGGACGACCCCGAGGCGCGCGTCCGAGCCCTCGTGGAGCGGGGCTGGGCGCCGCGGCCCCTGGGTCGCCCCCGCGCCGGCAGCGTGGGGGTGGCGCTGGGCGAGATCGTGACGGCCGCGCGAGGCGGAGGAGGAGGTGGAGGAGACGGCGGCGGCGGTCGTGTGCGGTGAGGGAGGCCGCGCAAGTCTGCGGGCGAGACCCGCGGGGGCCACCGGCGCGCGTCTCCCGAGCGCTGCGCGCGGAGCGTCCGGCTGCGCGTGGACACCCCGCCCCCCCCCCCGGGGCGCGTGGACACCCCGCCCCCCCCCCCGGGGCGCGTGGACACCCCGCCCCCCCCCCCGGGGCGCGTGGACACCCCGCCCCCCCCCCCCCCGGGGCGCGTGGACACCCCGCCCCCCCCCCCCCGGGGCGCGTGGACACCCCGCCCCCCCCCCCGGGGCGCGTGGACACCCCGCCCCCCCCCCCGGGGCGCGTGGACACCCCGCCCCCCCCGGGGCGCGTGGACACCCCGCCCCCCCCGGGGCGCGTGGACACCCCGCCCCCCCCGGGGCGCGTGGACACCCCCCCCCCCCCCGGGGCGCGTGGACACTCCCCCCCCCCCCCCCCCCCCCCCCCCGGGGCGCCCCCCCCCCCCCCCCCCCCCCGGGGCGCGTGCGCCCCCCCCCCCCCCCGGGGGCGCCGCATGGTTGCAGATTGCCCGCTGGCTTTCTTGAACGTTGATTTGTTTTCTTCACAACCGGAGTGCGTGTCTTTTACCTGGGGTGAAGTATGGGGACGTACCTGTTCACGGACACTTCCGTCTTTTTTTTTTAATATTCACTGTAAACCGGTTTTCGGTGTCCGCATCGCTTCTCCCCCAGCTCTTAACTTAGGGGCGACATTCATTTTCCTTATACGGCTCTGAGCAAGCGGTCGGTGGGCATTGCGCATCTACCATGACGGGTCGTACAAGTAGTCATTGGGGGGGTGACTTGTCTGTGAAAAGTGGTGTCAATTGGATGATGCTCGCCAAAAAAAACATGTTTACAATAACCTCCCAGCTTCTTTTGGTTCTTTATTTTTTTATTCTCATTCTACGTGACTACCGAAAGAACTAAAGAAGATGAATCCTTGCAGTCACGAAAGCTTTAAATCGAAATTTTACCTCCAGCTTGTTATGGGGTTTTTTTAAAGCTAGACATTGCGGAATGTTTTCGGAAGTCTACTCTTGTACCGGGCCTCCATACACAGCTTAAGTTTATAGTAGCCCTTTTGTATATTAACGATTCCTGTGCAATGCGCTTTGAAAGCCCACTGAACATTGGCTGTAAAAACATGAAGAAAAGGCAGTTGAGACTTGTGTGAATCTTGTGTGCAAATTGTCCTAATCAAATGATAGCCGAAACCTAATTTGCTCTTCTACCGCAAACCCTATTTTTCAAAGTCTGAACGCTAATCTTGAAATGGTTCGCCATACGGGGAAGACTTCCCTCCAGTTCCGACTCTCACAGCTGCAGTGTGGGAAACGCGTCTCGATACACGGCTGGGTTGTCTCGGTTTTGCGAATGCTCTGCCGTGTTTTTTTTATTGGTGTACTTAACATAGGGAGGTATTTGCGGTGCATTCATTGGTATTATATTCGAACTGCCAGTGTTTTTAGTATTGCGTAAACATTTTAAGTTTTTTAGACATGTACTTAAATGGATTGGGAGTTGTCAATTATAATGTTGGAACCAAACGGATTGGTTTTCATATAATATATTGCAAATGTGGTGGTTTTTAAATAACTTTACATTTTAACTTTAAATACTGGTATAATTGAAATAAAATATTTTATCTTTCCAACGTTTTTCTTTTTGCTGACACGGTACCTTCAGTACATCTGCCACTCGAAGCACCATCACATTAATCCTCATAAAAATCGAACAATTTATTCCAATGCAAAAATACATGCATACCATGTGTACATTCTATTGAGATTTCAAATGAAATCAGAACTGGGTGGGTTTTGACATGACGCGTAGCTAGATTTGATCGGGGGTGATGTCTGATGGACATTGACAGAGTGGCATGTTGAACTTTATTTCGCGCCGCACATAACCAACGTTGATAATGGTGAGAATCCTCCCAAAAGGATAACCAGTGGGAGACTAATTGATGATATCCGTTGGTGTTGGTTGGCATTCATCCAGAAATATTGGCTGTGGAGATTAATGAAAAATGATTACCTTTCACCACTGCTGCTAAGGTCCTGATGCTGCCACAGCTGAAAGGCACTGCTTTATTATGGCATTACACTAGCCAATCATTTAAAACAATTGATATGGTCCATGTTATCCGTATTTACATATCTAGAAAAGGTAAATAATAATTAGATATGCTGCTAATATGTACAATGTGTCACCTGTTACAAAAACCTCGGTTAATAACACTACCTTTAATATATACAGCAAAAAATACTTCCGGCACGTACTATCCAGTGCTCTTAACCATCTCTCAAATCTTCACGTATCTAAAAAAAATACAATATCCATCTTGCATTTTGCCACGCTCTTCTCGATAGATCTATTGTTTAAGGAAGTTTCAGGATGCTGCCGATTGGCGGTGTGGGCGGCCTCTTGCAAACATCTGCTATCCACAATTGTGATCGCGTTGTGCTGTATTGTAACTTGCTGAATGTCTGGTCCATCCTGACTTGAGTATCTCTGAAGTTATTGCTCATGTCTTCGTTAATTTCTTTCTTGAAAAGGTTTATGAACTTGGAAAATTTGAACCATAAGTATAACTCATAACCGGCACCCTCCGTTCTCCATCAATGCCAGATAATGCGTTTGTTGTAATGGGTGGTGTTTTAGGCCCTGGCCCTTCAGAGGATGCCCAATTAGACTTTATGGATTGCTTGATCGAGAGGATCGTCGCTTAATAATACTTCCACATTCTTGTTTATCTCCATTCGAAAAAACAGTTTCCTGAATTTGGCATCAAATTCGTTATTGCAGAGCCTGAAAGACAAATTATGGGAGCAAGGTAAAGAATTTCCTGGCATGACATTCCAACATGGGGATATAATACAATTACTGCATTTTAATCGTCCATTATAATCATTGCAACTTGCATTGCACACAGTATTCGATCACTCTTAGAGTACCGCATTCTCCTGGAAAGCCAGAGTATGGCACCTCGACACCCATGGAAAGAGTTCACAACATTTGTGAATCACCAATCCTGCCTCCACTGCTCGATTACAGGCAAGTTCCACTCCACCTGGCTATATGAATATCACAAGCTAATAATCATATACACTATCGCCATCCATGTATTTCTCTGCAGGATAACACAAAACATTTTTGGTTAAAGTGTTAAAACACATGCCTTATTTAATGAGGAACTAATACATAAATTAACCAAATGTTGAGCTAAACTTGTAGTGTTGTCAATTTTGACTAATGTAAGTGGCTTTCATTCTGACCTTGTAAGAGTCCTAATAGGCATGTGCTAAAATTTCACAAAGCAACTTCATCTAACAGTTTTTGGAAGGCATATACGTCTAAGATTTCAGTGGCATGCCTCCAATAAAGCATTCAGTTTTTTAAAATATAACTGGTGTATGTGTATGACAACTTCCAATAGGGCTGTCTTCCAATCTGGTGAAATTGTCCCCAATAAAATGGAGTTAACAATCCAACATACAATTGATAAGTGCCAGTGCGTCACACAAAACGTACCTGAGTGTCTTTAAGTTACTGTTGGCCATAACGATCTTCTGGAGAGCAGAGATTGATTCATTTGTCAGCTGGCAAGATTGCAAACTGCAAAGAAAAAAGGTATTGTGCATTAATGTATCTATTCATAGCAAAATATTCATTAAAAAAGCAGTTATCAAGACAGTGAAAGTGGTGGAGCTTACAATGTATAAGAAAGTCCACAGAAGATCTTCAGTTAAGTAAATTATGTTCCATTATCACGCACACATGCACTGGTGGGAAGCCTAATCCAAAAAGCCCCATACTCACGTCCTGCCCACTTTTCATTCTCTTTCTTACCGAATCTCCTCAAAGGATCCCCAAGTTCTCCTTATTACCAATTACCTTCCTTATCTGCCCCCTGTCCGTCCTCCATTTCCTTACCCCCTTTCTCCACGCTTTTCACTGAACCCCTTGGATTAACCCTCCTCCGACAGCTGCCATACGGCAGTATGGATTATTTTTACTGGTAGGAACGAAGTTGCAAACTGAGTGTACCAGCCTGCAATAGATTAATGTGTCCGTCCGTCCGTCCCCTTTCAATACTTTAACGAAGTGAAATCTCGTGCTGTTGGGTGTAAAATCAGCAATAGACAGCGCAGAGACTTGTCCTACCAGCCCACCCTGCAGGGACCTGTTTTAAATGGGGGCTTGGGTGATCCTTACAGATGTAGAGACAGTGCGTGTATGGAGACATTGTATGGGTGGAGACTGTGTGTGTGTGTAGACAGTGCGGGTGCAGGAACAGGACGTGGTCACGAGGGGTAATTATGGAGGCGGAACCATCTGGGAAGTTCGGGAATGGGCTCGAGAGTTCGACAAAGGGGGCGTGGCCGGGGGTGGAGTAAGGGCCACGCCGGAAATAAAAGGAGGTGAGAGGCAAGGTTCAGGGCTGCCATGGGATTGTGGTCAATTTGTCTTCATGCCGTCACTGTCGTGTCGTCCCTGTCTTCGCGTTGTCGCCACTTGCGTGTCATCCCTGGCCCAAAATATGATGTGCATCATCCCTGGCTCAAGGTATCTGTACATCATCCCTTGCTCAAGTTATCTGTGCGTCATCCCTGGCCTAGTTATCTGCGCGTCATCCCTGACCACGTTATCTGCGTGAAGCGTAGATAACGTGTCCGCGAGTCATTACACAAATGTAATCAAATGAAAATATGGTGAATATAGTTACTTTTAATTTTGACATACATTTTGGGTACAAATAGAAATTACTAAATAATTTTCACCAGATTCTCAGGGCACCAACATATTAAGTTTAAGTTTGTAAATGCCCAGTAATACCAGCACAATCTGTCTTCACCAATGTTTAAGAAAAGAATGTTGCTTTTTTTTCCCCAATTTTATTCTGAACGTGTATTTGGCATGATGTTGCATGACAATGAGATTTATCTTCGTGTACTCTCTCCAAAGAGTGTAACAGTATGTCATGTCAGAATTCCTCCTGGAAGGCGATGTCAGAATTTCCTCTGAAGTCACATCAACAGGCCTCTTCTCCATACCATCTGGTGCACATGTTTACATGCCACATTACAAAACTTTTCCTCCTCAAAGCTTGAATATATTGAATTGACAAAGCAAAGTTTGCATTGTATTTCTCTGTTCACATAACAGCAACTGGGTTGAGACCATCAACTCGCTACGCTTAAGTACTGGTTTAAAATCATCGGTGGCTGCTCCAAATGTACCACAGGGTCTCGGCAGTGTTGGCCGAAAGCTCCTGAGCTACAGAGCCAAATCAAGTTATGCCATGTTTATATTTGAAATATACAAATAACATGTTGCTCATGACCAAGAATACATAACACAACACTCACTCTAACACCTCCAGATTTCCACATTCCTCCATCTCTTCGGCCAGAAACTTCAACTTGTCATCACCAAGTGGGTTGCCTAGGAGTCTAAAAAACACGTAAAAAGAATCCATGTAACACAAAAATATTGTAATACAATAACGTAAACATACAAAGATATGCATTGCTGTATACACTATGCCACTAAAAAAAAATTGAAAGTAAACCTTCAAATTACAAGCAATACAAATAAAGCGTTAACAAAACCTAAGAATGTACTTAAGATTAACATTTTGTATTCATATTCCTTGGGTCTTTTGGTAAAGTCACGTAGATAGGTTCAAAGGAAATAACAAAAAACGACGTTTCAATCACAACACAAGCGATCGTCATCAGGAGGAAAAAATAATATTTTGCTTCTCAACGTATAACAAGAATGTTCAGTCTATGCTTTAGCACAGTCCTGCTTGGAATGTATGGTAAATCCATAAACAGTACTGTAAAGTGTTTTATTTGCTGGTGAATAACTGTACGACCTGGAGAAAAACCATGCATAGATAGGTCAGCAGCCTAATTGACGGCTGCAGGTAACAACACATGCTAAAGTGCATGATATAGGAACCCCAACTTCAAAATGCTACACAGTTCTAGATACTGCATAAGGTCAACCCTCCTCTTATCCAGGGTGATATGGGGGCATGCTGGTGCCGGATTCTATCATCCACATTTATCCACAGAAATTGTTCATGCAATCCATGCAGCTATCAGTGGAGAAATGCAATCAGAATGAATTTGCTGTCACTTCGTGTTATCCGTGAGAAGGCGCACATAAAAAAATATTCATTTGGTGTTTACAGGAGATCACTTCCAGGTGACTCCTCTGTGGATAAGCAATCACACTATTTAACATGGCGCCCTTCACAATAATATCGTCACAAAGCAGATAGATTATATCAAACATTTGCCACCACTTCCGAATCATCAGCCATGGACTGCCATGCAGTCAACATTTTTCTGTAGCAGGCCTCCTGCAAAATGCACCCTGTAAGGTGTGCATAACAAGTTCACTTAAAGGGATTTCAAACCAGTTCTGTAAAATCTTCTTTCATGGACCGTTCTACAACATCGGGTGATGTAATGATATGCCAGAGTTCCGAATAGATATTTCGTCTCATGACATATCGAGAATGCAATTATATGGTCTCAGGTTGTGTTTGAACATGTAAAATTATATTTCTAATGCTTTAAGACCCATCGCACCCTGTCAGAAACTACAAACATTTGTCAACATGGAATCAAGAAAGAAAGTGTACACTGAACAACAGAGTACTGTTGTATTATTCATTCGGCAGATGAAGCAGGTTTCATTACACCTCCAAATTGCTGGGTAAAGATGGTAATTAAAATTAAATACCCAACTCACTGAGATATGCGTTGTCCAGTTTTTGGCAATAAACTCAAGGAGTTGCTGACTCATCTGTACAAACTCTTGCGTGATCCCATCATATGTACAGCACTTTTTCAGGTAACCAAGTTTCACTCCACATGCCAAATAATCAATTGGTTAGACGTTCGAAAAAAAATAATTTGTCAAACAGGTAAAGGTGCAGCCCTGCAATGTCTTGTGCACGTCACTCCTGACAAAAGGGCTCTTCACAAGAATGAGCTGTATCCAGTGGTACCTCTGTATACGTCGTTAATTCGTTCCAGAAGGTAGGAGGACTTACACCGAAAATGATGAATATACCAAACTAATTTTTCCCATAAGAAATAAAGGGAAAGGAAATAATCAGTTCCAGAGTATACGAAGTTATATTTTATATGGCACGTTATACATAATTTAGACACTACTTATTACTAAAATGCATACATAAATTAAAATGCATGTGAAAATTCACAGAGAGTTATAGCAAGGGTTGTGCACTGAACGAGATCTACAGGCAGACTGAGGAGCGGCGTTTTGTCTCAGTCGTGAACGGGGTCTACGCTGGTACGCGGTGACTCATCCCGACCCAGACAAGTTCTAGCGAGGCGTCGTATCGCAAGCAAGACGTCGTATCCCAAGACATTTTTTTTCTCGTTAAGACACGACGTGTACCAAATTCGACGTATTCCAAAGCGGTCGTATACCGAGGTATGACTGTACATGAAAGGTTATACTGTATAATACATAATTTATATATTAGTCAGTATTTTACTCACATCAATCTTTTGCAGTTCTTTACAGCAGGCACCAGTCTTTTTAGTTCACAAAAGCTGATGCGACATTTACTCAGATTGAGTGTGTCTATGGGTTTCTTGAGATTTTTCAAGAGATTGGAGAGCGCAATACAATCCATTGATGAAATATGCACCTCTGAAATGTCAATCTCTTCTACACCATCTGTAATATCACGTGTGGCCTGTATGTCTTGTAACTCAAATATACAATGCAAAATATGAATGATCTTTTTCTTGTCAGATTTGTACTGACCGATGTCATTTTTCAGCCAGTCAATTAATATTTTTTTATGAGTCAAATCTGGTGTGTCAATGTAGTCACCTAAGTTTTCCAATGATTTTTCGGATGCCAAGCCACACAAAAACAATTTAACCACATCGTAATGTCCATCATCACATGACTCCGTTCTTTTAATGAACTCTGAAATTGTTATTTTTGGGTCCGGCAGATAAAAAGCCAACGCAGCAAAATACTCTTGTATTGACTCGTGAAAAAATACGTAATTTGTTTTTCTTAAAACGTCTTCAGGTTTAAATATCTCACGCAAAAAAGTATCGTTCAGCTTTTGTGGGTTCACATTAAATTCTTTCAAATGTTTTTTCTCAAACTGTTGAGTGTATTTTTCAAGTCCCCACAATGCTATATTAGCAAGTGACGATATGGATTCATTGACATCGATTTGTTTTCCTGTGTGATGATTAAGTAGCAGAAAAATAAACTTTGATAATAGTTCGGTTGTGGTGTTTGACGTAAATAGTTTGAGAAAAATGTTGTCCATGTTCAAACATGATTTGAATGTTGAAGCTATTATCCAGCAGAAGGCAGGGATGTAACAGAAATTGAACAAGCGATCACATTGTTGTACTCTCTCATAGACATCGCTTGCTAAGTTATCTTGCGGGAACATCTTTGTCAAGTATTTTTTTATTTCCTCTTCGTGAAATCCTACAATCTCAACGTATTGGTCGACCTTAACGGGAGCCAATTGGTCCAGCGAAACCTTTCGTGTTGTAAGTAAAATAGAAGCCCCTTTCAACAACTTTCCTTCTATCAGACCAGCAATTATTTCATTAACTTTACTTTTTTTATTTGGATCACTGCTGGATAAGTTAAAGTCGAGACGATCTCTGAATTCATCCAACCCATCAAATACTATAATGATATCTTTTGCTGTCGGGAGGTCGGGAAACGTTTCTATACCCAAATGAATTTTTGCCAAAAGTTCTCTGAATGAAATCTCATCGGTAAAATGATTGATTTCCTTAAATCTTAAGAAGATAATGTGCTTAAAGGAGTGACTAAACAAATCTCCAGAAACAAAATCGTACACAATCTTTTGACACAGAGTGGATTTTCCAATTCCGGGATCACCAGTGAGCACAACTAGGCGAGGCGGTGACTCTAGAATTTGGTCAAACAATTGTTGATAATGCATTGGTTTGTTTTCTAATGTGTGGGTGTGTTTCGTTTGCCTGGACATGAAATAATGCCCCTTGTCATACCCAACGTGATCAATTGGGAATAACAAAGGACACACGAATCTGTTTTCCAGGAGTATATTTTTTCCTAAGTTGTAGTCTGCTATGTACATTGTCTTGTCTTTTAAGTATTCATTGTAACGTTTAAGAGCATCATCTGCAATGGAACGGAAAAAGACAAATCAATATTTAGCAGTTAAAATAGTTATTTAACATTACATTTCAGTCAATAAAATACTCCCAACAATCCCCATTTTTACCCAGAGCCCATTTACGGATAATTTACACTTTTACTAAGTCAAAAACTAAGGCGACACTGTGGTTGAAAGTTCAACATATTTAAGGAGCTCAAATACAAATGGAATCCATCAACAGGTGGAAACGCCATCGTTCGGGCTCGCCATTATCAGCAGCAGCGTGACTAGTATCATTGTCGGAAATGTTTGGTTGTCCTTCCCCAGCAGCTCCAATTAGCACGGCTGACTATGTATGGTGCGAAAGAAGTTCAACATACATGATAGTCAATTTGACACCCACGGATGAGGCACATAGCATAGGAGTGAGGATGAGAGGTTTCACTGCACAGTTGTCGGCATATTACTTCATCTTGTATAAACACAGCGCAGCATATACAATGACATTATACAATTGTGTTTTAATAAATAAAATTATTCATTTGAAGCTTTCGTGACTGCAGGAATCCATACTCTTTGGTTATTTCGGTAAAGTCACGTAGGTAGAAAATAAAATAAATCACGACGTTAAATTTAAAACAGTCTGCCTCAGCAGCAGACCACGCCTTCCCACCTGATGACGGACGCTTGTGTTGCGCCCGAAACGTCGTGATTTATTTTATTTTATACCTACGTGACTTTACCGAAAGAACCAAAGAGTATAAATGAAATTCTTACCATTCTGAACAAATATGTAATGTGCATTGGTCCTCCTTGATGTTTTCCTCTTTACAATACAAATGAAAAGACTCACTGCCAAAATCATAACCACGATCACTGAGGCAATTATGCCAGCATATGCATGCCCTGAGGAGAGAAGGTAAAAGTGAGGTTTGTTTTACTTAAATAAAACATCCCCATAGTATTGTCAGCATACAGTATGAAAGTACAATACAATAATAACACATGCCAACATTTATTAGCTGCCTTCATACCATTAGACCAATGTTATATTATACTGCAAAAAAGTCACAAATGTAAATTATTGTGGAAAATATTATTGATGTTAAATGTTATACATGAACTTTGTTTGCTCATGTTTATTCCAAGATCAACTTTGCAGCTTTCTATATTTAGTTCTTAGAACACTTTCGGAAGTTAATTCCCATTGAATGATATAATTTCTATGACAAATGTTGTCATTAATATTCATGCCTTTGTTTCTCCAATCCAGTTTTTGTAGAATTGATGTCACTGCGAAATAAGTTTCGCTAAAACATGTAGCCCTGAGTCATTTTTTTAATACATCTATTCAATCTCATTATCTTCCCAATGATCTCCGTGAACAATTTATATACATACAGTACAGTAAGAGGCTAATGGGTGTTTAGTTCTTCAAATCAGTGTTATAATGCATATGTAGTGACATGGAATGGCTTACTATGGCGCGTAGCGCTGGTTGCTGGCAGAGAGGGGGATCTGCAGTTGTAGCAGCCCTGTCTGCCAGCAGGTCACGTGATAAGCCAGAGAGAGGGATGTGGGGCAAAGGTGCTGGAGGGGGCACATGAGGTAAAGCCCGGGAACCCATCTAGTAGGTTCTAGAAGGGAGGCGTGGCCGAGGGCGGAGTGAGGCCACGCTGGGTGGATAAAAGGGGACCCCCGAGCTAAGGTTCGGGGCTGTTGTTGGAGTGGAACCCGTCGTGCTGCTGGAGTGTTCATAACCGTCTTCACCTCCTCGGCGTTGTTAGTCAGGCAGCCTGCTAGCTGTCCTGACTCTAGTGTAGTTACTCCTTGAACCTGTGAAGGCTATAATAAATAGAGTGCCTCCTACTACTAGTGTCTCTGAGTGACTCACTACACATATATATATTATCAGAGCATGTTTATTTCATGTTCACCACAAGTACGTGTGGTTAACACAGACAGGATTCCTTGAATAAGGATTCTGTTTGGTGTTTTAACATCTTGACACCTGCTTTATTGCCAGAAAGGGTAAAACCTATTGTTATATTTTAATTCCTGTGTAATCATTTCGTTAACAAGTCCACAAATATGATTTTAACAAGTGTCCTGTCTAGCCATAATGATTGGTCCAGGAGCGTTCCACCTTTTCATACAGTAACACATATTTTTGGTTCTTTCGGTAAAGTCACGTAGAAGGGAAACAATAAAATAATAAAAATATAAAACAATACAATTATTTATCGAAAGAACCAAGAATATGAATCCCTGCAGTCACGAAAGCTTTAAATCAAAATACTGTAACACGTCGAGTTTAATTATTCTCGTCTGACATCTGAAACCTTTCCTCTACATATAATACTGGGCAATATGATTTATTTTTCTTGAGAGATTAGCATGTAGAATATAAAATAAGATGTAAGATTATATCTTTCCTTTCCCAATAAGTGGTTTTGTCATAGTGAAGGTACTGAATCACAGGAATGCATCATAACACCCAGTTACAATTCAAGTAAACGGTTTGTGTATCCTACAGTATTTGTAATCACCTCTAATGCACTCAGTAACTTCATATTGGCCTACAGAGCTAGAACACTGAGGCAGGGCTTTTAATTGTCAGCATGTGATGCAATAATGCATGAAGTTCCACCCTCTGATCATATATTCTTCTATAAGCAATTTGCATTTTTCATATTTATAATTACCATTTTAACATTTCTTTAGAAAGAAAAACATCCATTAGCCGTGTGGCTTTTGCTATTCGGTTACTTGTACAACTAGTTTACAGTAACCATGGTTATCATTATTGCTTACCAGTTTCCTCACAACGATTTGAAATATCATGGCGGTAGTAACCCTCCCTGCAGCGGCATATGGCGTTGTGTTTCAGATTACACGGCTGATCAACTTCTTCGTCTGCACAAAACCAAACGTAAAATTACATCCACAATATTCACAACAGAATACACATTTCTTAGTTTTGCGCACCATTTCAGAGTTGATGGATATTTTACCATGAAATGTATTTATTTTGTGACATTAATGGACTTTTTTGGCTCGGCTTAATGGTTATGGCTTGATTCACCATTATAATACACATCCGCAACTGAATGCAATCTTTTCTGGAGGGTTGTTTAACTATGCGTCTATATGACAGACAAGGATTTCATGGGTGAACATACTCTGGACTAAATCAAGGTTTGCCAACACCAATTTACACAATATATAATAACGTCGTGATTTGAAATGCAGAAGAATGACTAGAAGGGTAGTATAGTCTTTAGGTGGTCACCAAAACTAAATATAGGTGAAATTATAATGCAATTTCAGACTTTAAAATAACTATTAAAATATATGTAATGTTACATATGAAGTAATTACTGGCGTCACAGAGGCTGCACTCGTTGCACTTTGTCGCATTGTTGACTTTATCCATGTAGTGTCCATGACTACATTGTCTGCAGAATGAATCCCCTTCGTTAGAAGAGCAATCAAACATCTTGTACTGCCCTGGAATAAACCAGCACAAATACATTCGATTTGCATCCATGAACAATGTTATACTTATAGTATTACACTCCAAATACGTTACGTGAGGAGTGCGATCTGATGTTCTGACCGCCGGTCCAACCATTCCATTTGAAAACAATAGACTAAAATATTAAAAATAATTTAATACATATCTATTAACCTTATTGAAGTAAACATTAACTTGAAGTCTTTCTAACAAAAATATAAACAAGTTAACACACATTTTATTGTATTTTATATTTGACAAAGTAAAAAATTGCAATGTGTATGTCTAGCAGATATAAAAGAAATTATTTGTATTCTACCTGGTAAGGCCAACTGAGCTATATAGCTCTTTTTCAGAAGTGACCTGGTCACAAATTATAGCTCAACGAAGCGGCTTATCACGTGGAAATGTATCGCAGCCAAATATTCTAAACGCATGTTGATTCTAATAGTGGAAGGAAAAACCGGAGGACCCGGAGACAAATTCACGCGACTATGGAGAGAACATACAAACTCCAAATCTACATCAGGCGTCGGGGTCGAGATCGAACCCATGTCCTACTGCGTACCAGGCGAAGTAGTTAACATCTCGCCACTGTGACATTTCAAAATAACTTTTAAGAATTTTCATTTCCAAACCTAAAATTTTTCTTAGACAGAGAGGATGAATCTTAATCATGTATCTACAAGATAAGAACTATCTATATCTCATTTAAACCAACTAATATATATTTAACATATTCTATAAACGCATTAAACCAAAATGGCTGGACTTGCAAACACATGATAATGCCTTCCCAATAATGTGGAAACTTACAGGCATATGTGGAACCAAACACCAACTAATTTAATATATTTAAAAACTTGTGTAGGACAACTCGGGGCACAACCTAGGTATGATATTAAAGATGATTTTAATCCATGGGATGGGACCAATTTGTCACCATTTGCAAATCAGCCCTGGAGAAGCCTAAAACACCTGTTTAATGCATAGAGGTCACCCATCCAACCACCATCTAGGTTCAACCAGGTGATTTGATTTCATATGTAGAGATACAACATAACTCATTTGGTCTGTAATTTTCTTCGCAGTAAATACTATTATTCACAGGGGTCAAGAGAACTGCACTTCTTCCCATTACTGTATTTTCAGATCCCTGTGAATTTTCTGATAGATGAGATGAACCAAAAATAATCCTTATTTGTGGCTGTAAGATTCTGGCTGCCATCTACTGTTGTGTGTAAGTGGCCTATTAAAGTTATTTCTGAACTACAATACAACAGTTCTCTAATATCATATACCAGGGGCTGTTCCCTACCATAATGTTGTTACTGTAATTCATTGCTATATATACTTGTTTTGAGAACTCCATAATAAAAAACACTCCCTTTTCCCACGACATGGGAAAGGTATAGAATTAAAGTAAATGTTCATAAAGTTCCGTTTAATTGAAAAAAATACTCAATTGTAAAACAAAACGAGGTGATGCAGGTATACCATAGACGAATCAGCCAATAATGTACTGGGTTACGTGGCACAGTAGATATATTAAACAAATGCAATGTGACTGAGGTTTGGACTGGCTGAAAACCTGTGTAACCTGTGTAACCTGTGTGGGAATTGTAACTATGCAAAAGTTGCATTGTTTACCTTTACTGCACATGAAACAGCAAATTCCAGTCGTTGATTCGTACATCACATCAGGGCAACCATCCACTTGTTTGTCAACCAGAAAAATCTGAAATGGGAGTAAAAACAAGTTTAATCTCATCAAAAAAAGCATTAATCTTCCACAGACTCCCCACCTTCATAGACCTTGGGGCAGAGGGATCTACAGCTGGTGGTAAAGAGGGATACAAAGTGGGACGATGTTGGGGGTCAAAGTCTACGAGGGGAAATGATTGAACTTGCTAAAATGGAACAGCGTACATTTAATGGGGTGGTGTTGATGATTCTGTTGTTGGAAGCTTCCACAAGGACACGAGCCGTGTTCTCACAGCGCAGTGTTCTCCATGCGCGATACCTCGAGAGAACGTGTGTCTCGCTCGGCGTCTGTCTGAGCGTCACCTCATCAAGCAGATTTGTCCAAACGAGCAGATAGACAATAGGTCGACCCCCCCCGCCGGGTGAATGTATCAACACTCAATAATTGGCTGAAAACATCTTAATATATATAGGGGGGATAGCAGAGCTTGGGCAATTGCTGTGCGCAAGCACAGCTGACGTATCCGCATGTTTGCTTTTTAGAGGTAGTTTTGATGACGGTTTAAGTGTAAAGGACGACGCTTCATTTCACATGCACAGTCGGCTTCATCGGAATGACAAAGGTCTGCGGAGTATTATTGCACTTGCCGATCGAATACATTATTACAAGGTGGCACTCATTACACACAGAGCGCTTAGCCACAATAGCCACATCGAACATCGCTTTCAGACGCGCTTCTGCGGCCGTCTGGAACGCTCTTCCTTCGAACATTAGGAAGCCACGGGAGCTCGTCGCCTTTGAAATCTAGATTGAAAACTCATTCCTTTAGACTTCAGATTAATCACGGTTGGTAAGTACATACAACACGTACTTCCATTTCAAATTATACAAGCAGCCCTTCGTCACCGCTGGGTGAAGGTCACCGCCACATCGCTGCGGGTCATCGTGGTTGTATGACCACGTGGTTGTATGACCAATAGAACCAAAGAGTACGTGGTTGTATGACCACGTGGTCAGCAACCTTGGTAACTGTGGGTTCAAGTGGGGGGCTGGAGAGACCACTTCAGACGACACTCGCCACTGACGTTAGCCGTGGCTGGGATCGCAGCTCCGTGCCACAAGTTAGCAGCGCCCGAGCTAGGGCTGAACGATTAATCGATTTAAAATCGAAATTTGATACAATGCGATTAGCAAATCGCAAAGGCGTGCGAGTCTTGGCGATTTGAAAAGTCCCTATTGCTTTGTTATTGGAATTGTTTTATTTTTTTATTGTTATAACTTTATTTAGCTTAACAATTGTTCTGTGCTTGATTGTTCTATTTCAATTTAAACATTTTAATAAATACATGTCGGAAGCAATTCATATCTATTAAGTTCTCATCCTTGCATTAGAACATATAGAGCAGTTCATATTTTGATGGTATCACGTGGTAATGCTCCATCACTTTTTTAAAATCTATTACAAAGCGAATATTGAACTGAAGCTTGACTTAAAAAAATGTAAACGCGATATGTCGGAAAAAAAATCGCAATTAGAACGCAGAGCCCACGGCTGGGCCCCTCTACCGCAGCACAATGGAAGCGTTGCGAAACGAAACCAGCGGAGGTGTTGACGCCAACTTCCCCAAAACGGCGTGCGCTCAAAGACTCCTTATTTGTTGTAGCTGAAACACCGCAACGCGACTGTTGGTTGTCGCAACGTCCCCATCCCGTGCACGCGACGACGACGACACTCACTGCGATCAGCAGCAGAACCACCACGGCGGCTTTACGCCGCGTGCGTTTTGACGGGGCAAGCATTTTTTTTGGAGAGGGCAAGGATGGCGTGAAACTGGTGCAGGACGCGTAGCAAATTGCGTGAACAACCCCCGGTAACTTTGACACAGGATACGTTCATGTCAACGCGGATGTGTGTGGGTGGAGTTATTGCACCCCGTGCTGCGCTGTGGGGTGGAGAGGAGGAGGAGGAGGCGTTTACAACTATCAGTTATATAAAAGAACAAATTTGACCTCAGGTCTTCGTTCATTTACCAGCTTCACATTCCCTATTGCCGTACAAAAACCGGAGGGAAGGGCCTTTGCTATTGATGCCCCCAGGGTCTGGAATGCTATTGCCAATAAACTGCAACTTGAATCGCTACCAATGAGATCTTCTCTCAAAACTGCTCTAGAGGAGTTGTACACCCCTAGCTGCCACTGCTATTCATTGGCGTAAAATAAAATGTTTTCGCTCCAGATGACCGCTGCAAAGTATTATCTGTATTTTGATTTAGAGTGCTGATCTTAAAGGTGCATTGAAAAATTTGATAGTCCGACCGATGCTTCTGTTGTTGTGGAGTAACTCATGCAGCCAGCTATGGCTCTAGGATTTGGTGTTACATGTTATTTATGTAGTTTATTGTAAAAATTCGGTCACAGTCCTTGTGATCACTGTTACGTTGCAATTATGGCTTTATTTTTTGGTGATTTGGAAAAGTTTTTTTGTTTGGACATGTTTGTTTTGTTGTAGTACGGAGTTAGACTGATGGCCTTAATCTAAGTTGTCTTGTGGTTGTTGTTTGACTTGCATCCCACTGGGATTTTTTGCACACAGCGTTGGTATACGGTGCTTTTTTCAGGAATATTTTTGCTGTTTTTTTTCCATGGATTTTCTGTTTGCACAGTCACACATGTTTTTCTTGTTCGTGTTTTTTTGTTTGTTGTGGTTGCACCCGATTCAAGAGCCGAATGGCTCACAGGGCTATACCAAAATAAACGGAACTGAACTGATATAAACTCCTTAAAAAAAGTTTGTTTTTTAAACAACGGTTTTATTTTAAAGTTTACTAAAAAATAAATAACTCGACTGGACAAGGGGAAGTGGCCGACATCCTGATGACAACAGACACGTGGCACCTGCTTCTTGGGCGAGGCAATTCCAGAGTTCATCGACCGCGGTGCTTTTTGACCTACCCAAATAAATATTTAATTAATCAGCCGTCCGTACAAAATGTAAATTACTTTAAAAGAGGCAAGTAATTGATTAATTGATGCCGATTTTGATACAGGCATGCATTGTCACCGGATCTGAGTATGTGTGCAAAATGTGGAATTGATTGGACAACGGGAGGTGGACGAAATTTAGATAACAAGATTTGACCCAGACAGAGGAATCAAGTTAAGTAAAACCGTTGAAAAAAGACGCTTCAGGATGCTATACCTGATTTAAAGCTTTCGTGACTGCAGGGATTCATAGTCTTGTTTCTTTCGATAAAGTCACGTAGAAGGGAAACAATAAAAAAAATATTATTATTTGTTTCCCTTCTACGTGGTGACTTTACCGAAAGAACCATGAAGATGATATACCTACTCTTGGTTCTTTCGGTAAAGTCACGTAGAAGGGAAACAAATAATAAAAATATAAAACAATACAATTCTCACGTTTCGACTGCAACACAAGCAATCATCATCAGGTGTGATTGTTTCCCTTCTACGTGACTTTACCGAAAGAACCAATAATATGAATCCCTGCAGTCACGAAAGCTTTAAAACAAGATGATATACCTGTCAACCCCGTATTACAGACCAATTCAGACATTGGTCACCCCGTGCCCCTTGTGAATTTCAACGTTCATCCTACAAAGTCCCATCACAAGGGAGAAACCCAAACAAATATAAACATGTTTTTGCCCATATTGAAACGGCTGTGCGTTGTATGGACGTGAACACTCAATTCCCGTGTACAAGAATACGGGGTTTAACCCGTATGGGTTGACAGCTATGCGATGTATATTCTTGGTTCTTTCGGTAAAGTCACGTTGAAGGGAAACAATAAAATAATAAAATATATATAAAACAATAAAATTCTCACGACGTTTCGACTGTAACACAAACAGTCATCATCAGGTGTGAAAAAAACAACGGCAAGAAGCATTTGAAAGAAGTGGCGGTTTGTATTTATTATTTTATTTTAAAACGTTGGTTTATTTATTTATTTTAAAGCGGTGTTTGTATTTTTTTATTTTAAAAAAACGTTGGCACCACGGACAGCGATTTGACAGTTTGTTTGGAAGGACGAGTCCATCTATGTTCGGAAAATAGGAGGGGGAAGACGAAAATGTAATGTATGCTGTATGGGATTATGAGAGTTTAGCGATGTAGTTCTGGGCTCCTTCAAATGGAGGAAGAGGCAAACGACGCCGACTCCTGAAGCCCTCTCGTGGCTGCCAGACCTCGACAAATGTCATTTAGCCCATGTAATGTTGCCGCAATACGCGAGAAGAGAAACCGCCAAGAGTCCAGAATAAACTTGAAAGCGGTGTGGATTGTGTCACCAGTTGATGAAGAGGACTGCGTATGATAACAGTGGATGTGGAACACGCTTCAAACCCCAAACCCAGGTCAACCGACTGGATGTTCGTATAAGTGAGGAAACGCAAACGATGAATATGTAAATTTTGATTTAAAGCTTTCGTGACTGCAGGGATTCATATTCTTGGTTCTTTCGGTAAAGTCACCACGTAGAAGGGAAACAATAAAATAAACAGGTCCCTGCAGGGTGGGCTGGTAGGAACATTGGAATTTTGCGCAATTTTATAAGACATATGAAGTCTCTGCGCTGTCTATTGCTGATTTTACACCCAACAGCACAAGATTTCACTTCGTTAAAGAATTGAAAGGGGACGGACGGACGGACACATTAATCTATTGCAGGCTGGTACACTCAGTTTACAACTTCGTTCCTACCAGTATAAAAATATAAAACAATAAAATTCTCACGACGTTTCAACTGCAACACAAGATGATGATTGCTTGTGTTGCAGTCGAAACGTCGTAAGAATTGTATTGTTTTATATTTTTATTATTTTATTATTTCCCTTCTACGTGACTTTACCGAAAGAACAAAGACGATGAATATGTAGTGATTGTAGCATGACGTCATTACCGCCTCCAGCTGGGATGACGTCATGTGTGTGTAGACCCGCGTGGAAGTGACGCTCCCCCGCATAGTGACGTCACACGTGTGCGTGTGTACATAGTGGTGACGCTACAATCACTACAAATATAATAGAAATTAATAAGATGGGGAGGAAATGTTTAATTGGGAAAAAAAAGACAAATACCAAATTGGTCATCGATGGTACACCAAACGTGTTTGCGTTTATAGAGTTACGGAAGGGCTAGGAGCAAAGTTTAACGAAATACCAGCGAGCCCAGATTGAGGGGCTGAGTGAATTCAGCATTATAGATACAGTGGCTACTAAGTTTAACACGTAGGCCTGTCGCGACCAATATCATTCGTAATAAAGGGTTAGATCGTGTAAGTGTAAGGGCCCGTCCATAAATGACGTCACACACCTGGGGGGGAGGTCAGACATTTGTGACGATATGTGACGAGTGGGGGAGGGGTTTGAGAAGTATGACGTCACATCAAAATGCGCAACTTTAAATAAATATAAACAATTGTTATTGTTTTATATTTTTGTTATTTTATTGTTTCCCTTCTACGTGACTTTACCGAAGGAACCAAGAATATGAATCCCTGCAGCCACGAAATCTTTAAATCAAAATTTAATATAATTGTTATAACAACACCAATTTTGATTAATTTTCATTATTAACTATTTGATTATTTAAATTTACTAAGGTCACCTTTTATTTATTCCATGAAGGAGCATTTTGCTTCTCCATGGGAGAATGGAGATGCATAAATTTTGTAAATTTTTTGAATGATTGTTATTAAACATTTTGATTTTAATGATTCAACCAGGGCTTTTCATTCTGTGGTATGAATACGTGATTGTTATAATTGTACTCTCCATTTTGCTTCGTTCTACTACAAAGTTTCAAGTACTTTTTAATAGTTATAATTACTTTTAATATTTTATAATTATAAGAGAATTTCAATATAATATTCTGAACATCTGCAGTTTTGGTTAGACGTTGAATATTTTCAAGTGAATTTTATGCTCAATTTCAGCTTTCCAACGCCTCCTTTTTAATACATGTTTTCTCCTACAACATCAGAGTGCAGCGCCACATTAAATACGCAACTACAATGACAATAGCTTAAAGAGATTTGAAGCACGTTTTATTTTCAAAATGGAAATATGGTTTTGGGGGGGGGCAGAGCTTTGTGACGTCATATTTGAGGGGGTCTGACTTTTTGTGACGTCATGTGACGCTGGCGGAGGGAGATAAAAAAATCGGCCAAAATTGCGTGACGTCATTTATGGACGGCCCCTAAATATGTCGTCACCCTCCACCACCCGACACAGCCAGTAAGGCTTAGTTACGCAAACAACGCGCCAATTAGTTTAACTACTTCAGCCACAACATTAACAAGTTGAATACGACGTTTCATAACTTTAACCTGCAGTCGTACGACCCTTCTCATGAAATATTGAACTAAACAAGATGGAGGCACGCCGACAAAGTCCCAGAATGCCCCGCACCAGCCCGGAGGCGCTGACCCATTGGTTGGCTGCGGTCACGTGTGCCGGCCCACCTCGTGAAGCCGGCAGCAGCAGCAACAACAACGGGCGCCATGCAGCAGCAGCCGCACGCCGCGCTGCGCCGCGTGCGGCTCCTTGCCGGGGCCATGGCGGGGCCCCGAGCCGCCACCCGCCGCGCCCTCTGCGCAGCTTCAGGTGCCCAGGGGCCCCGGCGCCATGCGGCGGCGGCGGCGAGAAACTCGGTGACGCGTGGGGAAGCTTCAGGGGACCGAGTCCTCGTGAGCGGTCACGGCTACGTTCGTCTTGAGCTGTCACCAATGCTATGGAGGAAGAATGATCGGCGTTGAGCTGTCACGAGCCGAGTTGTCGAGAGTCGCCGGTTGAGCTTTCTTCTCGAGTTGAGTTGTCACGAGTCGTGGAAAGTCGTGGCGGGGCTCGTCAGCCAATGGGCGCAGCGCTTGGCGAGTCACGTGGCCGGGCAGCCGGTGTTTGAGCACGTGGATGACCTTGGCGTGTCGTGGAGCTCGTTGACACTTGGAGTGGAGCTCATTGACACTTGGAGTGGAGCTCATTGACACTTGGAGTGGAGCTCATTGACACTTGGAGTGGAGCTCGTTGACACTTGGAGTGGAGCTCGTTGACACTTGGAGTGGGGCTCGTTGACACTTGGAGTGGAGCTCATTAACACTTAGTGGAGCTCATTGACACTTGCAGTGGAGCTCGTTGACACTTGGAGTGGAGCTCGTTGACACTTGGAGTGGAGCTCGTTGACACTTGGAGTGGAGCTCGTTGACACTTGGAGTGGAGCTCATTGACACTTGGAGTGGAGCTCGTTGACACTTGGAGTGGAGCTCGTTGACACTTGGAGTGGAGCTCGTTGACACTTGGAGTGGAGCTCGTAGACACTTGGAGTGGAGCTCGTAGACACTTGGAGTGGAGCTCGTTGACACTTGGAGTGGATTTCATTCACACTTAGTGGATCTCATTGACACTTGCAGTGCAGTTCATCGAAAGAGTAGTGCAGCTCATTGACACTCGAGATCATTGAAACCAGTGGAGTTCATTGACAGTGGCGCTCATTGAGACTAGTGGTCATCAACATCGTGCGTTATTGCCTTCAGTAGCTGAGTATTACAATTGTTATACTTTAAATGTTGTATACAAGTAATCATCGCAGGAATGCTGTAAAATATTATTATAAAATCGACGCATGGCTGTGTTTGACAACTTTCCAGAACGAGTCACTTTATTTACCAGCAGTTTTTTTTTAATGTGCGCACACAACCATGGGATGTAGCGATTGTACAGAACGTTCTTAAACCGGTTCCCTCGTGAAGTAAATAGGTGTAGCAGAACGTACGCGCTTATAGAAGGTTCGTAAAATTATATAAAAGAGTAGGCGTAAACTACTGATAAAGCATTGGAATGAAACGACCGTGGCTTATTTATGCTGTGTTGCGCAATGGCTGTACAGAGGTCAAACTCAGCAGACCAGAAGTTGTCGTGGTGCCAACTTGGGGGCCGTCCATAAATGACGTCACGCACCTTAGGGGGGGGGGGAGGGGGTCAGACATTTGTGACGATGTGTGACGAGGGTGGGGGGGTGAGAAATGTGACGTCATATGAAAATGCGCAACTTTTAATAAATATAGACAACACGTTCCACTTAATCAAATCGACTTTTTTTTTTAAATAAATGTTTTCTCCTACAACATCAGAGTGCAGCGCCACGTTAATTACGCACTATGTCAATAGTTTAAAGCGATTTGAAGCATGTTTATATATTTTTGGGGGGGGGGCAGAGCTTTGTGACGTCATATTTGAGGGGGGTCTGACTTTTTGTGACGCCGTGTAACGAAGGGGGAGGGACAAAAATCGTACAAAATCGCGTGACGTCATTTATGGACGGCCCCTTTGCCGAGCCCACAAAGGCGGGGCTAGGCGATGCTGGGGTTGTGGATTTTCCCAGTTTCACTCCTGGAAAAGTCAGATTAACATTTAATTTTATTTTTGATTTAAAGCTTTCGTGACTGCAGGGATTCAAATTCTTGGTTCTTTCGGTTAAGTCACGTAGAAGGGAAACAATAAAATAAAAAAAATATAAAACAATTAAATTCTCACGACGTTTCGACTGCAACACAAGCAATCATCATCAGGTGTGAAAACCACCGCCACTTTTTTCAAATTTTCTTGCTGTGGTTTTCACACCTGATGATGATTGCTTGTGTTGCAGTCGAAACTTCGTGAGAATTTTATTGTTTGCTATTTTTTATTATTTTATTGTTTCCCTTATACGTGACTTTACCCAAAGAGCCAAGAATATTCAATTTAATGTTTATTTTTTATTTTAATCCGTGTAAAATTTGAATGTTCACAAGTGTGGTTTGTGGTAAAGCCCTTTTGACCTCTCGCATAGAACAGAACCATAAATCTTTATCAGAAACGAGCAGTAATAGAGACCTATTTTGCAAGCATGAGTGAGAGATCACCTCCCCAGTAAACTACTGAGGGATGTTGATTGTGCTGCAGGTTGTGTGGCATTACATCAAATACCTGGACAATGCGGTGTGCTCTGCAGAATTGGAAGAATGCATTGCTTCCAGTTTCTTAGAAAACTTACCTGGGAAATGTCCCGGAAAAGATGAATCAACATTGTCTTGCCAGGCACGCTCAAGAGAGACTTAAAGGCAGGCGTGCTCCTAAACGGATTCCATATTAGCTGCCTGTTACAGCAAAGGTGTAGAACATTTCAACAGGATCTACGCACCTGCATAATTTTATCTAATTGATGAGTATTTAATCTGTTTTCATCATTAATTGAGCTTATCGGTTTGCATTACACCGCATGAAATGGAGTCTATGCAGAATATGTATTTCTATTTAGATAGACAAATGCTGCTTTCATGAAACTTGGTACAGTCAAACCTTGTGGATTGCGAGTAACTTGGTCTGCGAGTGTTTTGCAAGACGAGCAATTTAAAAATAAATAAATATGAATTTGATAAACGACCGAGGTCTTGCAATACGAGTAGTAGTACGTATGCGCTTTGTCTGCCGAGCGTCACGTGATCACAACTGATATACGAGTGCTTTGATATACGAGTGCTTTGATATACGAGTGCTTTGGATTACAAACACGTTTCCGGAACGAATTATGCTCGCAATCCAAGGTTTTACTGTATTACAGTATTGACAACTGCCTAATTGTATTGTCTCCTGTGACCAGGGGAGACCATAACTATTGGAGATGTATCCCGTAAGGTGAAGCGGCCGCAAAACCCTGAGTTGGTGCCTGTCAAGCACAGTAAGTGTCAAGATGTCTATTGGTTGCTTTGCATATTTTGTAGTAATTTTGAGTAAACAAGAAATGGCTATATACAGTTCTTATGTTAAGAATATTTGAAATATACTTTAAAGAATAAACGTGTACAATATCCAGAGGTTTTTTAAGAAAATATGTTTGCTGAACATTTTCAGGGAGGGTGTCAACTCGAAATAGCTTAGGTCTTTGTTTTATAATCATAAACCCAAAATAAATCACAGTGAACGTGCATACGAAAAGTTGCTCTCCTGAATAATCTCAAATTATACATTTTACTTCATGAACAAATCTTTAATCCTTTTGTTGATTGCATCGAGCTGGTCCATGTAGAGGATTTGGAGAAATGCTGATATTACAGTGAAACTGCTTCCTGTTAACCATCGATGGTTTATCACTGCTGTCCATTGTAATATCATGCATGACAATTGTCAATAACACTGGCCCTAAAAGGTAAAAATATATAATAGGTGGCATTTTGGAAATGGCATGTATTCTTAGCAGAGAGCTTGGGTTGTGCTCATCTCAGTTGCTACGCCTGAGTCAGGGTAGAATATGACAATGGGGTGTGGGTTATTAAAGGTATTCATGCATGTTGTTGGCAGCTAGATCTTTAAGAAATAGTATCTTTAGCATTTAAATTGCTTCATAAAAATGACTTTCATTCCTTTGTCAGTCCACTGTTGGATGAAAGGCTCATGTTGATCGTGGCGTTTTTTTTACCATAGTTCATCATGATTATTAATGTCGGTTGGTCAAGGGGCAGGGACCCAATACAAGTTCAGATATTACTCACCACTGATACTAGCCACAGCTGAATATGAAATCTGGCAATCTGAGTTTAATTTCAGGCCAAAGCACAAGTGATATCTTTACAGGTTGTACTGGTCCTGGGCCCCCACTTCCTCAACATGCACTTACCAGCTTTGATAACTTATGGTTGAACAACCCCGATAACCAACATTGCATCGAGATGCCTTTATCAGCGTATTGACAAAGGTCGGTAAATTGCTGATGTCACAGTTACTCTGAAAAATGTTTTTTGCTGTACGTGGATGAATGGGGTCTTGTTGTAAAACAGTGTTCGTGTACTTTTGAACAACATGAGCATTGATACATTGGAGACATTACAAAACAAACATTTGCTTTCAAGCAACTGAAAGTACTGTATGTACACCTTCTTATAATGCATATTTTGTAGGATTTCTGTACGTTTTGGCTTACGTTTGTGCACGTTTTCCTATTTTTACTGTGTGTGTTTATTTTCTTTTACTTTGGTGCTCTGCCTTAACAGCAGGTCCTTTGTTCCCATCTTCTTACCTCTTCTCTGTTCTCTGCCCTCTTCATTTCCACAATTGACCGTTTCCTCAAGTCGTCCAACATGTCAATTTTTGGCCTTCCTCTCATTATTTTCCCACCCATTCTTCCTTCAATAACATCCTTCATTAAACCTTTCCCCCTTGTGGAATCTGTCCAATGCAGTTCTTCTCATGATGCTCATCATTCTTAAAGTTTTTATTTGAAATAATGCAATAATCTGATTGCGCAAGGTGTATTGGGGCCCTGCGTGTGCTGTAGTTACAGGCTCACTGTCCCAATCCACCCTGGAACACCTGCGCTGGCTTCTTCAGAAAGATGTCTTGGGGCAGGATGTGTTCCTCATTGGGCCTCCAGGACCTCTACGCCGCTCAATCGCTATGCAGTACATGGTATACAGATTCTATGCTATAGTCACTTTAAGATGTTTTTCTTGTTCGTGTTTTTGTTTTTTTGTTTGTTGTGGTTGCACCCGATTCAAGAGCCGAATGGCTCACAGGGCTATAACAAAATAAACTGAACTAAAAACTGAACTAAATTTAATCAATGGCTTCTTTTGAAAGTGCACACATACATAAAGTGCATGTATATACAGGGTTATATTTTTATTTTTTCATATATTGACATATATTGCGTTTTTAACCATAGAACTGAGTGGATTAAACATTACTCTGTACTTTGAAACTATTAATGCCTTTATGACCAAAGCAAATGTCATCAGAGCCTACCTATCATAGTGTAAATAATCATGACATCCTTTTAGATACATTTTATTTTCCCTTGACAAAATTATATCCATGGGTGTTCATACAGAAACCAACGATGACCATTGTATAACAGCACAAGATCCACCAACATTCACAATTTTCATTCTCAAGTAACCTTAACAAGTTCCTTCAAAAAGTTTGTAAAACGCACTTTCCTGAAAAGACTACATTCTGGGGGCTGGATAATTATTTTATCCAGTCACATGAAATATTTAGAACTTGAGGTAAAACATTACCTTCAAACTAAGTGGTTTTGTAGGTTTTTTTTTAATTAATCGATTACCATTTAGATAGAAAAGGCCAGAATGGAATTCAAACCAAATATTGGATGCATCCCTTGCAATTATGATAATGATGCTGACATTTTTGCATGTGCAGGAGCTGACAAAGCGAGAGGTGGAGTACATCGCTCTGTCGCGGGACACGACAGAAGGTGACCTGAAGCAGCGGCGTGAGATTAAGGGGGGAAGCGCACACTACCTGGACCAGGTGAACTCACCCTCTGACACCCTTGGACTCGACAAGCTTACATTGGTCACAAGGCCCAAGTCTGAGCTTACCCAGTGATGACAGTTTCACTGGACCAGATTATATCACCATGGGACACCTATCACCTTGATTATTTTTTATGAATACATGGCATTGTAAATATTTGTAAATAATTGCAAACATAAACAAACATTTCTCTATACTCCCATATATTATATGTGCTTATGTAAAAAAAAAATACGTTTATATTTGTCATCTTCATAATGAGTGAATGTCTCAATGCGCTATATATGTTTACAGATGTATATGTTATTTATCATTGATGCACTTTTCAAGGAAAAGTATTTTGCACATGTGTTCAGTGTGCTGTGCGAGCAGCCTTACTAGGACGGGTGCTGGTTCTGGAAGGTGTGGAGAGAGCAGAGAGGAATGTGCTTCCAGTTCTCAACAATTTATTGGAGAATCGAGAAATGCAGCTGGAGGATGGACGCTTCCTCATGTCAGCACAGCGTTATGACAAGCTTCTACAGGTATGGCCACAGTGACATGGAGTTTTCTTATAGAGCTAGTACGGTCCTCCATCTTTGGATGTCAATGCCTGAAGTAATAAGAGTATTTTACTGATTTCATTTAACCTTTATATATTTCATATTATTCACGTCCCCTTTGCACACACGTTTCTTCCTGCGATATTGGAAAGGAACCACATTGCACAGAAATCATTTGGCCAAGTGGATGTTGGGGCAGGCCACTGTATAACATAAATCTGGCTAGGATAGAAAGTGTTGTCGAGGTGTGGTGACATCAATAATTTCGGCCATTATGAAGTCTTGCTCTTATGACAATTTACAAAATCGGCATCCAACAAAAATGAATTGTTGAACTGAAGGTGGATCCTCACTTGACTGCAGCGTCCCCTCGTGCTGTTGTCACAGGAGCACTCAGCGGAGCAGCTGGCCGCTTGGCGGGTCGAGCGGGTGAGCGAGGAGTTCCGCGTGGTCGCGCTCGGTCTGCCCGTGCCGCGATATCGTGGAAACCCGCTGGACCCGCCTCTCCGCTCTCGCTTTCAGGCGCGCAACATTCCGCACCCGCCCTTCAAGGTGTCTTACAATGTTTGAGTAGTTTTAAAATGAACATGAACACTTCCCAATAGGTTTATATTGAACTAAATAAAATAGGATTTTTTTTATACCATTCACGAATGTTATGTGAAAATGTTAACATGACACAAACTATTTTTTTCTCCAATCCAGATAAGGAATAGCCGGAATTATCAACAGTCATTTCACAATTTCTTCCACGAGTTTTACCACCAATACTTATCTTTACTCAGGCAAACTTTGACAGTTATATTCTCAGGAACGCTGAGGAATGGATTTCTTACACTTGTAGGATGTTTCATTATGTGCCGTTGTTGCAATATATTAAATGCGATTTCCACAGGCCTATTATGTTAATATGTTTGATGTACCTACGCTCAGTCTGTGCTACTTGTCCATATAGGAGCAACTGGAGATACTCTACGCAGCTGCACCAAACGTTCCTCCTGAAACGTATGTCGATTTTCGATACAGCAATTGTTTTATACACTTTATTACAGCGTTTATATAAATAGCACACATTTCCATACGTAATTGCATATATGGCTTATCATGGAGGTGCCAAGGTGTAGGGGTCTACGTGACCAAACCAAGGTGCCCTAGCTGGTTGGTGAAGCATGCATGCTACACACATGCATATTATAGGTTATGTATACCATTGGAACCTCCTTTGCCAGTAGCAAAATATGATAATTGTTTTTTTACCCTTTTATCTGGCAACAAAACTGACACCTTTTATTTTTAAATGCTTACCCAGAGCTCTCATACTCTGATGGTGCATTGTCTTTGAGTTGTGTGCCTTTTGGCGTCATCTTGTCCGACACCATGTGAGACTAGGCTCTAAGGAAAGCTGTCTCGGGTGTGGACCAATCAATTTTAAGGACAGTGCATACATTATCAGAGTTATGTTTTTTGTTTGAATCCGACTGCAGGTATTGTGGTCAATGCGAACATGACTCCTTGTAAAAAAAGGCGTCAGTTTGTTCCCAGATTAAAGGGTAAAAAACCAATAATCATATTTTGCTACTGGCAAAGGAGGTTCCAATGGTGTAAATGCTTACCCAGAGCTCTCATACTCTGATGGTGCATTGTCTTTGAGTTGTGTGCCTTTTGGCGTCATCTTGTCCAACACCATGTGAGGCTAGGCTCTAAGGAAAGCTGTCTCGGGTGTGGACCAATCAATTTTAAGGACAGTGCATACATTATCAGAGTTATGTTTTTTGTTTGAATTCCGACTGCAGGTATTGTGGTCAATGCGAACATGACTCCTTGTAAAAAAAGGCGTCAGTTTGTTCCCAGATTAAAGGGTAAAAAACCAATAATCATATTTTGCTACTGGCAAAGGAGGTTCCAATGGTGTAAATGCTTACCCAGAGCTCTCATACTCTGATGGTGCATTGTCTTTGAGTTGTGTGCCTTTTGGCGTCATCTTGTCCAACACCATGTGAGGCTAGGCTCTAAGGAAAGCTGTCTCGGGTGTGGACCAATCAATTTTAAGGACAGTGCATACATTATCAGAGTTATGTTTTTTGTTTGCATTCCGACTGCAGGTATTGTGGTCAATGCGAACATGACTCCTTGTAAAAAAGGCGTCAGTTGGTTGCCAGATTAAAGGGTAAAAAACCAATAATCATATTTTGCTACTGGCAAAGGAGGTTCCAATGGTGTAAATGCTTACCCAGAGCTCTCATACTCTGATGGTGCATTGTCTTTGAGTTGTGTGCCTTTTGGCGTCATCTTGTCCAACACCATGTGAGGCTAGGCTCTAAGGAAAGCTGTCTCGGGTGTGGACCAATCAGTTTTAAGGACAGTGCATACATTATCAGAGTTATGTTTTTTGTTTGCATTCCGACTGCAGGTATTGTGGTCAATGCGAACATGACTCCTTGTAAAAAAGGCGTCAGTTTGTTGCCAGATTAAAGGGTAAAAAACCAATAATCATATTTTGCTACTGGCAAAGGAGGTTCCAATGGTGTAAATGCTTTACCCAGAGCTCTCATACTCTGATGGTGCATTGTCTTTGAGTTGTGCGCCTTTTGGCGTCATCTGGTCCAACACCATGTGAGACTAGGCTCTAAGGAAAGCAGTCTCGGGTGTGGACCAATCAATTTCAAGGACAGTGCATACATTGTTTGCATTCCGACCGCAGGTATTGTGGTCAATGGAAACATGACTCCTTGTAAAAAAGGTGTCAGTTTTGTTGCCAGATAAAAGGGTAAAAAAACAATTGTCAGGTTATGTATACCTGTCGCATTGGACAGAAACTCCAAAAGAGGCAAAAATGCAAATGCAGAATGGAACCAACTGAATGGTATCTGTACGTGTTGTTGTATATGTGGTTGTTATGAAAATGTGATAAAATAATGAAAATTAAATGGAACTAGAAATTTGCATAATGTGCCCGGAATTATGTTAATTTGTGTAATTATGCATTATAAATTATGCTAATTCGAGAGATAATTGTATCGATTTATGCGAGTGGGTGTGGTTATGTTAATGACAGCCTTTCTGATAATCAGGCCCCGCCTCGTTAACAAGGGTCTGTTATCAATCGGGACAATGCAATTAATCGTATGCAGTTATGCTAGTGTCAAGAGTCAACTCGGCTTCATGGTTTAACTTCGTATTATCGATCAGGATAATACAATGATTCTCGCTTTAGTATTTACTGAGTATGGATTAGAGTTTATGTTAGGTCCCCAAGTTGATATCATTCTCGCTTTAACATTTACTGAGTATGGATTAGTGTGTTTATGTTAGGTCACCAAGTTCATATCTCATCGCAGAACCAGATCTTATGCATAGATTTTAGCAAAGAATCACATGACCACTTCTGCATTAATCAATTTATTTCTAATTAAACCTTAACTCTAATATAGTATGTGACTCTCAATCTCGGAACTTTTAACACCGTATAATACAGTATCATCCACGACTGTATGATTTCACTTTGACAACAGCACCTGTGGTTAATTCCGCCGCGTAACGCGAGCTCTGTTGGTGAGAGAGAGAGTCGTTAAAACATGCATATGCTAACAAAACTTGATGCTCTATTATGAAAGATTATACTGGAATTCACTCTATTATGAGAGATTATACTGCAATTCACTCTGTTGTGAAAGATTATACTGGAATTTACTCTATTATGAAAGGTTATACTGGAATTAGCACACACAGTACCGCGCTTATTCATAGATCCATAAGCAACCCTTATCACGTTGTTAGCGCATTAGGTCACGGAACAGTTGAGTATTCTGTAGAGTACGCGAGTGCGTGCGCGATCAGTAACGAAAAGTACTTAAAGATTATATGACGATATTAATACGAAAAAGGCGATCAAAAACAGTTATTCTTCCCAAAGGCACAAATAGGGTGAGGGGGTGCTCTCTCCCCCGATATCCTTATCTTGGACTAACGTTTAATTAATTGTGGACCAGATCGCCTGTTGGATACGCTATCCCCCCCCACGTGAGCGTAGCTCCGTGGTGAAGGTGTCAAGGATTCATTCATATTGATGGATCAGTTGGTAATTTATGCGATTAGAAGTACAGCCCAAAACAAAATATTAAGAGGAAATATTACGAATATACTTATAAACGACGGAGTGTTCACTCGATCTGCTGCAATGCCTTCACAGCCACTGATGGCCTATGGACTTGAGTATTGGCTTCTGGTTAAGGACCCGTCTAGGTTTGAGTGATATGAATTGTTTTGAATAGTGTTTGGAGTTGAGTTTTTAGGTCAAGCGAACGCCTGATTTGTCGTGTAGTGGAGCAGTGTGCGTCATACGTATAAGTTGATTAGGCTCGGCCCACTCTGGTTGACGTAGGCTGACCAGCTGACACGTTGTTGTAATTGCGATGGCCCGTCGGTAGATGGCGCACACAGCACACTCGTAGCGTGCGCGGGAGGTGAGTCGGCTTGGCCCGGTTGCGCAATCGGCGCTGGCGATGCACGTTCGTAGCCTCGTCGCTAAACAGCGACCCTCGCCACCCCGGCGGGCGGCAGAGACCTCCGCGTCAGCAGAGGCCGACCCACGCAGGGGCGAGTTGAGCTGTCAGGCGGGTCTTGCCCGCCTGCAGATGAGATGGGGAGCCGCTCCGATGAGTTGAGCCCCGATGGGCCAGCTCCGTTGAGCCGACCGAACTCAGCTGAGTTCCGGACGAACTGAGTTGAGGTGATGAGCTCCTTGCTGAGGAGCTCCGTTGATGAGTTCCCCCGAACTGGGTTTTCAATGCTGTAGCGTCCTCTTTTATGCCAAAATCCTTCCTCTTGACTCCTCCCCACAAGGTGGGGCTTCTTTTGATTTAGCGGTGTGTCATGGTCTGGAGCGTGTGTTCGTATGTGTGTCCGTCCGTATGTCCTTGTGTATGTGTATCCTTGTGTGCGTCATTTACGGCCTTGTTCTATTGATTCCTCTTTCCATAGACCATCAAAAAAACAGCAGGTGTTACAAATTGTCTCAAGGCGTCTTTGTCTGTGTGGCACAACCTTGAGGGAGGCGGAATTCTCCCCTGTGTGACCGACTCTCACCGCTTCCTAGACCCAGGCCCCCTCTTTTCATACCATCAAAAACAACAGGTGTTTAAAATCATCTCACAGACGTCTTTGTCTGTGTTGCGCAATCTGGAGGGAGGGGCGATGTTCCCTCATACGACCTTTACCGACGCACGGAGAAATGGTTAAGTTTTTTTTTAAGTTAACATTTTCATCACAGACTTACTGTTATGATTCTGCACGTGACTCGAGGTCTGCTGTGTTTGCTGTGTTAGTCTTCCATCGTGGCTCTTGACTTTAGCTTAAGGGAAGGTGCTCTCTTAAGCGTATGTATACTCTCATCATGTACGGCAGGGAGACAAAGGCGGCCGGGAGACACTCTTTTTCCCTGGCCCTCGGTTTAACATCGCTCAAGTATCTGCAAGGCCATTCCAGCGGGGCATAGCTCATGGCGCCTTTAACTGAAACTCCCTGTCCCACTCTCTCGCTGTCTGTCTCAGTCTCTGCCCCACACTCTCTGCCCCACACTCTCTGCCGCATTATCGTGCAACTGATAGCTTTAGCACAGACACCCGATGGGGTCTCTCCCGCCCTCGTTTCAGGGCTGCGCCTTTATCCGGACTACACCGCCATGTGTCTCAAGGCTCCTCATTAATTTCCGTCTCGCTGTGGTGGGGGAGTGTTATCTCTGTTTTCAGCCTTGTGAACGCAGGTGCTGAAATAATTGCTTGGCGTCTGTCCTCTCTCTCACGCTACGATTTAGACAAAGGCGCCTCTGCTCCTCTTCCATTGCCCTTGAGTCAACACTGCCCTATTATTCGCCTATGTGCTGAGGTTAGGGAATTCGTTTTGACTTTAGAAAAAAATTCTGTGTTTGTCATACGCTTTGGTCAGGTTGTACAGGAACTTACTAAAGATGAATTAACATTCAGTATTGGATTAGCAAATGGGCAATAGTTCATTGATGTAGCTCGTAACCTGGTCTCCAATTGGAGCGAGCGCGAGGATCAATAATTTTAGCCGCCTCCTGTTGTTGAATTTCGAACTTGAACGCTAGAAGATGCAGAATAAATGGTTGAGCTTTTAGACTCACCTATGTCTAGGCTAACACGAACTCTCTGCGACCCTAGGCTCCGTGCTTACGTCACCCTGCAGCTTGCTGTGATGCGCTCTGTCAGGTTTTTTTTCAAAGCGGCCCGTGCTGAGGTTGGGAAGCTTGTCCTTGGAGCCTGTTATTTTTAAAATTTATTTATTTAATTATAAGGTGGATGGTGTTAGTATCAACGCTCTGTGTGATCATGCCTTGCAATTTCCCCAACCCAATTTTTGCCAAGGTCTGCTTCATTATTTTAATTTCAGAACAACGGCCCTCTCATGGCCTCCACGTGCGGTTTGTTTAGTTTAGCTCTACCTTGCATACAGATAGCCTGTGATAATTGCCTTGCCTTCGGCTTATCTCAGCTCTCTCACGTTACGGGAGGACAAGGCGTCTTTTTGGCTTACGTGTTGTTTTTCAGTTTACTATGCTCTTATGTGTTTTATTCATTAAACAAAAATATCGGTGTATCGGTTAATTTCTTGTTAATATTAATTTTGGAAAAAGGCGCATATCCAACAGTGTTGTGACTGTGTATGTCACTGTGTGGTGCCGGGCTGACGAAGCCATGGCGGATAATGTGTTGGCATTATGTTCAGCCGGCTTACTGGGGCGTAGTACCAGCCCTAGCGGGGCTTGGGTGATATAACGGAGGCCCCGTGAGGGGCTTGGGTTTCTTCGTGTTGCTGGTGGAGAAGATCCACATTGGGTAAAGGAAGCCTCCAGCCACGCAGTCTGGGACCCAACTTGTGGTCCGGGCCGGGATAGCGAACCGTGTATAGTTCTGCCGTAGCGTGGCTAGATGGGCATTCAACACCCAAGTGTAGGTCGTGTTATGTTGAGTTGAAGTTACTGGAATAAATAGTGTTGCTCCCAAGACAACGTCTGCAACTCAGTTGGACTCACTATATATCACACATTGTGTAAAGGGATTATAATTAAATGTCCTTGTATCTGCTAGGAGGGTACACCATCACCATCTGGGGAGGAGACTGGGATGGGAGACAGTCTGAGTGAAAACATTGCCCCATTAAAGCGTTTAATCGTTTTGCAATCTCCCCATTTTTTTTGCTTCAGAATATTCACCATTTCTACCTTTATAGTTTCCTCCCTGCCGTTATGCTCAGTCTCTTCTTCATTGTATCTTTAGTCACCTGTACTGTCTTCGTTATTCACTCCTTCCCTTATTTTTACGGGATTTTTCTTTTCCTAACCCTTCATGTAAATAATTATGTAAATTTTCTCTCTTTTCTTGGTCTTGGATGATTCTCCACTGCGCGTACCTACATATTCCTTGTCCCCTATTATTGCTGAACCTCCATTCTGCTTCCCTGACTAACCCCCTCTGCGTGCCAAACTCATCATCTTACAAGTGTTGTCTCTCTCGCTGTGTGCAGGCTGGCCCAACTGCTGGGATTTGCAACGACAATGCTGACGCCTGAGGGCGCGACACTGGGCCTGCCTGACTTCCCCATGAACAGTCTGCTGCCGCTCGCCCACATCCTCGTACGAGCATTACACAATTCGAGTGCTTGTTTACTGCAATATACATCGAAAGCGCTTTTGTCAATCCGCTGGCAGATGAGGCCATCCCCATGGTGTGTGGATTGTGGGGGTTATTTGACCATACTTCTCTATGCTCATGTCGGTTGGTGGAGGCTATGAACATTGATATGGGAGCATAGGAAGTACAGTGCACCAATGTAATTGGCTACACGGTCCAGCAGGTATTCCTGCAACAGCTTCGGAACAACCTGACGTGCATGGTGGTAGCCCATCCAAAAACTCGTCACTCTCAACTTTGCTTAGCTTCTGTGATCTGCCAAGGTCCGGCGCATTCACAGTGATTTGGTCACATGCACAGCAGAGTGATGTATGTATACAGTTTGGCCTGCCTTTTGTAGAAGAACTTTTAATTTTTTGGTATAATTTGGCAGAAATCTCTTTTGAGGAATTTTGTGTTATTTTCTTGAGTAATTTTCCAATGTTGCTGTTTTTTTACGGTTGAGGTGCTAATTGTAATGTGATGAATGATGGTGTGTGTGGGTGTGTGTGGTTGCAGTCAATTGTGCCAGGGTATGACGCTGGGAAGCTGCTAGAGCAAGCGTTCCCATACTCTGCTCTCCTTGGGCCTGAAGGGATCCCAGCGTTGCAGGACACACTCAAGGTACCGATGTGGCAGTCTCAGCTACTGACTATGGAAACTATTCTCAGCCACTACTGTTTGCATTGAAATTGGCCTCCACTTCTTGGCCATTACTGTTCAGACAATAACATTTCATACGTCACAAAATTATTTTTACAAAAAATAAGTCGCACAATGAGGGCTAAATTAATGCTAGGAATAACCTTTATTTGATTGGTCAGCAGGCATTATTCAGTACTCGATGTGTTCGTAGGATTCTGTTTTTATTATCAGTTTAAATTCGTTGAGTAGCAAGTATGGTGTTCTGGACATGACATATATAAAAGAGCAAATCACTATGAAACCCTTACCATCTTGGGTCAGACAGAGAACCAAGTACAGTTTACCTTTCGGTAAAGTCACGTAGGTAGAAATAAAATACAATATAAAAAACTATTATTTCTACCTACGTGACTTTACCGAAAGAACCAAAGAGTATGGATTCCTGCAGTCACGAAAGCTTCAAATCAATATTACAGTTTAGCTATTCAATCCTTTTGTTTGGGGAGTTGGCAGGAGATTGAAATTGTTATAAAAATGCAATTCCTATTGTCCCCACTTCTCCTTATTTTCTTGCAGAAATTTGAGCTAGTGGGCAGTACTGGAGCTGCTCAGCCACGGCGCATCGAGAACGTGAAGAGGAGTGAGGCTGTGAATGACAGTGACGCTCGCTCGGCAGTCATCACAGCTCTCTTTGGGGACAAGAGGTTCTCCTTTAAGGTGCCTGACACATGCGCGCTCATAAAAACATGACAGCGCTCTACCACGTGAGCAATGATGCTACAGCTATCGCAGATTTACAGCAAGTGTATCAAGTGTGGTTGGTTTTCTGTGAATGGTTACATGTGTGTAGGTGATGACAGGCATGGAGGATTTGAAGAGACCAGTGGCATCAGGCGGGTATCACGAGACAGAGGCTCATGCTGGTCTGCTGGCAGACATGGTGCTGTCTCACACCACCTCTGACTTCTGTCTCCTTGGGGGAAAGGTATGTGCACTCTAACATCACAACACGATGTTTGCTGCAGCGTTTTTTTTTCACAGCCATTTGTGTTTACTCTACAGTATTGCATTTGTGTAATATATGTGCATGCAAATATACTTGTGATGGGTAGACAGCAGGGTTCGTGACATTGTTGTCAAGGGGCCCAGGAGGGTTGTGTGATTGAAGGTCAGATCAGATGCTAGTGTCAGAATTAATTGTTTGTGTTGATGTATTACCAGGAGCCCCATGAAAATTAAATGTTAATCTTAAGGAGACATTCTAAAAATGTACTCGCATGCTCATTTGTGATTTGCTTTGAGAAAGTTATCAAATTAAAGTCTGTTTTAGCAGTTTTTGTAACCCTATTTGAGGCCATATGCTGTAGCTTTAAATGCGTTTTCATTAGGGGTCTCAAATTGAATGTAAACTCGGTCATCATAGGATTATAGTGGATGAGAATAATCATAAATGCCTGTTTTACCAGATAAACTAATTATTGGGAACATTCTAACCTGCTTTCATTATTCAATGAAAAATGGCATGGTTTTGCTGTTCAGTTGTGTAACTCCTTAGGTGTTTTGCTGTGTTTACTTTGCCTTTTCTTGGTGTTTCCCCAGGGTTGTGGTAAAAGTATGCTGGCACGAGCATTTGCTGACATGCTGGGCTATCACATGGAATCAATCATGCTTTATCAGGTGAATATGAGAGATGGTCATTTAATGTGGATTAAATTTCAGTGATGATTTGTATATCTGGACAAAATTATATATGAGGTATGTGCATATATTTACATGCTAGTATGTGTAATGTTGGTAATCTGAGGAGGTGTTATCTCCCTGTCTGGGTGGATCAGGGGTCAAAGACAAATATCCCCCGTATAGCCTTAACAGACTATTGGGGCAAGTGCTGTTAGCCAGCACCTATGAAGGCCGGCACGGCACACGAGGGGGTGGGTGGCCAACACCATGCCCGGCCGCCTTTGTTTCCTCAGTGACAATGTTTACACACCGCGCCAGGTACTTATTTGAGGCCGAGTCGACCTAGGAGAGGCCCAGGACCGGTCAGCTAATCATCACTGGTGAGCAGGAATAAAACTCGGGTCGCCGGATTCGTAGTGCAGCATGCGAACGGCTACACTACTGATCAGGGGTGGTCAGAGCACTGAACAAAGCAGCACCGAGGGTCAGCTAGGGTTTTGAGCTCGATTACTTGAGCCAGAACCAAGCCTGAGCTGAGCCGTGAATAAGAATAAGGGCTTGGGACTGAATTTTGGTAGCCACCCGTAACTAAACTATATTCTCAAGTGTAGTTAGTTGATGGTCCCGGGTTGGTCACCAGTGACTGCTTAAGAAAATTATTTTAAATGTGGTTTAACTGTTAATTTGACTAAGACAATGAAAAATATTGCATTGACTGCCACGCGTGGGTATTTCTCAGTAGCACGGAGTTTGGGAAAGTGCCCCCAGCTCATGTGCAGGTATGAGGTGGATTATTATATCGTGAGAGATGGCGGTGGCTTGGAGAGGCCTTCGTCCATCACTGGATTGACCATGGCTGAAGACGATGATGTTAATTCCAAAAACACCAATGACATCACTTCTGCCTAGTGGTCATTGGAAATTATGTAATATCATTGTGTCTGTGATATTTGCATGCAACATTCTTAAAACGTGTACCTGCTGCAGAGTGTAAACATCGCCATTGAGGAGAGGCGGCCATGTGTGATGCTACTAGCCACATGGCTAGCAGCACATGGCTAGCAGCATGGCACATGGCCAGAACAGTCTGTTAGTGCTATCGGAAAGTGCTTTGTCTTTATTGTCGCGATGGCGCACTGTGTAGGATATGACCGCCCGGGAGTTGCTGCAGCAGAGAGTGACGCTGGCTAACGGCGACACTGCGTGGCGGCCATCCCCCGTGGTGACAGCGGCGCGTGATGGTAGCCTGCTTCTCCTCGACGGCATTCACCGTGTCAACCCTGGCACGCTGTCTCTGCTGCACCGGTACTAACCACCCGGCGGGGCTCACGCCTAATCCTCTCACATTGCGTCAAGTCTGAGTGTGGAGGCAACTTATCAGTCACAGTAGCAAATGCACTGTCCCGTGTTTGGGGGGGGGGGGAAGTAATTGGAAATTGGGCTTACCGTTGTATGAAAGCTCTTTTTTTAGAAGAGGTAATCCAGAATAAACATTGGATTTGTGTAGTATATTATGTTACGAATGTGACCATCTCACAGAAGAGTCATAACTTACAAACCGATCATCCCACCTGGGGTGATAAATTAACTACAACTTTATGTGAAGGTAATAAAATAGTTGAATAATAGTACACAGGAATGTGGAATTTACACATCTTGCTCAGTACAGGCAACAGGGATGAGCATTGACCTGCACTCGTTTGAATGAGAAGATGCTGATTTGTTTACACTTTGTGGTAGCAAATTGTTGACATTACAGCATGAATATACATTGTGAGAATTAAAAGCGTGTCGTAAAACCTAAACTTTGAAATACTTTTTCTTTGTATTTGTAATCATTAGTTATTTAAAAATGCGGTTACCTACTTGCAGTAATTAATATTTTACTGTTTGTTCATGTATATATCAGTAAGGTTAAATGGTAATGATCTATATGATGCATCCTCTATAAGTTTCTGCTCATTTGGCAATGTGTTGGTGGCAGGTTGGTGCATGACCGTGAGCTCACGTTATATGATGGCTCACGACTGATTGGTGCTGATCGTTATGAAGTCCTACAAAGAGAAACCGGTCTTAGCTCTGAACAGCTAACAGAGAGGTACACTGCATATGTACACCTCTTATACTTAAGGCAAGTAGGCCTAATAAGTCCTATGATGCACAGGGGTCTCGTGTTGGTGGGATCGGTGTGGGGCCATGTCCTTAATGGGTTAACACTTCAGCTTTGTGAGTGGGCACATACTTTCTTGTTTTGCCCACTTCAGCAGTTGTTTCTTGCTGTGGTTGTCCCACCTGATGACGGGCACTTGTGTTGCGTCCGAAACGTCGTGATTTAATTTATTTTATTTTATACCTACGTGACACTTTACCGAAAGAACCAAAGAGTGTGGATCCCTGCAGTCACGAAAACTTCAAATCTAGATTATATACTTTCTTCTCAATGCATCACTCTCCTGTCTCCTTTCATAGTTTATGAACATATCTCTTCTCTTTCATATCGATATTCTGAATACTCTCTCTTCTATCTTTTATGTCTTTTGTCATTACGTCTCTTGGATATGTTATATTTCTGTTATACATACATCTCTCCACTATATATTTTTAAAATGAATACATTCCTACACTGTCTCATATTGTCTAATTACACCTCTCACGTTTCTCTTTTCTGTTTCTTTTTGTAAATATCTCTGTGAATATATTGCTCTCGTATTCATCTTCAAATACATCTCCTTTCTCTTCTATCTTATGAATACACCTCTCTTCCGAGCACATTGCACTATTATCTCACAATTATCTTACCATAAAATATCTTCTATTCAGTTGGTTGGTAATCTGCAATTCCATTGTCCAAGTTGTTGAAATCTTCGGGATAAATAATACCCCTGACATTCCCTCGGTGTGTTTCATTGAGGGCTTTTCACGTTATTGTGCACTTATGTATCGGTTTTAACAGGGGGGTGTTCCCAATCCACCCAGCATTCCGTGTGGTCGCTCTTGCGGAACCAGCTGCTCCTGGCCCCTCGGCAGGCCCCACTGCAGGAAACCCCCAGCAGTGGCTGGGCCCTGAGGCGCTCTCCATGTTCCTGTACCACACGGTGCCACCGCTCACTCCTGCTCAAGAGATGGACATCCTGCGTGCTATGGTAAGAGTGTGAGGTGAGCTTGTGTCATTCATATTGAATGAATTGTTGTCCTCACCTGATGTTGGCACCATATTTAGTCGCCTTTGCCTTCACCTGCACAGACTTCTCTCAGCTGTGCCGGGGAGCTCCGGTAGGTTTTTTTTATTTCCTCACTAACTTCCGGGAAGTGTTTTTCTACTTTGGAGGCAAAAATGTAACGTGACATGATTTAAAAAAAAAATGTAATGTGACACATTTTACAGCATGATAACATTTTTAAACTACACACATTTGTACATGTTTCAATAATTTAAGCTGAAATAGTAGAGAGTTAAAATTTATTAAATAAGGTATTAAGTTTAAAAGGGTGACCTTCAATATCAGTGTATATATTTGAAGTGAAATGTTGGGTTTGTTTGGGGTACTGAAGGGAATGTGACTGTATTGTGCAGGTCCCAGGCCTTCCCCAGGATGCTGCACATCAATTACTGCAGCTTGCACAGCGTCTACGCAATGCCCGGGACCCAACTGTAAATCATACAGAAATACACACAAATACACACATATGCTCACACACAATAACAGTTGCCATGACTATTGATTTTGGTTTAGCGAGACAGGTTTTTGAGTAAACACCCAGAGGTCCACAACCAACGGAAAGATGTAAAACCAAATGAAGGTATACAGCAAGAGCAGACTTAGGTAGTTTGGTGTTTATGCAACATTTGATGATTCTGGAAGCAGGAAGGAAGATATGGGGATGCGGGCTGGCATCAGCATTTTTGCTTCAAATGTACAAATCAAATGTGAATTCCACCGCTTGTTCACACATACACATGACATTTGGTTTCCGTGATTTTTAAAGCAAACGGTTTCAAGTTTCCCCATTCTTATTCTTAGTTTTTTCGGTAAAGTCACGTTGAAGAGAAACAACAAAATAACAAAATATATATAAAACAATAAAAAATTCTCACGACGTTTCGACCATAACTCAAACGGTCATCATCAGGTGTGTTGGTTTGCATACATTTATTTTTAAACGGCACATTTATTTACTTATAAAAAACGTTGGCGTCACGCGCAGCGATTTGGCAGTTTGCCTAGGACTAGTCCATCTATTTTTTTGAAAAGAGGAGGGGGGAGACGAAATTTTGTATAATGTATGCTGTCTGAAAGCCACTGTAAGCGTGAACAATCAATTAAGAACTGAAATGGTTTATCAAATCTTTCCAATGATTGCTAAGATAGAATCCATCTTCTCGGTTGAAATTGTCTCTGTGCTTGTATATGTGGATAGCCTCATGAACGAATCTCTCATGGAAGCCAGATGGCTTACAAAGAACCTCCGTCTTGTAAAAGTCAATGGCATGTGAGCCTACTGAATTAGAACAATGATCTGCTACGGCCGAGGTGTTGGTCCTACCGTGTTTAAGGTCTGCTTTATGTTCACGAATGACCTTAAACACGGTAGGACCAACACCTCGGCCGTAGCAGATCATTGTTCTAATTCAGTAGGCTCACATGCCATTGACTTTTCCAAGACGGAGGTTCTTTGTAAGCCATCTGGCTTCCATGAGAGATTCGTTCATGAGGCTATCCACATATACAAGCACAGAGACAATTTCAACCGAGAAGATGGATTCTATCTTAGCAATCATTGGAAAGATTTGATAAACCATTTCAGTTCTTAATTGATTGTTCACGCTTACAGTGGCTTTCAGACAGCATACATTATAAAAAATTTCGTCTCCCCCCTCCTCTTTTCAAAAAAATAGATGGACTAGTCCTATGCAAACTGCCAAATCGCTGCGCGTGACGCCAACGTTTTTTTATAAGTAAATAAATGTGCCGTTTAAAAATAAATGTATGCAAACCAACACACCTGATGATGACCGTTTGAGTTATGGTCGAAACGTCGTGAGAATTTTTTATTGTTTTATATATATTTTGTTATTTTGTTGTTTCTCTTCAATGTGACTTTACCGAAAAAACTAAGAATATGAATTACTGCAGTCACGAAAGCTTTAAATCAAAATTTCCCCATTCTGTTAACTAGTGTAAAAGATCTATCGGTACTTAAAAGTGTCTTCTCGCACAGATGCGGTCCTTGGCTGCGTCTCTGTCAACGCGGCAGCTGTTAAGAATGTCCAGACGTCTTGCGCGCTATGAGGGCGAGGATCTGCATGCTGCAATCCACAAGGCCTGCCTCTCCCGGTAGCCCATCCGCCCATGTGTTGCAACGAAGTGCTTGTGTGTGTGTATATTGTTAATGTGTGCAATATCAAAGTGGATATTTGTAAATTTATCTCATATGGAAGGTTTACCTGTTTGGTGGTATGTTTCATTATTTTAAAAGAATGATAAAACCAAGTTAGCTGCAGCATGTAGCTTTTAGTGAATTCAACTCTCACTAACAGTAATTTTCAAATGATTTCACAACATAGTTGATTGGTAGATTGCATATGATGGCATAAAGTGTGGGTACTGCCACCTTTTCAAAATGTCTGGCCAGTGTGAACGAGCAGGCCAAATAATCTCTATAGAGATGTTCTCTCGAACTTCCTCGACTGCAGACGCTTCTGCCAGCAGTGGCTGCGCCTTTACCTGTTTACTTTTCATTAAAACATGTGCCCGTGTCTGCTCTTGTATGTCTGAAGGTTTCTTCCCAGCTTGGCACGTGCTGCCCTCCAAACTGCCATGCAAGATGCTGGTCTTGAGACCACTGGAAAGGATTCTGAGCAGGCAGACATTAAAAGTTAGTGCCCTGGACACTATGGACATACCATACACATTCATCTCACTCGTTTTGTGGTCGTGCACGTCCTTGGTCCAGTGACTGAGAAGCTGAGTTTGAGAATTTTGCATGGATGAATTATTTTTGTTCAATTACAGTTAGAGCTGAAATGTGTGGGATGTGAGATGTATGTCAGAAGCAATGCATTAAAAACATGAAATACAATTCAAGAACATGTCACATTGCTTTCTGCCAAAGAAAGCGAGAAGTTGGATCTTTTTTAATGAGCTCGCATTTAGTTGCAATCGTTGTTTCGAATCATGGAAAGTTACATTTTTAATTTAGCAAATGTTCATTCGCAGCACTTATCTGGATAGTCCATGGGGCAAAATGGTGAAATCCGTGCGTCTGTCTTTGCATTTTCAGCTGAGGTACGAGATGGTGTCCTGCACATTGGAGATGTCACTGCCCCAGTGAGTAGCACCGCTGTTCAAACAAAGGTGCCGGACATCCTCTTCTACGACAACCTGCAGGTCAGTCATTATAGACTGCGTATTGGCAGTCTATAATGTAGACAGTAGCAATGGCCATTAAACTGAGTGAGTGTACTGGCAGTCTATAATGCAGACTGTAGCCTGGTTCTTAACCTGAGTGAGCGCACTGGCAGTCTATAATGTAGACTTATTCTGGTTCTTTCAGTAATAAAAATAAAATAAGAATAAAAAGAAAAAACAAAAACCACGACGTTTCGATCGCAACACAAGCGGTCGTCATCAGGAAAAGGGGGGTTAGCCTTTAAAGGCAAATTGTTTGTAAAGGTTTATAGATGGGTGTAGCTAGGGCTGAACGATTAATCGATTTCAAATCGCAATTTTAAACAATGCGATTAGCAAATCGCAAAGACTGTAATTTGTAGCGATTTGAAAAGTCCTATTACTTTCTTATTGGAATTGTTTTATTATAATAACTTTATTTATTTAACCTAACAACTGTTCTATGTTTTATTGTTCTATTTCAATTCAAACATGTTAATAAATACATGTTGGAAGCAATTAATATCTTTTAAGTTCTCATCCTTGCATTAGAATATATAGAGCAGTTCATATTTTGATGGTATCATGTGGTACCGACACCGGTAGTAGGTCTACACCAATCAAAGCACTGCACCTCGCTCCACACACCCACACTGCTGATGGGTGGAGGTTGACAAGAAAACACACATCAAGTCATGACCCAAAGTGGTTGATGACATCTTTCCAATGATTTCTGAGCTTATAACCATCCTCTCGGTAGAAATTGTGTCCTTGTCTGTATATATGGATGGCTTCTTGAACGAATCTTTGTTGATAGCCAGTAGGCTTGCAAAGTACCATTGTCTTAGAGAAGTAAATTTCGTGTGAGCTAGCCGCATCAAAGTAATGATCAGCCACAGCAGAAGTAATGGTACTACCGTGTTTCAAATCTGCCTCTGCAGTCACGAAAGTTTTAAGTCAATATATAATGATAATGTTTTGCTTGTGTAAGAATGCTTCAATTCACAGTTTGTTGAATAAATTTATTTAGTCACATAGGCTGGTGTCTGAAGGTTAAATTGCTGCCGTGACATTTATGTTGTCTTGATTGTCATAACCTACTTCAACATAGCACATGTTTTATGTAAAGGCATTGACTGGTTGTATATTTACAGCACCTTCGTGTGATGGAGGATATGCTGAAGGATTTCAATCTGGGAGAACATCTGCTTCTTGTGGGGAATCAGGTAGCATCACAGAGACATTTGTGTTATTGTCTTAATTATGTTTTGTGAAAAAAAATGTCTTTATGAAACTGGCCACTAAATATTTTCTTCAAAATAAATGTTGTTTCAATGGTATCTTAACTAACCATTAATAAATTATTTTAAAAAATGGAGGATGCAGTGGTTAAGTAGTTTCACTCATTATTCGGTCTGCTCGGTCTCCTGCATTCCACCCTGCTGTGTGACCTCCGATTACCACGGTTGGCTACGTACGGTGCAACATTCGTCCTTACGTTCGACCTGTCGCTAGCACCTGCTATACTTGAACTGGCGCATCCACCTTACACCACCGTTAACCTTCTAAAGTCACTCAGAACCAACCTTATAAGCCATGCAGCCACCATTCGGTGAGCAAAACGGTTGACATTAAAGTGCATGCTGCTATTGAGAAGAGTCTGTAGCTCTCATGGTTCACAGGTTTGATGTCGTGGATTGCCTAGCCCATCCCATTACAGTTTTGCACAACCTCAAAAACAACGCAAAAACAACAACTCTTCCAGAAGTGTCTTGTTGATGCTGATTTTGTGTACATCTGTGTAGGGTGTGGGGAAGAACAAGGTTGTCGACAGATTCTTACAACTGCTGAACCGTCCTCGCGAATACCTGCAGCTGCACAGGTATCCAAAACGTCACTTTGACATCCATTCTTTAATATCTCCTGAGTTTGGCTCGAATCTCACGCACCTTTCCTCAATTCAGGTGACTAAATTGAAAATAAATGCCAATCCTCAATTTACTGCAAGGTATGATTATTGGTATCAGTGTTTTTGCTGATTTGCTTAACCATTAAGTTCATTGATACATGGAGAATCCAGAATTACATTGATGACAATAACAATATGCATTACATAAGTACTGCATGTTATGTTATTGTTTACGAATTTGCTTATGTTTGGTTTGCTCCGTGAGACCACTTCGTACATAACTTTTAAACTTGACTCAATTTCAAAGTGCTCTCTGTACAAATTATGCCATTGTTCTCCTCTCAGTGTGCCTTCCATTGTCTTACAGGGACACCACGGTTCAGAGCCTGACATTGCAGCCAACTCTCCGGGATGGAGTCATTGTGTATGAGGACTCCCCACTTGTAAGCAGCAGCACTCTGCTGACAGGTTTACTTAGTAGCACTGCACCTGACTAACACAGCTGGCAAAGTGAAGGCACAGAAGGCATTTTTTTTTACTTTTTATTTGAGCAGGTAAGGCCCACTGAGCTATATAGCTCTTTTGTCAGAAGCAACCTGACCACAAATGAGAGCTCAACTAAGTGACTTATTACGTGGAAATTTACAGCAGCTGAACACTCTAAATGCATGTTTCTAAAGCGCAGGGAAAAGCGGAGGACCTGGAGAAAAATCCACGCGGCCCCGGGGAGAACATGCAAACTCCAAATATACCGGCATCAAAGTCGGGATCGAACCCACGACCTCTTGTTATCACGTGTAAATACGGCAGTAAGGGAGCTGACTAAGAGAGTAGAGCTTGGAGGTGGGATGTCGACTTTGCATCAATGGCGATATTTATGAGAAATGAAGAAAACATCAACAGCATTCACTGTGATGGCCTCCTGAGATTGACTGGATAGAGCAGATTGGAGAATGAGGATTCTTAATGGAAGCAGTGACAGTCCAAATGTTGAGGAGGTGGACAAGAGGGATATAGGCAACCGTGATTATCGCAGGTTTCGATGATGCTGCTCCCCAACACAACATTGTTGTTTCCCTTCAACGTGACTTTACCGAAAGAACTAAGAATATGAATTACTGCAGTCACGAAAGCTTTAAATCAAAATTCTGTGTACTGGTTAAGATGGGATGCACGTCTGTGTGCCTCTGTTGTAGGTGCGTGCCGTGAAGCAGGGCTATGTGCTGGTGATCGACGAGGCAGACAAGGCTCCAGTAAACGTGACGTGTGTGCTCAAGGCGTTGGTGGAGAACGGAGAGATGCTTCTTGCCGACGGGCGCCGCATATTGGCTGGTATTCACTGGGGCAGAGATGGCCTGATGTTTGTCTCGCCTTGTTGACGTGTGCACATTAATATCCATTTACAGCATTATGCAAATGGTGTGGAGCGGTGACGTAGTAGTTCTGTCTAATGAACCCCGCCACCCGAGTTGTAATACATACTACCAATGGCCAACACCAGTGGTGAATTAAATCTGAAAGAGTCCTGGGCTCCCCTCTCTTCACGAACCTGCATTGACCATCCTGGTGAAGCATGGTCAAACAATCCTCTATGCCTTCATCAAAAGAGTTAATACGATTCTATGAAAGGTATATTATTAACTTGATGTTTATGTTACCCAAATCTATAAATGTGATCCACTGGTCCTGTCTGTGAAGGAGTATTTGCGTGTTTTGTGTAATGTTTGTGCGCACTTATGTAAATTTGTGTAATCTAGAGTAAGTGACCGGGGAGGTCAACTTTCAAAATGCATTTTGGGAGATGCATTGCAGACTGGAAGGGTGAGATTCTCAACTTGTTTGTTGAGGGGTTTGCAGAAAATTTTGGTTGGAACGAGTAGCATCACACCCAGTACGTCCATTCGCTGCCTTTCTAAAAAATGCTTTAAAAAATATCTCCTCTCATCTCTGCATACCGTATATTTACAGCAGATGGCGCACTTGAGTTAATAGCACTGTACAGAACATGCCATGTGGCTGCAGGAATTCAACCATCAATTGTGTGCAGACTGGCTCAGCGGTGAGCTCACTGACCCTCAAACCCCAGCCTCTCGAGCATGCGGGGCAGGGTGCATGCATGTGCGCCCCATGTGTGCTTGTGCGCATACATATTTAGGTGTGTACACAAGAGTTAGGTATTTCAAATAAAATTATGAAACATGTTAAAGCAAATTGTATATGTGTAGTGGGTCCAACTGAGTCGCAGACATTGTTCCTTTTATAGGCAACACTTTTATTTGTAACACCGTAACACAAAGAGGTAACTGCCCCTTTGCCAGACTACAGCGAGTTACTGCTACGAAGGGTCGATCCCTCACTCGGGTCTCCGACCACGTGATTGCCTCGTAAGACGGGGAGCTTCAGCTTGAGATGTAGAGCTTCCTGCTTGCAGATGTTGAGCTTCCCGCTTGTAGATGTTGAGATTCCAGTTTGTAGATGTTGAGATTCCAGCTTGTAGATGTTTAGATTCCAGTTTGTAGATGTTGAGCTTCCAGCTTGTAGAATGCAGCGACCCCGGTCCCTCTCAGGGACCCGCCTTATATCCCTCTCCGGGCGGGGCCGCTCCGCCCTCGGCCCCGCCCGCCTTCCCGAACATTCTCGTTCCCTCTCGATCCTTCTCAAGAGCTCTCTCCAGACACGTGATCACCCCCGAGTCCCCCCCACCTGGGGCCCCCTGTATGGGCATTCCGGATCACGTGTCTACGGGGTCAACCAGAGTGCCATGGCCCGGGGCAACCCTGCACAGCCACCCACATGGTGCTGTCCACGCTAGGGCTGGTGTTACATACAGCCACCCACACGGTGCTGTCCACGCTAGGGCTGGTGTTAGACACAGCCACCCACACGGTGCTGTCCACGCTAGGGCTGGTGTTACACACAGCCACCCACACGGTGCTGTCCACGCTAGGGCTGGTGTTACACACAGCCACCCACACGGTGCTGTCCACGCTAGGGCTGGTGTTAGACACAGCCACCCACACGGTGCTGTCCACGCTAGGGCTGGTACTACACACAGCCACCCACACGGTGCTGTCCACGCTAGGGCTGGTGTTACACACAGCCACCCACACGGTGCTGTCCACGCTAGGGCTGGTACTACACACAGCCACCCACACGGTGCTGTCCACGCTAGGGCTGGTACTACACACAGCCACCCACACGGTGCTGTCCACGCTAGGGCTGGTGTTACACACAGCCACCCACACCGTGCTGTCCACGCTAGGGCTGGTGTTACACACAGCCACCCACACGGTGCTGTCCACGCTAGGGCTGGTGTTACACACAGCCACCCTCACGGTGCTGTCCGCGCTAGGGCTGGTGTTACACACAGCCACCCTCACGGTGCTGTCCACGCTAGGGCTGGTGTTACACACAGCCACCCTCACGGTGCTGTCCACGCTAGGGCTGGTACTACACACAGCCACCCTCACGGTGATGTCCACGCTAGGGCTGGTGTTACACACAGCCACCCTCACGGTGCTGTCCACGCTAGGGCTGGTGTTACACACAGCCACCCACACGGTACTGTCCACGCTAGGGCTGGTGTTACACACAGCCACCCACACGGTGCTGTCCACGCTAGGGCTGGTGTTACACACAGCCACCCACGCGGTGCTGTCCACGATGTAGGAACATCGAACGGCACGACCCTTCCGGGCCGGCACCATACAGTGACATCCCTGATGTCACTACACAATGTTAAGAATTAGTATTATTAGTCATGTGCTGCATATAAGATAGTATAACTACAGCATGCAAAGTAACAGACATGTGTCAATCATAATTCTCACATCCACATATTATTAACTTCTGGAATGCATTCAAATGTTAAAATGCTGATGACTCGTTGCACCTCAGTGAATCCATGGTCTGATATTACTAACCACCAAACCTCAGCTACCAAACCTGTTTCAGACTCTATAAACGATATTTTCTGAATAAGGGTAGTCAGCAAATACTTACATCTTCCTTTCCTCTGAGGAACAATTCAAATAGACCCTGGTGTTATTTTGAATCAACCTGTTATTTTAAGTGTCATTTATATCGACTTGTCTTCTCTAATTTTACTGGTATCTGGCATATCACTATACCACTATACCACCATACTACCGTGGGCAGTGGTCTTATAGTGGTTAGCATATGTTGCTATGAACCCGGTGACCCGAGTTTGATTCCCCTAGGTAGACTCCAACTCAAATTAGTACTTGGTACAATGTATAAATATTGCCACCAGGGAGACAATGCGTGGTTGCTGGCCACCCACCGCCTCACCTACAATGCCGGCCTTCATAGGTACTTGCTTAACAGCACTTTCCCCAATAGTCTGTAAGGCTATACGGGGATCTTTGTTTTTGTCTGTTAATGTGGAGGGTTGAGCGTTGGGGAGAGTAGAGTGAGAGAGGGGAGAGGTGGGCAGGGAAGAGAGTCCATTAAGGTTCGTAATAATGGTTTCAATCAGGAATGTATTGAGAGCAATTGGAGGCATTGGAGAATTGGGGAGATGTAGTATTGTTTACGGGCTGCGGGTGATAAATTTAGCCTTGGCATTTTGGGTCAACTGGAGCGTGTAGGGTGATGAGGGAATTGAGAAGAAGAAAGAGCTAAAGTATTTTAGTCAGGATGTGACGAATGCATGTTTGAGGGTCGCAGTGTCAGTTGGGGTAATTAGACAAAGATCCCCCATATAGCCTTAACAGACTGTTGGGGCAAGTGCTGTTAGTAATTACCTAATGAAGGCCAGCACAGCACGTGAGGGGTTGGGTGGCCAGCACCACGCCCGGCCACCTTTGTCTCCCTAGTGGTAATGTTTTACACATCGCACCAGGTACTCATTTGAGACTAGGGAAGGCCCAGGACTGGTTCAGATAATTGTCACTGGTGTTGGCCGTGAGCGGGAATCGAACTCGGGTCACTCCACTACCAGATAAGGAGAGTGCATGTACTCGCACGCACGTGTGAGGGCATGTGCGCGCGTGTGTTTTTATATACTAAGACATGTTGGTACGTGCTGTAAATTAGTGTATTTAGTAATGTATACTGGCCAGGTGTTTGTATATATCTAAACATATATGTGCATATGGGGTGCGTGTGTTTGCAGCGCCGGGCAAGGCAGCGGATCGACCAGGGGTGGTTTCTATGCATGCTGACTTTCGCATGGTTGTTTTGGCCAACCGGCCTGGTTTTCCATTTCTGGGAAATGATTTTTTCAGTGCAATGGGTAAGTCGCACTGCACAACTGGATGACTTATTAGCCCATAATACTCTCCTAGTAGAGTGCAGACGATAACTCGTCCTTTCAATAAATCCATATTTTCTTTCACTACCAGGTTCACATTCTCTTTAAGCATTTGTTGGAAATGCCATCTGTTTTACACATTCTATATTACATGTTTATATAGTGTAGATAATTACCGTATTTTAACAAGTTTTTTTCTTTCATAATTTCACAATTCTTTCATGACAAATAATTTCAAGGCTCTTTCAAAGAATAAACCACACTTGAAAATGTCTCATTACTGGAATGCTATAATAAACTTTGAACTTAATAAACACTTCAACAATTCATTAATTACACTGGCAAATGTATGACTATAAATTAAGCTCTACAACCACCCAAAAGTGGTAAAGACATTTTTACTGATCAGGTATTATATATTATATAGGAGTATATTTACCTGTTTGCTATCTTAAAAAGTTCAGTGTAGTTAATGTTTGAATTCACATTTGAAATAAAATTTCTTTAAATAAAAGACTGGCTTTTCAAAAGCGACTAGAAAAAATTCTGTTTAATATCAGGGGCTCTATTATCATGATGGAGGAATGGCCATTCTGAGAAAAAGTAGTTTTGAAACACCATTTTTATACTCAAAACAAGTAAGAAACAAGGCAACCAATCAAGTCGGCACAAAACATTTCTGCTGATATTTATTTTGGCTCATTGACAAAGCTTTCATAAAAATTTAAGAATTCTAGTTTGCCTCAACCAAAAGGTGCCTTACTATGCCTTAATAGGGCCCTTTGTGGTTTCCAGTTTGGAAGTGTACTGTAAAATCATAACAAATACTTAGCTATGTCATCGTTTCTTTGAGCATTTTGAAACAAAAAAGGTTAAAAGTTTGTACCTGTTGACCGGAATCAATTGTGCGTAACTTTGCACTTGCTTTGGTGCTGCACGAATTCCAGGGGACATATTTGCATGTCACGCGGTGGAGAACCCGTGCCGCTCATCGGAGCTGGCCATGCTGCAGCGCTATGGGCCACGCGTGCAGCTGAGCTCGCTCGAGAAGCTCGCCGCCGCCTTCGGGGAGCTGCGTGGCCTGGCGGACGCCGGCCTGGCGCCCTACCCTTATTCGACGCGTGAGCTGGTCAGCGTGGTCAAGCATCTGCAGGTGAGCCTGGGCCTGGGTGATTCGCTTGATGAGTGGGTGGAGTTGGGGGCCAATTCAATCAATGATTTAATGTTTGTATGTTGAACTTATTTTGCACCGTACGTAGCCAACCGCGCAAATTGGAGGCGCAGGGGAAGGACAACAAACTAAACACAAAAAGCAGTTCTAAAGCAATGAGTTTTCAATCTAGATTTAAAAGTGCAAAGCTCCAGTGGCTTCCTAATATTGGAAGGAAGAGCATTCCAGACGGCCGCAGAAGCGCATCTGAAAGCGCGCGATTGATACACTTAGTGGTAGCTATCTTTCTGTATTCATGTATATGCTGTGTGTGTGTTGTGCTGCAGATGTTCCCAGACGATGGGCTGTGGGGCGCTGTGCGCAGCGTCTTTGATTTCGATGCCTACAGCCCCGAGGCGCGCGACATGATCCTCTCCACCCTGCACAAGCACGGCATCCCTGCCGGCGCACACCCTGCCAACGTGCAGCTGGCCAAAGAGTAAGCTGAGATGAATGAAAGAGGAAATGTATTGCCAGACGGGACGCGTTGAGTCAATCCGATGGCTTCAGCTTAAATTGGAGAGATACCTTATGATTAAGCTAGTCTGGAAATTAAGCGTGATGTATGTTGGTGGTATATTATCACATTTCGGGAAGATCTTTGCAGTGTGTTTGTCTTCTTGTACCTTGTCTGCCAGAGTCGAGGAAAACAATCTAGATATTTGCAATGATAATTATCTGAGAAACATTGTGAACAGAAAACAATCAAGTTTTACTGCCAAATGTGTGTATTAGAGTCTACTTTCTAATAACATATCTGATGAACATTTTAAAATTTCAAACATTGTTCCTTGATGCCAAATGCCCTATCACTATATATATTATCATGTTTTGCAATGTATTGTATGCTAATTGTGAAATAAATGTGCGATTTTTATTCAAACTAAAATGTCAAAATCTTTTTTTCTCCAACTTGTTTCCATCATTGATCTTAGAAAAATATCATGAACCACGTAAATTTGATCATTCCTTGAGAACATATTTCAATGTGCAGATGTGTTTATTGTTTGTTTTGTTTTTACTGTTCTTGTTTTTTTTTAAACACTGAGATGTGCACTCTACTTAAACGAATTGATAGCTTGGAACCATCAGCCCATGAAGGTTAGGTGTTGATTAACATCTTGCGGCATCTAGAGTAGGGAATTGATATCAAGGTTTAGTGATGAAACAGCATTGGTTGGAATTACCTCCACTTTGTTCTTGAATGTTCATTGAGATGAATGGAAAATCTCATTATCTGATTGTAGGAAATATTTAATACAGTGCAAACTGTCGAGAATTATAGTCTGGTTATTAGTGAACACCAACAAATATATACATACATTAAATACATTACAGTACACAGAGGAATGGAAATGAGGGTGGAAGCCTATTCATTATAATTTAAATGCAGTAGTTTACAAAAGACATCCACTTGTTACAAGCATTTTCAAAAGACAACCACTTGTTACAAGCATTTTCAAATACATACTCATTAATGATTGTGCAACCACAATCAAACACTTGCATTGTGCAAAATGTTGGTCAATGTCTGGCATACCTCCCTGAGGTCTGGTCACCCACAGGGGATTGGGAGAAACCTCGTGGCTTAAAGTTAAATTCATGCTGCATTCTTCAAATTCATAAGCGCCTTTAAACCGTGGATGCAATGTGGCCCATGTGCAAATGGCCTAAGCAATCCGTTGTTCTGCCTTGAGCCTTTTGTCAACCAACATTGCTTCACAGATACCGTGTCGTCAAGCTTCTCAAATGAAAGATTCTTCCTAGTGTGCCCCAGCCCACATGGACGTTCACGTGGTGTTGCAGCCTCCCAATGACATTAGGCCTCTTAATCTGACAACGAAGTGGAACACCAAACTCCACACGTAACTACAGGTAGTTGGCCAGGATAAAATGTAGATTGCGTAACCTTGTACACCCACTACATTAAAACAAATCTGATGCGATGTCATCCATAAGAGTAGTTTGCTACTCCGAATTTCTGGTAGGTGAATATCCAGAAAATCTGCAGGATTTGTTTTTTTTACCAGAAATCGGTGGAAAGACTGGATTAGTGACATAGCACGGAAAGGGCCACGCATGTTCATGCCCATTCGGCTGCAGACATGCATCGTTAAAATTGTGGAATTCTTATATGGGTTTAGCCCTTCCCTCCGAGTGCATACAACAATTTGTTTGCACATTATGACGATAATATTTATTTACGTACCAACAATTGTTATCCTCCTTGTGCTCAGACAATTATCAAATTGTGCTGTACATTTTCTCACTGAAGAGTACTGAAAAGCATATGGAATCCTTTAAAATGAAATAATTTAATTTTCGTCACAGAAAGTGTATACCCAAATAGCTTTTCCAGTCGTATAGTTAGAATGTGCACTGGATTATGTGAGTACCACATGAGGTTAATATAGAGCATATTGAGCCAGTAACTTCGAGATTCTAGTATTCAAACACATGCAGCAAAGCAGAAATGGACATGATGGGTTTCCATTTGAATGGTTCCTGATATATATCACTCGATTAAACTAGGAACTGAAGTTTGCCCTCTATTTGCTATTCCAATATGCATGTCTTCACACAGTGAGTGGAATCAATATGCCAGAGCTGGCACAGTGAAATCTTTCAGATGTTGACAAGTGCAGTCATTCATGGGAAGTGTGCCCCTTTATACTGAGCATACTAAATAGGCCTTGGCATCCAAAATTAATGTTGCAGTTGTGTTACATGGTAGAAAGTGCAATATAAAATGTAAAATATTTTTGTGTAATCAGTGCACCTGTATTATATGTTACGTGTTGTTCTTTTCCTATCTCCTTTTCCAGGCTCCCTTTACCTCCCCCAAAATTGATAGGACATTGGGAGGTAGGTGGACAGGCCAGTGGAGACCAACCATGGAGGCAGTGTTTCACAGAGAAGAGAACCGTGTCTGTTTTGGTACGGACGTCGCACACACGCCAGCCTCTTGCCTGTGATTTGGTGACCCATGTGAACTCTCGACAATTTCTCGGCTGTAAAATAATCCTCATTCATCTAAAAGCCGATACTGAATCTGTTTTGTAAAATAACGGGATTCTAGTGATGATTCCACAATCGCAAGGAAATTTCAAGCTTGGCAATTCTGCATAGAAAATATTGGAGATTCCACGATTCCTCTTTTTCTACATTGCCATTAGAAAAAAAATTGGACTCCATTAATTGAATACTTATTCTGGGCTGGGTATCATTTTCTTCACGTATCACCATTATGGTTGTATATTATCAGGGTGCTTGTCTTGTAGTAGGCATTGCTGTAATTTCACGGTTGTTTAGTGTCTGTTTTGGAACATGTGCTGTTGTAGCTAATGTACCGAGCTTGTGTGGGAGCTGAAGCGTCAATCGCTGTTGCTTGGCTGCTTTTGTGGCACTGCAGGGTCCTGCACTGCAGCCAGCACAGACTCAAGTTGCAGAGCGGGTGGATCCCCGGGGCCTGCACTTCTCAGAGGAGGAGGCGAGCTGGAGTCTCAAGCTACACGAAACCAACATGGCGTGCGACCTAGCTGTGAGCTCTGCAGCCCCCACAGGTGTGAGCCAGATCTCTGCGCATGTTATTATTTAATGATCACATTCCCTAGTCCACAAGGCACTAATGTGCTCTTTGTTGACTTTTTCACCTGGGTCAGGAATATAATTAGAACGGCTTTTTGTGTTCAGTTGTTGTCCTTCCCTCGCCCCTGCGCACCTCCTATTAGCACGGTTGGCTACGCACGGTGTGAACAAAGTTCAACAAATACAATGTTAGTAAAAGCATCGTTTGTAGGGTAGTTCCAGTGTTAAATTTATCTCCCAAATTTAGTTGGCGGTAAAACACATTGGTCCTCCGGTGTTAATTTTCACAAGGCAAAAAGCCCTGTACTGTGTCGTAAAAATCTCGTGTGACACCAGCACGGGCATTGCACTCAAACAGTATGCATCGGGTGTTCAATGGGCGTGTGAGCAGGTATGGAGGCTACCACAGTGTATGTGGCGACCTGCAACCCTGTGGGCCTGTACGCGCTGCGACTGGGCAGCAGCGGTGAGCCCCTGCTGAGGCACGTGGACTTGGCTGAGGTTTTCCCGCGTGCTGGTGTAACCATTTGGCAGCCCTTGGTCTCTGTGGCCCCTCTCGGTTCTCATTTGGGCGGCCAAGTGCTGATGCTTGAGAAAAAGGTATGGCCAGCTTCCACCACATATACTGCATACATTATTTTTTAATAAACTTTGTTTCAAATTCCTGCAATTCTGCCAAACAGTTTGAGTTGTTTAACCTGGAACGGGCAAATATAAAATCCCATAAATCAGATAGGGGGGAGGGTCTTGTGGCACCCCTCGCCTGAGCAGAACTTACCACAGCAGCCCAGGCATATCCTATGAGGACGAAACTGGAATGAGAAGGACTCTCCCCAATTGGACCTGATCCCTTCTGTCATCCACGCAACAGGCCAGTGACCGTTATCCACAAACTGAAAACAACAACAGACGACATTGCTAACTACAGACACACGTTGCTCCTCAACGCTGCCTATAAAATATTCACTCAAGCCTTTCCAATAAGTTTTCAAAAGATCCTGCCTTTCTTAATCCATGAAGACCAAACAAGATTAATAAAAGGCAGTCCATGTTATATCAACCTCACATATACAGAACACACTGAGTGAGGCCTTTGAAATAGCCCTAGATGAAAAGAAGCAGCTTGACTGGGTAGAATCTCCCTGTTTACTGCAATGCAACATTTGGGCATCGGACTAAACTTTACACACAGCTCGGAACCTCCATAAGAAAATATGAACTGATCTGACCAGAAATTCCCCTCCAGTGGCACCAGACAAGGATGAAATTATGCCCCTATTGTGTGGCTAAATCAACAAATGTTCATGTTGCTATTTTTATTTCAATGAAAAGACTGAATAACATGAAATGTAAACATAACGCATGTATAATAATGAAACAAAATATGAGGATGCAGGACAAATGTTTTAAAATAAAATAGGACGTATTTATAAGCACCAGGCAAAATATTTACACAGGTTGTTATTCGTGGATTGTAAATTGCATTTTTTTCTCCCTGAAATGTCACTGAATTTCTTAAAATATATTACCTGGAAAATGCCTTGAGATGAAACATCTCGTTTACAGGGGTGTCCCAGGGTTGTCTTGTGTTTCGTGATCACAGTGTGAGTTGCTGACGTGATGGATGTGATGCTGCTGGATTTGTGGTGTGTGCTAGAGCGGCCTGGTGCTGCTGCTTGCTCCAGAAGCGGACACTGTGCACCGCCTGCTGCTCTGGCCCGGGGAGCAGGACCCACCACGCCCGCGGGGTCAGAGATGGTGGTCCAGCAAACAGGAGCAGGCACAGGCACGTGTCCACATGACTGTGTGCAAACACATTCACACTAACTATTAACAAACTATTTTTATTTGACTAGGTAAGGTTCACTGAGCTATATAGCTCTCTTTAAGAAGCGGCCTGGCTATCCCAAACGATAGCTCAACGAAGTGGCTTATGTGGAAATGTATAGCAACCAAATTCTCTTGAACGCATGTTTCTAAATGTGGAGGGAAAAACGGGAGGACACGGACAAAAATCCACACAACCACGGGGAGAGCATGCAAACTCCAAATATACAGGGGTCAGGGTTGGGATCAAACCCACAACCTATCATACCAGGCGAAGTAGTTAACATCTCACCACCGTGGCGCCTCTCATTTGCGGCGTATAGAACCTTCATTCACCTCCAGGGTGGGGCTGAACCACTGCAGAGTGAATAAGAGTTATGAATAATATTGGTCGCGAAAGCCTACGTGTTAAACAGGGGGTACTGCTGTGTGCAAAGTCAGCAGCGGTTGCCCTAAGAAGAGACTTAAAGTCTTCTGGATATAAACCCGTGCTGGATTATTGATCAACGTGTTGAGTTTTTTTCGTCACTTGAATTGTGGATTGGTTTTTGAGTTTTCCTTTATACCCGTGATTTAAAACGTAAATATGGTTGCGTCGTAGAAATTAGTACAAAAGCTAAGAAAAAGTACTGTGCTCGCACACAAACATGCACACTCACGAGTGTCAGTGATCGGTCTGATCAGTCACACACAATGCAATGTGGGCATATTTTCACATATGCAGATGCTGATTTTGATTCAGAATGTTGCAACCACTTGTATCTTTTGCGTCCTATTTTTAGGAGATGTATTGCATGGCAAAAGAATTCTCTCATCAAAACTGGATTGTGTTTTACAAAGAGAATGGGTAAGTCTTGTCCAATGGTAGCATGACTTAAACCACAGAATATTTTACACGTAGACTTATAGATTTGAGTTTCACTGAGGGACGTAACATATCATGTTCAAAGGATCCGTGGAAATGTGCACTGTTTGAATCCCAATCTATTAGCTTATTATGAACAATTCAGTGTGTGTATGATGCAGTGGCCTATTCACCTTAATTAATCTCGCTTCATATACTAAGGAAATAATAGGGAGAATGATGAGATCTTGACCACCTGAGTTTGATTCCTGTTCCAACCAACTATGATGGAAAGTGATATCTGAACCAGTCTTGGACTGCCTCTTTTACCAAACCATAATGACCCTCATGGTGATGTATGTTCAGACAACTCCCACAACTTACACAGCGTGTGGAAGCCTTCATCCAGAAGTGGATTTATACAGTTGTGTAACTTATTATTGCACATACAATAACTGGATCAGAACAATGATGTACCAGCGGGCATTTACTGATAACTATAATATGTTAAATTTTGATTTAAACCTTTCGTGACTGCAGGGATTCATATTATTGGTTCTTTCAGTAAAGTCACGTAGAAGGAAGGATATAATATGTTAAATCAGCTTTTATATGACAGACACTGAAATCACGTTTTACTTTTATTTGTCAAACATTTGAAATAGAAAGACATGTTGCGTGTGGATTTGTGTCTTGTGTGGCTATGTGTGTAACAGGAATGTGCTGGACTTGCTGCATGTTGACAAAGGAGTGGTCACATCCATCGCCCTCCCCATCAACATTTCATCCCTCTTTTTGGTCTCCCAGGACCACTGGCTGCTGGTGGAGAGTAAATCTAACCGGTGAATAATATGAATGTTATATGGTGAAGGAGCAAATCAATAATCTTGTTGTTAGAGCAATCACAGATGTCTGGCTTCTATAGTGCATACAATTGAATTCTATAGCCTGACAATATATGCAGACATTTCACACACATGTAGTATAAAATAATGCTAAAAACAAATGTGAGAAGTAACCAATTAACTGTTTCAATTTACAGCATATGTGATTGCATAATGTGCACAGGTAATTGTGGGGTTCAAAAAAGGTCACAGGTAGTGTTGTTGATGGATGTGTTAAGGTCTTTCGGTTATTAGTACTCAGCAAGTCGTATTGTAATGTCAATTTTTTTCAGGCAAATATCATTTTACAGCAGCAAGATAATTAATAGTCACGCGTAGGTTTACCCTTGCTCTGAATATCTGCCCAGGCACATTACTTATATGGTTTGCTGTACCCAAGCAAGACCACCCTCTGCGGCAGGGGTGGTGAGAAAGCTTTTTGACTCGCAGAAACTGCAACCAAAGTACATTACTTGACAAGTTCCATTATAAGGGATCATCAAATTAAGTTTACACAAAATAAAACAAATAATGTGTTGATACTGCATTGGCAGGTGGTGCACAAGTACAAATAGAAATACAGTGAAACACAACAAGCAACTGTTTTGCTAATTTCAGGGTCTTGCGTTTTTTTTTCCATTTGTGTACATTGACTTGATTGTACTGTGCATGTATGTCCATGGACACATGGTCACGTGCAACCACCTTCATCTCATTGTGTAGGAAGTTCCTGCTCGTACGGCATGGCTCCAGCGCGACAGGAGCGGAGGCTGTGTACCAGCTAAAACCCATCTCGGAGGAGCCCGTCAGCTTGGGCTTCGGCATGCTCACAAGTACTGTGCTCCCAGAATGCATACAAAGACACACGCACACAAAGCCTGGCCTGTCTGGCCTTCTCAGTCCTTAGAACTCAACTGAACAAATCAAGGGTTTTATATATTTTATGGCTATGAGTCAATTATTTTCTAAATTAAACTGCTCAAATTTAAATGCAGAATGTTGTATTTTCCCTTTTACTATAGCATATTCAAATGTACCTATGTTAATGTGTCTTTATTGATTCTAATACATCGGGTGCATGGTTAATGTCTTATTTGATTTGCTTGCCTCTGAGCCGATGGGTTCTCGTTTTTTCTTTTGAGTTGGAACAGATACCATCGACATCTTTGCTGATCAAAAAGTATTGGATTACGATTAACACGTGAATGTGTATGTTGTGCTCGTTCATATTCCATTGTTATCCAGTGCAAACCTGATTACTGAAAAACAAAATGTGTTGTTTGTATTGTTCCTTAGCTCTTGGGTTACACTGCTGGCTTGTTAGCATCTCCTGCCAGGAGACACAATTTATTAGACCAGGATATCAATTGGAAGCTGTGGACCTCTAACTATAACATGGGACTCTTTGAATAAACTACGTGTGGTTATAGGATATGTGCAATGATATCTTTATCACTGAAATTACATCACTGTCATCACTATGCTATAACCGTCAGTATTATTCCCTGCAACATGAATTGGTATGTCTTATTAGAGATATAGAGCATTAATAGGAAAATATAATGTTTTCGTGACAAATCTTACTAATTGGCCATGTTGGGTGGTGGTGGGTTTAACGACATATTTATACTTACACGAGCTGACCCCAAAAAAACTTTTAGGAAAAATATTGACTGCCACAGAAACAAGAAAAGAAAAATCCTAAACAGGAAAACAACACGTGCTATGTTTTCCCCACTAGATCCACAATTGCACATGACTTAAGATTAAATCACTTCTTTTTAAGTGTGCTTTGCTCTTTGGCCGCATGTCCGCACGAACCCCCACTGGTCCGCATGGCCAAGCATGCACAGCGTAGAATTACTGGGCGACGTGGACTGGTAGCAGCTGTGTAGACTAACAGCAAAGTAAGACGTGTACATCATGGTTCATCATTTAGTGCTGCATGAGATAGTAAATACATTGGCAGTATGCAGTAATGAGAGATTAGTGCAGAATTCAAAATATATATTTTCACATTCAATAATTGGTTCCCCCAATAGAAATCCAAACTGAAGGAATTTGCGTGAAAAAAAAAACATAGATTGAAAACACATTTTCTTTTCATCAAAAAGCAAGTTATATTAATGTAAAAAAACCCATTAAATATTTTTCTTGAATCAATTTTTGTAAGATGTAGACCTACAATTTATTGCAATTAATTAAAAATAATTATCTGGGATAATCGTGGTGAGGGGGTGGCTCGGATAAAACAAAAACACAGATAATGCAAAGCTCGCTTCAACTCGGCTAGAAGCCAGATTCATTGTTTAAAAATACATTATTGTTTATAAAAGTACATTTTGTATTACTTTAGTGAAGTCAAATGGGCACTGAGTCAAATGAGAAGCAACAAAAATTAAACCAGTGTGCACATGATGTTCTTTTTCACAACCAATCCAAAAATTGAGAGTTAACTGTACTCAATGCTGCACATATATTCAGCTACGTGAAAATTCTATACGCATTGTACATATGTTAAACATCTAATAGCACCAACACAACGTTCAAAACACAAACGCTTGAACTTTTTGCATGCACGCGTGCACGCATACACAAAACACACAGACACATAAACACACAGACACATAAACACACACCCACTGCTCCCAATCTCCCATCCCCTAGGTTGGCCTTGAGCGACCCTGCTCCACGTCCTCAAGCTCCTCCCTCATTCTCCCTTTCTCCCACCCCTCCCATCCCCATGTTGCTTTGTATGCCCCCACCCCCAAGTTCAAATAAAGGCAATTGTTGAATTGAAAAAATAAAAGTTAAACAAAACAAAGTAAGCTTTTATTTAAAGGAAAGTTCCCTCACTTGCAGGTGCCTTTCTGTCTGTTGATCAATATCACAACAAACCATTGTACATGGTTTTGGTGGAATTCGTTCATCAATAATCGTGTAACGACTTATTTATATGCGTGCATTTGCGATAGCTATAATATCAATGATTGGCTTCAACATCTCGCACCTACTCATAACAGTTGCATAAGCACATTCCTAATGATTGTGATTTGAATCCTCCCATTAGACAGGAGCTCAACTAGGCCAGTGTCAGTGTCCTGCGAGGAGCTTCCATCTGAAAACCTGAGCGCGGCTCTGGGGGACCGGGTGACATGTCCCAATCGCCTCCTGGCTGACCACTCCACCTACGCCACTCTTCTCCTGGGATTTCCCGAGCTCACGGTAAGAATCGCACATATTTCTCATATAGCAAACAACAAGCATGGAACGTGGCTCAGTGGTAGCGAGGCCACCGCTTTTTGCAAAGGTTTGCCGTTTGAATCCGGTGGGCCACCCCTGGTTAATACTACGGGTGTACTAACCATAACATGCTAAGCATCATCTGCTTCACAGTGGACTTTAAAGATCCCTTGACGTCGGCTATTGTGTGCCATGCCATGCTCTACAGTTGCCACGTTAAATAATTGCTCGCAAATTTATTGAATTGGGGGTACGCATAGCAACATCGCACCTCTATAGGCTTACTTAATGCCTCCCATTAAGCCGGTGTTGAGTCACCTTGCGCTGCACAGGGACAGCTGCCGCTGGAGGGGGTTCCCTTTTAATATTTGATATGAAATGCCATGTCAGGTGCTTTCAGTTGTCGAGGTATTTAAACACCTTATATGGACATATTAAATTTTTTGTTCATGTCTTCAATATTTTAATAACAAAGATCCCAACAGGGGTTCAAGTCTCATTCCACACTGCGGTAGACATAGATAGCAATGGTACTATTAATTTATTGAATGCACTAACCATCCATTTCCCTTCTTCCTGGATGGAGGGAGTTCCAGGATGGAAGGAGTTTTAGCCAAAGATCTGCCATTTGGCAGATAACTAAATAAGACAAACCATCTTAATCTTGTGTTGGTAGGACGCGAGAAATATACAGTAATACTTATGTACTTATAATTTATTAGAGAAGATTTTATTTTGTGAAAAATTGCCACGTCGCTAATATTTAATGAAAGTTTTTTTTCCTTGCATATATATGCAAATTTGATTAAATCTGCTCAATACATTTGTGGAAACTGATGAAAACCGAAAGTTTTAACATTTTTCTACTTCCCTCTGTTGGACAGTCCCCCATTGAGGTTCATGCGTGGAGTCGGGAGGAAGATATTTCGTCTGCCCTCCCTCATAGCAGCTGCTGCTTTTTACCAGCGACCAATCAGATTGTGCGGGCCCTACCAGCTGACCTCGTCCCGACAAGCAAACTCTATGCACCAGGTATGCATGGTTCCTCATAGAGGATGCACCACTTCAGACTCTGGATGTGAACGTGTTGGTAGTGAGTTGCATTTAACACATTTTAAGTAGAAGAAAATAACGACGCTCAAACAGCTACACAAATTTTGATTTAAAGCTTTCGTGACTGCAGGGATTCATATTCTTGAGAGATTTGTTCATGAGGCTATCCATATATACAAACACAGAGACAATTTCAACCAAGAAGATGGATTCTGGCTTAGCAATCATTGGAAGGATTTGTAAACCATTTCGGGTCTTAATGGATTGATCACGCTTACAGTGGCTTTCAGACCGCATCCATTATTTTCGTCTCCCTCCTCCTCTTTTCCGAACATAGATGGACTCTCCATCTGAATAACTGCCAAATCGCTCTCCGTGGTGCTAACGTTAAAATAAAAGCGCCACTTTTTTCAAATTTTCTTGCTGTGGTTTTCACACCTGATGATTGATTGCTTATGTTGCAGTCGAAACGTCGTGAGAATTTTATTGTTTTATATTTTTATTATTTTATTGTTTCCCTTCTACGTGATTTTACTGAAAGAACCAAGAATATAGCTACACAAATCTTAAGGTTTGTAGACCAACACATACAGTTTTTCCAAAACAAAAACTGAAATGGAGACTTTTTCGATTTAAAGCTTTCGTGACTGCAGGGATTCATATTCTTGGTTCTTTCGGTAAAGTTACGTAAATGGGAAATAATGAAATAATAATTATTTTATTATGTTATTATGGAAACGTTGGTTAAACCAGTGGTGTCCAATACAGCAAGCACTATGATCAATTTTAGTGGATCTCAGTGGGCTCCCCAATCCACCAGAAGCTATGTGACCAACTATTACCACTGCAGAGTATGATACAGTGTAATATTGCCATCTATTGGTATAAGTTATTCATTTTTAATGTAATAATTCCTAGAGGATTTTTATTTGTCATGAGCCATGATGAAAATTCTTATATGCTTTGGCCACTGCTGGGTTAAACCAATGCATTTTCCCTGCTCATTTAGCATAGGTGTTTACAGATGTATGTATTGTTTCATTTGCTAGAAACCTACACATTTCCTTACCAAAGGGTTTCTGAATCAATATTGTCTCATTTGCAGTCTATCTTGTTGTACAGAGACAAAACACCCAAGTTGTGCTGGATATTTGGAAATAACAGACCTCAGCTCCAAGAAGGTGAAATACATCCCCGTGCCAAGGTAACCCTGAACTAGTGTCGATGTGTTGGTGCATCTCTGGAGTGGTGTCGTCTTATTGGGGACTTCGTATAAAAAAAATTGTCAAAAGAATGACTGGTTTACACAAATAATGTTTAAAATCGCAATACCATTGTTGCATAAAGCATTTATTTTTTTGATATGGCCACTTTTGGCAGAACGACAGCCTTTTGCCTAGAAAACAGGTAGTTCCGGTTTTTAATATTTATAGCAGCATTCCTGAATCCAAATTGTATTGTTTAGGTGTACAATTGAATACAATGGGTCCTGGGATTTGTTTCACTCATCATGAGTACACACTTGCCCATATGGAATGAAACTTACTCAAGTATATTCTGTAACAGAGAGATGGACAGACTGAAAAATGTTATGTGTGTATGTATGTGCGTATGCAGTTCTGACTTCATTTCGCCCTACACGTCATGGCTATCTCGAGTTTCAGATGCTGGCTTCCTATTTGCAGTGGCTGGAAATGAACGTCTGGTTACTGTAGACACAGGGGGACGTGTTCGCCTCTGGGAGATTGGATTGGCTAGTTTGGAACGCTCTTTGCTTGAGTGGAGAAATATGATTGGCCGAGGAGAGGGCTCTCCCTTGCAGGTAAGAGCAACTGACCTGAGTAAAAATGTATTTTATATAAAGTATACCCCAATTATCTAACAGCATTTTTTATGAACACATTTTTTTAACTGGTGGTGTAACCGATGGGCTCGTGTGAGCCCAAAATTTAAATAGCCACTTTGGTTTTAAGCTCCATAACACTTGTGAGTAAAGTTTAGAATGCTGAATCAACCATCCCATAAGCAGAAAAACTATACATATTGGGGTTAGCAAACTCAGAAGCAAGTGTTGTTGATAAATTAACATCTATACGTGGAGGTAACTATTGGGGCATAGTGGTCAATGGGGGTGTTCTTATATAGACTGTATACTTGCATGAAATACGCAGACTCGTCACAAATCGACTCGGCATCGGTAGCAGTCTTTAGGCGGTAGTAGATACGAGTTTTTGGTCGTTGCTGTGGGGTCTTACTATAAGAAAGGTCGTAAAAAGTGGGGGGTCGCAAGTCAAGCCATCGTAAGTCGGGGATCACCTGTTACTGTATTGCACATGAGTACCAGGGTCATGCCGCCTTTCCTATGTCATGCGTAAACTTTGATCAATTATGTTTGTGAATAAGCTAGAATAAAAGTTACTATATCATTGCAATGTGACACTAATAAGGGGTAACCTTAAATTTTGATTTAAAGCTTTCGTGACTTGCAGTAATTCATATTCTTAGTTCTTTCGGTAAAGTCACGTTGAAGGGAAACAATAAAATAATAAAATATATAAAACAATAAAAAATCTCACGACGTTTCGACCATAACACAAACGGATAAGTGGTAACCTTGTTGATTTTTGGCTGTGTGCATAGGTAACCGTGCAGAGAGACAGTGGAGAAGATGTCTCTGACCCCAAGCATGGCCGTACCGACCCCAGGAATGATCCCCACGTTGGTGGCAACACGTGGGCTGGGGGAACAGGTGAATAAGCCTGCATCCGTTAACACTGCTCGCATGGAATAATCACTATAAAACAATGCTTTATACCTTGTATGCATCGTTCTACACGTAAAATGTATAATATATACGTTGATGAATTAGATACCATATTATGCTGCATATCATTCTTTAGAAATGTACTGATTATATCACATGTTCAACGAAGAGCGACAATTAAAGATTCAGTTCTAAGTGATTGAGCCATTTAATTGTTTGTCAAGAGCTTTGTGGAATTGTCCATACACCCACTGCCTTCCAATTTATCTTCGGGGGAAAAAAAAGTTACATCGTTTATGGTTTTCTGTTTGTAGCTGCAGTCGCACACCAGATATTTTATGTATTTATTTTCCACCTGTGCGGTTGTTATCCGCATCTTTGTAAATGAATTGTACAATACTGGCGATTGCTCAAGGTTACATTGTTGCATGATTAATACAAGCAAGCGGTTTCTTTGTGTGGACAGGTGGCAGAGACACGGCAGGTTTGGGTGGAAAGGGAGGCCCGTACAGGTTGGATGCTGGCCACACTGTACACCAGGTACCTATAAGAGTATTGTTTCTGTTACTCCAATTAGACAAGACATATATGGAGCATCTACTTAAGTAGAATTTGCTTTTTTTGCCAAGAAGTCGTGTTCTTCACATTCAGGGCATTTGGCTTTGTGACCTGAAACAACTTGTACATGCAACAGACAAAAGTGTGAGGTCACCAAAGCAATTGCACAGGGCATTCAGGAATGAAAAAAAAACAACAGCAATCAGTGATTGCTATGAACAGGGCCTTTATTGAAGATCTGTAAAAGTATAGTTTTGTATGACCTGCACTTTTGAGAAATAAGGTATTTTCATATTCTTTTTGACTGCCGTTAATATCATTGTGTATCGTGGTTAGAAAAAAATACTGTTACACAATTACATTGCTAAATACTACTGTCTAGTACTCTTTGGTTCGTTCGGTAAAGTCACGTAGATGGAAAATACAAATAATGAAAATAATAGATCACGACATTTTGATCACAACAACAAGCAGTCCACAGCAGTCTGTTTCTTTCACCTGAAGACGATCGCTTGTTGTTGCGATCGAAACGTCGTGATATATTATTTTTATTTTATTATTTGTATTTTCAATCGCCGTGACTTTACCGAAAGAACCAAAGAGTATGAATTCCTGCAGTCACGAAAGCCTCAAATCAGGATTACTACTGTTTAGCTTGCAGTGGGTCCACATGATTGGCCCTCATCATTAAGGTATTGCCTTGTGTATTTGTAACGTACAGTTAGATGAAAAGTGCACTCGGAAACCTTGCATTTTACCCGCTTGTCCTGGGAAAAATGACGGTCCTTGACAGCGAGTGACTTTTCACTCACGCCTCTGCTTTTCAGGTGTCCCAGGCAGAGAAGGACGCTGTCCCTGAGGAGGTGAGACGGGCAGCGCGCGCGATGGCGGAGAAAGTCTTCAAGGAGAGGTGCCAACATCCTGCCGCTCATTGCCATTAGTTGTAAGACTGAACGTGTTGTCAACATATCTGAGATGATTGATACTCTCATCGTTTATGATATATATATAAAAAAAAATCAATGGTTTTGAGAAAATGTATTTTAATAGTGCTAACAATAGTCTTGGTAAAATTTAATCTCTTTGCCTGACTCCTAATGCTTTTAATTTAGTTGGTAAACAGCTGTATTTTATATGAAGGTCTTGGTTTGTCAGAGCCTCCACTGTATTCTTGGTTCTTTCGGTAAAGTCACCACGTAGAAGGGAAACAATAAAATATTAAAGAGATAAAACAATAAAATTCTCACGACGTTTCGACTGCAACACAAGCAATCATTGGTCCATCTATGTTCGGAAAAGAGGAGGGGGGAGACGAACAATAATGGATGCGGTCTGAAAGCCACCTTAAGCGTGATCAATCAATTAAGACCCGAAATGGTTTATCAAATCCTTCCAATGATTGCTAAGCCAAAATCCATCTTCTCGGCTGAAATTGTCTCTGTGTTTGTATATGTGGATAGCCTCATGAACGAATCTCTCATGGTAGCCAGATGGCTTGCAAAGAACCTCTGTTTTGGAGAAGTCAATGTCATGTGAGCCTACTGAATTATAACAGTGATCTGCCACGGCCGAGGTGTTGGTTTTATTATTTTATTGTTTCCCTTCTACATGACTTTACCGAAAGAACCAAGAATATGAATCCCTCAATCACGAAAGCTTTCATTCAAAAGCCTCCATTGTATTAATTGCCATTTCATAGTCTATAAGAGCCAGACATAATGCAGTTTGATATTCATTCACTTGTCTTTTTTATGATGTAATACGATATATAATCCTGCATTTGTTGGTTAAAGAGGTGTAAAACTCCTGCAGTTTGTTTTTCTAAGCTTCTACAAATTTAATCATTGGCATGTGTCTCCTCATATGTCCCTCTAGATATTCCTCAACTGCTCCCATATCCTGCATTTGTGAATGATCTCGCACATGTACTGTCTGGATATGGCTGTCTGATATCTAACCATTATTTTTACAGCCTCCTATGCATCTTCTATATTGAGTGTATTTGCTTCTCTGTGAATAGAACTGGGTATTATATTGGTTGTGAGGTTTGTGCAATGGTTGTATTGAGTATAACTGGTTGGTAATGTTAAATATAACTACATTTTTGTACGTACAATTTAAACCACACCAGTGCATCTCTAGGCCTCCTCAAGGAGCCATTGCTTTGTTTGGCTACACAGCCAGCGTTTGTATGAGGATTTCTGTCAAGTACACAGACCAAACACAGGCATTTATCAGTCAAGGTTCATCAAAACTGTGCATGATAATCTAATAAACTTCAACACAATGCCACCACATCTCGGTACAATTAAATTCTGGCCATCCGAGCACAGCCCAGACTGTTCGTGTCAAACTTGAACAGGTGGCAACCCTAATCTCTACTCCTCCAAATACCTCGTCAGGTGTGTTCTCAAGGTAGAAAATAAGTCAAGCTTCATATACATTGTCCTCAACCAATTCTGTTGCTCTTTTTTAGCGGTATGATGATGCATTGATGCATTAATTCATATGCATAATATGTATTCTTAAGCTAACGAAACATGCATCAAATCGTGCGTGTAAGAATCAATGTTAGTTGATTTGTATATGTTGCATGTATTGGGTTCACTTAATGCCTCCAGCCACTAAACCACGATGTTTAAAAGTATGGAATCGAATCTCATCCCCGAATCACAAGGGGGTAAATCATGAAACCCCTAGTCTTTATTTAGATCTCACCCAATAAGAATGTGAACCTGAATAAAACATTCCAGAGGGGATACAGTGCTCAGCTGTGCCCATTTAAAATGTGGTGTATTTAGCTTTGTGCTGAGAGGTGACCCTGTGGAATCTCACAAATTACATCTAGCAGACGTGACACATTTCCTTTCTGGGATTAGTTTCCACTTGCCAACGTGCGATGATGTGCAGTTCTATGAAGTATTTGTTTAATTCGTTTTTCCGACCTTTACATCTGAAATGTATTGGTCAATAATTGATTGCAAGCCCCAAAGGCAACACTATTGTACAATGTAAACCATGCAGAGCAACCTGCATGGATATTCGCACCCCTCAGCGGTGTTGTTCGATTTCTCACAGTCATACTCATTGACAACTGCAAATAAAGAACACAAAACCTGGAAGATTGAAATACTGTAGGTGTAGGTGACACCTTTTTGATGTCTATAGTGATGCCCATACAACTTATCTTTGCATACCTTGGACAACCTCCCCTTTTCTTTCAAATGGCATTTCAAAAGCAATAAACTGGGTTGTACTTCTACATTAAGTCTGAAAATCCATTTGATGGCATCTGAAGTCACCTGATAGATTCTATTTGTACCTCTTGCAAAAGCGTGCATTGCGCCATAGCACACACCATTCAGTGGGCTGTGCATAGTGTGTGAGGCTTAGTGGGATGTGTTGATGCTGTTGCTGAATGCGAGTGGATTTTTATCGGGCTACAGTCCAAGCAAGTAGTCTGCTTGTAGGTTGCTAGATGGTAATATATGGTTATTATCAGAGATTTTGTTTTTATTAGTTGTAATTGTCTATCAAAGTTATCTTCATCACTGCATAACCTCTGCCTATACATAGGAGGTTTTGAATTCCATGATATTCATTTCATGACTGCAGTATGTGGACTTGTGTGTAAAATGCTTGTAGGTTACGGGAGATTGGAATGAGTGAATATGATGCCGCCACGTACGAGCGGTTTCTGGGGGCTGTGCGGAGCCAGGTGCAAGCCCTACGCATCATCCTCGACAGCCTGGAGGTATCCCTGTTCGGTTGACCCTGATGTAGATGTTTGAGATATGGTGATAAATCACTTAGAGTTGCTATGGCAGTAATTATGCTAATAATATATTCTACAAGTTTAGGCGCACGGGGGTGGTGCAGTGGCGTGGTGGCACAGTGATTAGTATTACTGCACGGTACACCAAGTTATGATGAATCACGTTCAATTTCAGGCTACAGTTAACACATACCTGTCAACCCATACGGTCTACCCATATTCTTGTACAGGGCAATTTATTTTTCAGGTCCATATTGGCATACAGCCGTTTCAATACAATCATACGGCCAGATAAAACAAGTCGTGGGATACATATTCTTGGTTCACAAGCGACACTTGTGTGCATGACATATTTTTTGTCTATTTGTGTTTCTCCCTTATAATCGGACTTTGTAGGATGAACTTTGAGATTTATAAGGACATGGAGTGACCAATAAGGTCTGAATTGGTCTGTAATAAGGTAGGCACTGATAAAGGGTTGACAGGTATGGATAACATGAGTGGTGAGTGATACCTGCATCATTCCTGCTCCCCCCCCTCCCCCCATATGGTGACTTCTGGTCAAATAACCCCATGCCCAACAAGACATGTAGATAAACTAATTTAGCAGTTAATTTAAAACAGAGCGGTCATATATTATGATAATGATGATTATGGATCAGTGGTTGGAAATACAGCTCGCAATCAGAAGGTTGCAAGTTCAATTCATAATTGGAGTAAGCACAATCCTTCGTCCCTTTAGCGTTGATAAAATAAGTACCATAGCAGGATAGATTCAGGGGAAACATATCCCTGAAATTGTTTTAACGCCGACATAAATGGATGGAAACTTTACAGGCCAAAGGGAAGGAGCGGCAGTGGTTGCGTCACCAGACAACAGGAGAGCTGGACGACGCAAAGCTTATCGACGGTCTTACGGGTGAACGAGCTGTGTACCGCCGCCGTGGAGACCAAGATCCTGAGGTGAATAGGAGGCGGGCCTTAGGCCTCGAAGTTTCTATTGGACTCAGGCTTTGGGCTTGAACAGCTTTGGCTCGTGGGTCAGAAAAATATTTTTTTAGGAAAGTAGATTTTTGCTTCATTTGTATTGCAAATCAGTAAAATAGAGGTAATCTGTACATAATAAAGATATCTGCACAAATCCACAATGGTTAACCAGATGTCATAGGCAAAAAATATATACATGTAACATTGGAAAATAATCGACAATCTTAATTCAGGAAAAAATTAAGATTCACATATCAGTCCTAAGATTATTGGCAACATGGCAGCAATGAGGTGGGGGGGAGGTGGTAGCTCAGAGGTCATAAATGAGGTGGGGGGGGGGGTGGTAGCTCAGAGGTCAGAAATGAGGTGGGGGGGTGGTAGCTCAGAGGTCAGAAATGAGGTGGGGGGGGGGTGGGGGGATGGTAGTTCAGAGGTCATAAATGAGGTGGGGGGGTGGGGGGGGTGGTAGCTCAGAGGTCAGAGCTATGAAGCAGCACCCCTGAGATCCTAGATTGGAATATGGACAGCCACCCTTTATTAATCTGGGTTCTGAAATGTAGCGAGTGGATGAACAGCCCAGTCACCGGTGACTGCACACAAAATAACGTCGTTAAATTTGGTGTTTCACTTGTGATTTGGTTAAATCCAGTTCAGAGAATGAAAAAAATGTAAATTTGACTGTCATGCAAATATATGACAGTGTATGGGAAAGTATGTCCTGTGAAAAATCCCTGCAGCAGCTGTTCTCTTGCAAGCCGGGGCACACTGCCTTGCAAACTCTCTAAATGGATTCTTTGTCTCATGGCATGATGCCAATATCACAATTGGAATTGTGGAGGTGGGGGGGGGGGAACCATAAAAAATAGATGGCAGCATTACATCTGATCCAAATATAATTTACAGCAAAAACTACCAAATAAAACAAAACGTATCAAATTTATTTTAAAATCCCGCTAGCTACGATGTAACACCACTTGTACGTCGCCATTTTATCTGTCAATCCTGATATCCAAAAATAATATACCGTTTTACAAAATAATGTACTAACCAACTCATGGTTTTGGAAGTCAATTGACCGGTGAGTTGGATGTTAGGGAAATATTTTGAATAAATTCCACTTTATTTTGAATTATTGATAGTTTTTTTTCCCGCCCAGAGAAAATGCAGAACATCTGTCTTAAAGGCTGAAGTTTGTTGCTTGCAAATCATAACATTAATATTTAGTTTAGTTTCCATTTGATTTTGTGTGTGCTGTTGCACTTCTCCACAGCTGGGCTCACCACTGGTCAAGCCAAAGCGCCTGCGTGTGCTGCTCGACGTCTCGGGCTCAATGTATCGCTTCAATGGCCTGGACGGGCGACTGGAACGTGCCATGGAGGCAGCCTGCCTCATCATGGAGGCCTTGCAGGGCTATGAGGGGAAAGTCTCGGTGAGTTTGGTGTTGGTTAGATTGGCCTCACAATTGGCCCCATGGTACAGGGAAACCTTTCGAAGCTAGAGTAATTGGGGGAAGAGATCCTTTCCTTGGTGTAAGATGTGTGACATACTGCAAATAATACAGGTTGGAACAACAGGTTCCACACTGCCCACCAGGGATTATTTGTCTCTCTGTCGTGCATATCCGGAATTCCATCCGCATAATTTGACTGCCATCTAGCGGGTAATGACAGTATTTCGATTTAAAGCTTTCGTGACTGCAGGGATTCATCTTCTTGGTTCTTTCGGTAAAGTCACGTAGAATGGAAACAATAAAATAATAAAAACAAAACATAATAAAATAGTGAGAATTTTACCGAAAGAACCAAGAAGATGAATGACAGTATTGTGCTCTATAACAGTCAAGTACAACTGATGATTCTGAGCACATACATACATCAACAAACACTTGTATCAGTGACTTCAAACTTTCGTTGACTGCAGGAATTCGTATTCTTTGGTTCTTTCGGTAAAGTCAACATCAGCAATAAATCAAGAATCATCATCAGATGCCATAGTAAGAGCTACAACCTCCAACACGACTACGGTATCCAACACAGATCGTACAAATGCGCTGTCCAACCAAGTTCCTACCTGCCCACTCCGTAAGGAACGTGTTTCATTCAGTTATACACACTGAACCTTCACTACATTTCCATGTCATGAATACCTAACACATTTTAGTAATGTTTAGTCGCCTAATAATATTGTAAGTGACGGGCAAGACCATCTCAGCTGTACTTAACTCGGCTCACTTGGTTTCTCTAATCAAGGACATCTCACTGTCTCCAGATGATTTGCTTGTCAATTTCCATGTAGTCTCCCTGTTCACCAAAGTACCTGTACCTGACACCATTACAATAATTGAAGACTTGGTCCAACAGACTGAATCCTGATGTACCAACTTTGGTGAGGCACTGCCTTACCAACACTTACTTCACCTGGAATGGTACATTCTACAAATGAAATGAGGGTACCACAATGGGTTCTCCCTTATCGCCAGTAGTAGCAAATGTTTTCATGGAGAAATTTGAGACAGATGCCATCCAGACATCCACCCTACGTCCTTCCCTGTGGAAGAGATACGTAGATGACACGTTCGTCATCTGGCCACATGGCCTGCCAGCACTGAACCAATTTCTCAACCACATCAATTCCATACACCCGTCTATCAAATTCACCATGGAAGTGGAAAATGATGGCAAGCTACCTTTCCTGGATGTTTTGATCGAGAAGAGACCTGATGGCTCGTTGGGACACTGTCTACAGGAGAGCCACCTGCACGGATTCCTATCTAAAGCCTGATTCTCACCATCATCCAGCCTAGAAGAATTCCATAATCAAAACACTACACCATAGGGCCCGTTGCATCTCCGACCAGCACCACCTATCCAGTGAACTGGAGCACGTACGCCAAGCCCTCAAGATGAATGGATATTCGGACCGCACAATCCGCAAAGCTGTATCCCCAACCATGGGTAGAGAACCATCTGAGGACCCAATCAAAACCATCACCATACATAGCAGGGGTTACCAAAAAGATTTCCACAATCATGAACAAACACAAGATCCAGGTTGAATTCAACAGAGTACACAATCCGTGACCTGATCCCATTTGTGAATGATGCGATTCCTGTCATGCAATACCCTGGTGTCTACAAACTAAGTTGTGGTTGTGTCAGCAGTTATATCGAGGAAACGAAACGACATGCCTCGGACCGTGTTCGCGAAGACAAGGCAGATTTGAAACACGGCAGAACCAATACCTCTGCCATGGCTGATCACTGCTTGAACGCGGTGGGCTCACACGACATTGTTTTTTCCGAGACCAAGGTACTCTGCAAACCTTCGGGCTACCATCAAAGATTTGTTCATGAAGCCATCCAGATATATAAACAGACATAACTTCAACCGAGAAGATGGGTATAAATTTAGAAATCATTGGAAGGACGTTATTAACCAGGTTAAGCCTGACCTGGTTGTTGGTGTTACCATTCTACCTGCCATTGTCAGCGTTTTTTTCCGACTCTCTGAGTTACATTACCAAGTTAAATGTCTTTACTTTAACGGGCTAAATGTCTCACTAACAAAGCCAACGTTGCCCCCTTTCCCTCGATGTGGCGGTGGCTCTCGTTTTTTAGCAGACTATAACTGGCTGTGATGTTGTGTGTGTGTCTCTCTGTGTGTGTCCCTCGGTTTGTGTCTCTCTCTGTGTCTCCCTGTATTTCTCTCTCTGTATGTGTATGTGTGCCTCTCTCTCTGTGTGTCACTTTGTGTGTGTTTCTCTTTGTATGTGTGTTTCTCTCTGTGTGTGGGTGTGTCTTTCTGTGTGTGGGTGTGTCTTTCTGTGTGTGGGTGTGTCTTTCTGTGTGTCTCTCTCTCTCTGGGTGTGTCCCTCTGTGTGTGTCTCCCTCTGTGTTTGTCTCCTGCTGCACACTCTATCCCGCCTAGTGGCTGATATACCGTCATTACACTCGACCCTCGATCATCTCCGCGCCTTTCTTTCACCCTGTTCAGCGCTGCCTTTCCTTCACCCTGTTCAGCGCTCTATCCCCCTAGTGCTGATATACCGTCACTACACATTGACATGCTAATCTCTCACAATACAATGGCCACCTCCTCAGCACAAGCTCCAGCCCCCACCCTCTTGCCCGATGTGGCAACCCCCCACTCCCCCCCTCTCGGCTCTCTATATAAGGACTTGTTTCAGCAGCCTGTTTCTCACTCCCACCTGAAGATGATTGCTTGTGTGGCGATCGAAACGTCGTGATCTATTATTATTTTTCTACCTACGTGACTTTACCGAAAGAACCAAAGAGTATCCATTTACAATACAATATTTTAAACCATTGTTTCAATTGCCATGCCAAGAGATCAAAGCGGTGACCTCTGGCTTACAAGTTCAGTGTGCTAACCATTATACCATGACAGCATCCCAGGTCAGAAAACTAATATTTTACATATATATACATTGGTGACAGCAATCGTGTAGCTGATTCTTGATTGAAATGGGAACCGATAAAGGGATGACGTAATTGACAAGATGTGATTTTTCTTTCATGTGAGTCATACATTTGGTTGTATGATTCTAGATATGGAGTTTCATAGTATTGGATTTATTGAGGCCATAGAGCACAGAGTCACAGTGATCAACGTAATAAGTTACAAAAGCATGAATTAAGGTCTCGGCAGTAAATGGGGAGAGAAAATTGCCAGTAATATTACACAGATAAATAAAAGTAAGAGATCCGGCAAGGGTGAAAAATAGCCCTGGATGAAAGATAACACTAAGCTTATGGACATTATTAGCAAGAGAAATACAATAAATATTTATTTCTAATCTAAAATTAACCACATCAGTTGACTACAAATAATGGGTATATTTATTTTGTATAAAGAGGCAGCGAGTTATTCCAGTTGACAGTTTGTAACTAATGAGAAAACCCATCAAAACAGGAGAATCGGTGATGTTTAGAAGGGTCCTGTGTTCTCTCACTGTTCATGTTTTTCTTCAGTATGACATTGTAGGCCATTCTGGTGATGGTTTTGACATCGAGTTGGTGCCAACCAACAAGGTTCCCAAAAACAACAAGCAGCGACTGGCTGTCCTGAAGGTACGTCACATATATATGTTAAACAATATTATTTACATTTTTATATCAACCATATTAGTATGTTCCAAGCATTATAACCTTCTACAATAGAGCTTTAGAAGTTTGTCAAATGTACCCATGCCAGTACAATTAATCTAAATTACATAAAAAATAAATATAAATGTGTGTCATTAGAGAAAGACCAGGGACATCAACCATGTGAATCTCGTTAAGAACAGTGAAGAACGAATAATCTTGGATGAGATAAGGGGTACTTTGAGAAGTTGTTGAATTATGGAAAACCCAACACGTGAAATGTTTGAGGAACATCAAAGAATTGAAGTAGTTGCAGATACTATGACTAGATACTATAGCCAGATACTATAACCAGATACTATATCCAGATACTATAACCAGAGAAGAGGTAGTGGAGGCTCTGGGGAGCATGAAACATCAAAAGGCAGTGGGTCCACGTAAGATTCCAATTGACATGTTTAAATTAATTGGGAGAAAACAGTGTTGAAATATTGATGGGGCTGTTTGAGAAAATATGGATGGAGAATTAAATGCCGAATGCGTGGAGAGAGAGTACATTGGTTCCCATCTTTAAAGGGAAAGGTGATGTACAAGGGCGTGGGAACTACAGAGGAATAGCATTGATGAGTCACACCATGAAACTCTGGGAAAGGATCTTTGAAAAGAGACTGAGGAAGCTGGTGGATATTGCTGAGAGTCGGTTTGGATTCAGACAGGGAAGGTCAATGATGGCTGCAATCATTGCGCTGAGAGTAGTGATGGAGAAGTTCAAAGAGAAGAAATGGGACCTGCATATGGTGTTTATTGGTCTAGAGAAAGCATAGAACAGGGTACCTAGAGAGCTCACCTGGTGGTGTATGAGAAGAAGAGGTATTCCTGAGGTATATGTCCGGCTGATCCAGGATATGTATGAAGGAGGGAAAATGTGCATGCGAAGCAGCGGCGGCAGGGTGTCAGGAGGGCTTTCAAGTAAAAGCGGGAGTGAAGCAAGGTTCTGCTCTGAGCCCATTCCTACTCATCCTGGTGCTGGACACACTAACGAGAGATATTCCGAGGGAGCTCACCTGGTGTATGCTATTTGCAAATGATATTGTGCTATGCGGTGAAAACAGAGGGGTGGTGGAATTTGATTTGAAGATCTGGGTGCAAAAGATTTGAGGGAATGGGTTGAGGATCAGTCGGACAAAGATGAAGAATATGGTGGCAAATTTCAGTGGAAATAATCCAGAAATAATCCAGAAGGATTGGAAGTGACCAGTTACTGAAGACGAACGAGTTTAAGTACCTTGGTGCAATGGTGTGTACTGATGGATGACTAGAAGGAGAGATGAGAACAAGAACAAGGGCTGAATGAGCTGAAATGGCGAGAGATGACTGGTGTGGTGTGCAATAAGAGGGGTCCCAGTTTGGTTAAAGGGAAAAGTGTACAAAACGGTGGTGAGGCCGGTGCTATTTAATGGGGCCGTGTGTTGGGGCACAAGAAAGAGGGAGGACCAAGCTATGGCAGTCACAGAGATGATGTTGCAGTGGATGTTGAGTTTAATAAGGAAGGACAGGGTGAGATATGAAGAAGTGAGAGAAAGACTCAAGGTGGTAGGAATCACAGAGGATGAGAGAGAAAAGGCCGGTGTGGTTCACTCATGTTGAGAAACCACAGGAACATTATGTGGGTCAAAAGGTCCAAGTGATGCAAGTGGAAGGAAAGAGATCAAGAGGAAGGCAGAAGAAGAGGTAGGGCGATGCGGTGCGATCGGACACGGTGGCCCGAGGAGCAGAAAGAAAGATGGCGCAGGACACGGTAGCATGGAGAAGGTTGGCAGGGACAGCGGACCCCGCATGAGTGGGCCAAACACGTGGAACAAGAAGAGAAATGTGTGTAATTTACATTAATTAAATACATGGCAAGTGAAGCAGCATTGTTGCCGGTTGTTAGGACTAAAGCGTCAGAATTACTGCTTAACAAAATGGAAATTTGAAGTTCTATCATCGTAGCTCAATGTATATCCTTTAACTGCTGAGTGATTTAATGTCTGATTATAATAGATGTGTTGTCAGATAGTTAACGATGTTGTACAACTATTAAAACCCATTAATGTTTGTTCAGACAATGCACGCACACTCCCAGTTCTGCGCGAGCGGCGATTACACCGTGGAGGGTGCGCGAGCATCAGCGGCGACTCTCGCACAAGAGGATGCAGACGAGCGCTTCCTCGTGCTCTTCAGCGATGCGAACCTGGAACGCTACGGGGTTCCAGCAGCAAGTCTGGCGCGTGCTCTTACCAACGAACCGTCCGTGCATGCATTTGTTGTGTTCATCGGTTCGCTGGGCGACCAGGCTGCAAGGTAATTTTTTTGCTTAGCCACTCTTGTGGTGGCCGTGCGATAAGTTATCGACATTAAATTAATTGTCATGTAAGGCAGCTTGCACACAATCACCACCAGTCCCCAACAAAATAATACACATTCCTGCGGAGGGAGCTGGTAGGAACGTTGGGTTGCTCGGTCAATGGCCAGGGTCAACGGCGGCACCACGTGGTGTATTCCGCACAATATGCCCGACTGTGAGGGCGGGCACAAGCCGGCGTGAGTAGGTTAAACGTTGAGTTTTATAAGGGCACCACAGGGTGACCAGCCCCTCCCCACCCAGCCACACCCCTCCTATCCCCCACCCAGACCCTCCCCACCCTCCCCACCCAGCCCCACCCTCCCCACCCAACCACACCTTCCCCACCCAGCCCCTCCCCACCCTCCCCTTTCCACCCCTCACATTTTTGTATGCACGATGGACGGACGGACACTAATCCCCTGTGGGCTGGTGTAACCAGGAGGTTCCTACCAGTATAAGTCGGCAATAAGCCTCTTTCCCATATTTGTCGCTCCATCTGCGCACTCCTTTATGGGTGTGTTTTTAGTGGCATTGGCTTAATACAAGCAAACCCTGCAACGGTTTTGACGTTCGTAGTCTCACCAGCAGTGTCAAGCTTGCTTCAACCTTATGCCTCAGTCCACTTGGGAGGTCATCTCTGCCCAACACATACACAGGCATATTCACTTACACATCAAATACAGACACATCAACATGCATGACACATGAATACAACATACAAAAGTCCCGCTGTATAGGGTTTCACAGGTTGTTGGGGCAAATGCAGGCACCAAAGGGGGTATCTGGCCAGCACCTTTGTCTCCTCAGTGTAAATGTTTAGATACGCGTGATTGGCTGAGTCAGGGTATTGTTTAACCAATAACAGTGCTCGTTTTGAAACACAGACGGACTGCCACGTAAACGGATAATTTTATATGCGTACCGTATATAGATACATATGTGGTGATTTTATTGTATTCATAAATCCACTGTCCTTAAAACGATGCTTCCTGCAGGTCTAAGGTCTCCTTTTGCCCTACCCTCTGCTTCCTGGTTCCCTTTATTCACCGTCATTTAAAAACCTCTTGCAGGATTCGGATACCACCTTTAAGAGCACCATGTTCATCGTTATTTTTAGTTCTGATTGCACGTTCAATATTTTTTGTTGTTGTATTAATTGTATGTGATGCAGTATCTTCGGATATGTTTTGAAATGCTGCATAAAGTACACCTTTAAACTCGAGAACACGTTGTATACTGTGATGCGTGTCCTGCTCCCCACTTCTCGTTGCCAGGTTACAGCGCATGCTTCCAGCCGGCCGTTCCTTTGTTGCCATGGACACCAAACTCATCCCTCAGATCCTGCAGCAGATCTTCACGACCACTCTTCTCTCATCCCTTTGATGTTACCAGCCATTCTTGACACACGTCTCATGTAGCCACCATAAATGAACATGCTTCTAAAATTTGATTGACTGATTTTGAGTTTTAAAAAAAAAATGACGTGTAAATTCTGTTTTGGGCAATGAACACAACCATCTTTAAAATGGGAAGATCTACAGTGGTTAGGAGCACTATGATACAGTGGGATTAAACTGTGATATGTTGGGGGGGGGGGGGGGCTATTCACATTTTCCACAATTCCTCTCATCTGCACCGACACCCGCAGATACATGCAGCTCGTAAGAAGAGTTTGCCATCACTTTTGGGCGACTCCTCTCATCTGCAGAATGACAATGGATAATAGAAGAATAATTTGTTCCTCAGGACTGCTTCCAAGTGATGCATAGCCATGGATAATAAGAGGAATTTGCCATGAATGTAGCAGATAAAAGGTGTGATATTGTATTAAAAATTAGGAATTTCCTTAGTCACAGAATAAAGTGGGTTCCAATTCTTTTGAGTTTATTTTTTCCAAGAAGGTTTCCAATGACGTATTCAACAAATGCACGTGGAGGTTTGGCCACTGCTGGGATGTCAGCAGTTCCTAAGTGTTGATGCAATTTAAGTCTAATAGGTTTACTGATGTTTTTTTTTATCAGGGTTCACTAAGAATTGTTTCCTTTTTTGATGAGAGCAAGTCCTCGCACCACGATGGGTCTGCTAACACGTCCTGGCGTGGCATGTTGGTCTTCAGTGGGTGCTGTGATGACAGACCGGCAGCAGGCAAGCAGGCTTTAGTGATGCATATACTGTACTCATAAGTCCTCATAAGAAACCTTATTTCCAGTTACTTTGTCCTCCTGCTGCCTAGATTAAAAATGGCTCGATCTTGGCTCTCTGGAACTGGTGACCGTTGCAAGGCTCTGCAAAATATGCGCAAGATGTGATCTTCACATAAAAAAAGCATGCTGGGAATCCTGTTATGTTTTGCTGTTGAAAATTCCTCTTTGTATATATACATGATCACCGTTTTGCGCTTATGAAAACAAGGATGCTTGGAATTGCATTCTTACAGGAAGAGGAACACATGGACATAGAACAAATGCATATTAAATGTTAACTTGGGTGAGGACGCTTTGCCAGAAGGGATGACTGTAGATGGATGAGACTGGTGACAGAATGGGAGTCAAAGGGAGGCAACATGTCTGAGGGTTACCATGTCTGAGGGTTACCATGTCTGAGGGTTACCATGTCAGAGGGTTACCATGTCTGAGGGTTACCATGTCAGAGGGTTACCATGTCAAAGGGTTACCATGTCAGAGGGTTACCATGTCAGAGGGTTACCATGTCAGAGGGTTACCATGTCAGAGGGTTATGTATGAGAGGGTTACCATGTCTGAGAGGGTTACCATGTCAGAGGGTTACCATGTCAGAGGGTTACCATGTCTGAGAGGGTTACCATGTCAGAGAGGGTTACCATGTCAGAGAGGGTTACCATGTCAGAGGGTTACCATGTCAGAGAGGGTTACCTTGTCTGTTACCATGTCAGAGGGTTACCATGTTAGAGGGTTACCATGTCAGAGGGTTACCATGTCAGAGGGTTACCATGTATGAGAGGGTTACCATGTCAGAGAGGGTTACCATGTCAGAGGGTTACCATGTCAGAGAGGGTTACCATGTCAGAGGGTTATCATGTCAGAGAGGGTTACCATGTCAGAGGGTTACCATGTCAGAGGGTTACCATGTCAGAGGGTTACCATGTCAGAGGGTTACCATGTCAGAGAGGGTTACCATGTCAGAGGGTTATCATGTCAGAGAGGGTTACCATGTCAGAGGGTTACCATGTCAGAGGGTTACCATGTCAGAGGGTTACCATGTATGAGAGGGTTACCATGTCAGAGGGTTACCATGTATGAGAGGGTTACCATGTCTGAGAGGGTTACCATGTCAGAGAGGTTTACCATGTCAGAGAGGGTTACCATGTCAGAGAGGGTTACCTTGTCTGTTACCATGTCAGAGGGTTACCATGTCTGTTACCATGTCAGAGGGTTACCATGTCAGAGAGGGTTTCCATGTCAGAGGGTTACCATGTCAGAGGGTTACCATGTCAGAGGGTTACCATGGCTGTTACCATGTCAGAGGGTTACCATGTCAGAGGGTTACCATGTCAGAGAGGGTTACCATGTCAGAGGGTTACCATGTCAGAGGGTTACCATGGCTGTTACCATGTCAGAGGGTTACCATGTCAGAGGGTTACCATGTCAGAGGGTTACCATGTCAGAGGGTTACCATGTATGAGAGGGTTACCATGTCAGAGAGGGTTACCATGTCAGAGGGTTACCATGTCAGAGGGTTACCATGTCTGTTACCATGTCAGAGGGTTACCATGTCAGAGGGTTACCATGTCTGTTACCATGTCAGAGGGTTACCATGTCAGAGGGTTACCATGTCAGAGGGTTACCATGTCAGAGGGTTACCATGTATGAGAGGGTTACCATGTCAGAGGGTTACCATGTCAGAGGGTTACCATGTCAGAGAGGGTTACCATGTCAGAGGGTTACCATGTCAGAGAGGGTTACCATGTCTGTTACCATGTCAGAGGGTTACCATGTCAGAGGGTTACCATGTCAGAGGGTTACCATGTCAGAGGGTTACCATGTCAGAGAGGGTTACCATGTCAGAGAGGGTTACCATGTCAGAGGGTTACCATGTCAGAGGGTTACCATGTCAGAGGGTTACCATGTCTGAGAGGGTTACCATGTCTGAGAGGGTTACCATGTCTGAGAGGGTTACCATGTCAGAGGGTTACCATGTCAGAGGGTTACCATGTCAGAGGGTTACCATGTCTGAGGGTTACCATGAATGAGAGGGTTACCATATCAGAGGGTTACCATGTCAGAGGGTTACCAGGTATTTACAGCACTGTCAGCTTATTATTGTGGCATCGATGAACCATAAATGCGGTGGCATGGGGAATTCCGCATTTAGGCTTCTATAGAAAATGGCTGATGAGCACATTAAATATAACATTTTCATTAACATATAATTTCATTATAAAAAATTCAGTGTTTAACCAACTGCTTGGCTTTCATCAATGTAAATTTGTATTTAAGCAAATTATTGAGTTATATAGAAGCACTAAAAAACGTGGTATGTAAATGTTAATGCAGTTGTCTGCCCCCTTAAAGTCAGAAGGTTGAAAGAAATGACTCCAACCATTATTTTTCAGACTTTAGTGAGAAGCCTTAAAAATTGTCAATTGACTGGCCTATGAATAAGAGCACATCAAAATACCGATTAGCTGAGAAACAGCCTACCGAGCACGACTGCTGAAAAGTGGATCATTATTAAGTAATGTTGCATTAAATTATCTGCCATTAAAGTCAGTAAAAAAAATCGTGGAAGTGTTGATTTATCTTGAAGTTGCAATTCAGATCGACTCCTTGCAACGTGTTTATTTAATGAATATTGTTGGATAAATGCAATAAATAACTCAATGCAAGTTTGTAAAGCTTTTAGTGACAGAACATACTCCGTTAAGTGTATATATAAACATACATTTTATCGTTGGATAAGTGCATTACTGATTTGAATGTGTTGACATCTGTTTACGTGTTATATTTAGAAAAAAATGAATTAATAAATGCCATCCTGTTCATGTCAGCTATACACGTGTGAACTTTTATAAAGCAGTAAGATTTCCTAAGGCTCCACTAGAGCCTTCTCAGTTACGGGAGAGATCCGGCCTGCTTACAAGTAGTGAAACAATAACAAAAGACTGTACGTTCAACTTGCATTTACAGTATATTGTATACGGTGGTGAAGCGATGCGCTATGAACCCATCGACCCGAGTTTGATCCCTATGGCTAACATCAGTGACGAGTGATAACAGAACGGGTCCTGCCCTCCCTTCAACATACACTGACCAGCGTGGTGAAGTATGGTCAAACACCCCCGGGACCGACATGGCGTGTGGAGCCCTTCATATATTGGTCGATTAAGAACGGCTTAAATTATGGATCCATACTATTTAATTGGCGTCAATTTATATATAATTACGTGCATACGGTATTAACAATAACACCAAAAACGTAATTATAAAAAAAATAACTTCTTTACAATCTGAATCACCATGAAAAAGGGTAAAAGCCGAGGTTCATTGGATGTGGAAGTATGAAGAGTATCTGACTGCATGAAAGCGTTCGTTGTGTTAATTTGGACACCTCCATCAGCCACCGCTTCTGTGGCTGTCTGGATTGGGCCAGGCAGTGCTGAATCGCGCTCATCACCCCCTCTGTCTCAGTAGGAGAAGGCGCCAGCCCCAAGCTGCATTGCGTTGTACATTCGCCCGAGTTGTCTTAGTTCAGTGGTGAAGGCGCACCCCTGAAATCGCTTGCTCACGCCAATGCTGACCGAGGGCTTGCCATAGAGAGAACTCTAAACGACGCGCATTTGGTCTTACTTTTTCAAGCGGACCAAGCAAGCCTTGTCGGAAGAGGTGAGCAGTAACCACATTTTTACCACACCACACGCCACCTGCCGATCGACGCGTTTATTATACTGCCGAGTGGACAGGAGGGGAGGCAAATCTCCACTCATCTGACACCACTCCGCCACTCGCCTAACACCAGAATCGCACCTTGACACCAGACACCGCTCGCGAGACCGCTCACATTCACCACTCGAGAATGTATCTGCCGCTGAGCACTCGCCAGGCACTTAAGGAAGCCACTGGAGCTGTGCACTTTTTAGTCTCGACGGAAAACTCCTTTCTTTAGAACTGCTTTTTGTGTTTAGTTTGTTGTCCTCCCCCCGCACCTCCGATTATCACGGTGAGCTACGCACGATGCGAAAGAAGTTTAACATACGTACATTCCTGGTCCCCACCACTCAACAAGTCACCACTGACACCCATCACTCGGAGAGCCAACCCGGCTCAAGTTCCTCCCGGATTGGTGGGCAGGAGAGAGTCGTCTTGTGTGGTGTAGGGGCACCATAAACAGACATACGGAACGCGAGAAAAAGTGGGATTTTGGTGGCCCAAATGGACACTTGGTGGCCCAAATGGACACTTGGCGATGCAGGGCCCACCCCAGCACGCCCTGTAGCGCCGGCTCTCCGGCAGGGCACGAGTCATCTGAAGTGACACTCTCCACCATCTCCATCAGCTGTAAATACTGCAATTTGTCCGTCCGGTGGCATTTAGGTCCATAGGTTGTACATAAGTCATTTTCAATACCAGTCAGACCGTATGACGAATCTCACCACTCCATCCTCTAAACCATCCGCTGCAATCTATTTCCCTCACACTCACCCTGAAGAGTGACCTTTTTTCAGCGACACTCATCTTTGCCTTATCATCCACCTTATCTTCTTCTCCTGCAAGACATTATTGGCTGCGATCAGTGCAATGCACATTTTATTTTAGTTTAGCATTTTTACTAACTTTAACGCACTTTTTCACTAACTGTAATAGACACAAAAGAGCATTTGCCCTTCCGTCTCATTTTACATCGGCAGTAATTGATATTGCGTGAAGACATTGCCAAAAATGATAAAGACCTTTGCAATATACCTATCATTCCCTATTATTGACAACCGCTGGCCTAAAATTTTGATTTAAAGCTTTCGTGACTGCAGTAATTCATATTCTTAGTTCTTTCGGTAAAGTCACGTTGAAGGGAAACAACAAAATAATAAAATATATTTTATTATTTTGTTGTTTCCCTTCAACGTAACCTCTGGCCTGTTTTGTCAACAGTGTGAATGAGTTGGTTACACTGGGCCTTCAGCCAAGTAAACTCTCATACCAAAGCTTAAATAAATAAAAGTTGAATGAGTCTGAAAAAGATACATTACAGTCCCAGCATCGATAATTAAATGGCCTCAGTGACATTTTGTCTATGTTAATATGTTGCAAAACTTCCTTCCCATGGGTGTCGAGGTGCTGTACCCTGGCTTGCCATGAGATGGGAGCACAGCAAAATGTGGGATAATCTCATCATTCATCTGGTCTGTATGCGGTTTCTCCAGGTGCTCCTGCTTCCTCGCAAGTGTATAAAGATTTAAAGCTTTCGTGACTGCAGGGATTCATATTCTTGGTTCTTTCGGTAAAGTCACGTAGAAGGGAAACAATAAAATAATGAAAATAATAAAAAAATATAAACAATAAAATTATCACGACGTTTCGACTGCAACACAAGCAATCATCATCAGGTGTGAAAACCACAGCAAGACAATTTTTCAAATTTTAAAAATACACTTTTGTGTTTTTTTGGTGGGGGGGGGGAGCTCAAAAATGCATACATTTTTTCCAATTTTCTTGCTGTGGGTTTCACACCTGATGATGATTGCTTGTGTTGCAGTCGAAACGTCGTGGTCGTCTTGTGCGAGTTGTATCCGCCAGTCTCGTTCACCCACAGTGCGAATAACTGTGCCAGTCTGGAGGCTGCACGGCGGTGTAAGCTATTGAGCATAATCACTCCATCATTAAATAACCATCATCATGTATTACGTTTCCACACACACACATAGATACACACAGACACAGACAGACACACACACAGACACATTCACAGCGCGCTAACCACTAGACTACAATGCGTTACGCTTCCACACACAGACAGACACACACACAACAACAACAACAACCGCCATTCTCCACTAAGTGGCGGTGACGTCACCACGACGCTTGTGCCAGGCTATGTGCACCGTGAGGCCACGTGAAGTGTCGAACGCCCGCTGGCAGGAGGTCACTGGGCAGACCCAGGTGCCACGGGTCGACTGACTGAGATGACTGGCTGATGCACCACCTGTGCCCCCTACTGTGCCAACCTGCTGTGCTTTAGCCACCCGGCGTTCCGCTCGTTGTTGTGAGCGTCGCTCCTCCGCCCTCCGTTGTTGTTGGAGGACGACTGCCTCCAACTGCCCAGTAGCATCCTTCACGAGCCTCCTCCACAGAGGCCGATCTTGACACCGCTGGTACCAGTCATCGGCAAGTCCACTCAGCTCCACGTCCTCCTGTACCACATCACTCCATCTCTTCTCTAGCCCGTGCCGCGCCCGCTTAGCCCCCTCAATCCGGCCAAACAAAAGCTGTTTCGGAATGCGGTGGCTGGGCATGCGGGCTACATGACCCAGCCATCGCAGCCTTGCCTGCCGGAGGAGCTCACCGATGGGACCCTGCCCAGATCTTTCAAGGATTTGTGAGCTCCTCACACAATCCAGTCTGGTTAAACCCAGGATGGATCGTAGGCAGGCCAGCCTAAATGTTTCTAACCGGCGAAGATGTTCCACCAGGGGGGTCCACGTTTCGCAAGCGTAGAGAAGGGAGGGAATGACCGTGGCCGAGAAGACCTGAAGCTTAGTGCGGAGCGACAGACCAGGTAGCTTCCACACAGCGTTACGCAACCGATGAAAAGATATTGCCGCTCGACTGATTCGGAGTGAGACCTCTGCTGTTAAACTGGAGCCAGTCATAAGCACACTGCCCAGGTATGGGAAACTCTCCACTCTCTCCACAACTGCCCCATCACCGATTGGGAGTTCTGGGGGTGGAGTGTCCGATGGTACAAAATACCCAGGCAGGTGCTTAGTTTTGGTGGGGCTGATGGTAAGGCCCCACCTCTTAGTGGCACGCTCCAGTCTCAGCAGCAGCGTCTCCAACTCCTCCTCTGACTGAGCAGCTATTACCAAATCATCAGCATACATAACGTGGTTGAGCAATAGGGAGCCATCCCTTGACCGCACCCGGGCATCGATTAGCCTCCCATTATATCTGTACCATATGGAGATTCCCCCGGTACAGCTATTGAAGGCTTCACGAACTACGTGGTCAAAATAGATGTTAAATAATATGGGAGCCAGAGGACATCCCTGTCGCACCCCAAGGTGTACAGGGAATGGCTCTGACTCCCGGCCACGTAGTTTTACCCGGGCCCGCTCACCATCATGAAGGTCCTTAATGATCGTGAGCAGAGGGTCAGGTACTCCAAAAGCACGAAGAACGACCCAGAGCCCAGGCCTACTGATGGTATCATAGGCCTTGACCAGGTCAATAAAGCAGAGATGTAGGTCTTGTTGGAATTCCCTACACCTCTGCTGTAGCAGACGGACAGAAAATATGGCATCTGTGCAGGACCGCCCTTTCCTGAAACCGCATTGGGGCTCCGCAAGCCTCTCCTCAGCGTGCCTGGCAAGGCGATGCTGAATAATCCTTGCCAGGACCTTTCCCGGCACACTGAGGAGTGAGATGCCCCTGTAGTTGTTACAGTCTGTGCGGTCCCCCTTCTTAAAAAGGGGGACCACCAGGGCATCCTTCCAATCCTGCGGAACCCGTCCAGTGGTCCAGACTGTTGTTATGATGTCATATAGGGCAGTCTGTGCACAAACGCCACCCTCCCTCAGCATTTCGCTTGGGAGATCATCTCTGCCCGCTGCCTTTCCTGGTCTCAGACTCCGGATCGCCTTCAATACTTCCTCAGCAGATGGAACCTCAGCCAGCCACTCACAGGGGGTGACTTCATCCAATATTTGAGGCACCGCAGCCTCAGCAGGGTCATCCTCACTTTGTGCCACGATGTTTTCCTGGCTGAGGGATTTTCCCTCCCCCAGGACCTCACAGAAATGCTCAGCAAATCTGCGAACCTGTTCCTGGGGGTCGGAAATTGGATCACCGTTTTTTCCCCTAATGATGGTAATAGGTGTGGCGCTGCAGGTTACTTTTTTGATGGAGTTAAATAGAGATTTGTGATCACGGGCCACTGAGGCAGACTCCATCTCCTCAGCAACCTGCGGCCACCACCCATCCTTGCAGCGCCTCACGGCTCTCCGAACCTCCGAGCGAAGGCTGCGGTAAGCCTCCTCATTCTCTGACGTGGGATTCTGTAGCCGATGACAGTGGGCCTGTCGCTTTTTCTCAACCATCCTGAACAACTCCTCTGTCAGCCAGGGTGTCTGGGGAGGTCTGGACCGCGTACCCAAAGCAGCCATTGCAGCTGCATGAGTCACAGTCCTAAACCTCGCCCATTTACCCTCGACATCAGGAGGAGTCGGGGACGATGCCAATCCCAGCCGCAAGCGATGATGAAATTCTCGCTTGCAACTTTCATCAGATAACTGAGACCAGGCCACTTTAGGTTGGAATGGGGTCCTGGGTGTACACCCACCACCGGAGTGGAAGAATGGCAGGCGCATCTTACAGATGACTAGTCGATGGTCAGAGGGCAGATCAGCTCCACGGTAGGTCCTGGTGTCAAGGACATGGGCTCGCATTCGCTGGTCCGTCACTATGTAGTCCAGCAGATGTTCTTGCTTGGACCCAACATGCATCCATGATGTTGTGTGGATGCGCCGATGCCGGAACAGCGTGTTGGTAATTACAAGCCCATGGGCTGCACAAAAATCTAGCAGCCTCCTACCGTTGTTATTGAGCTGATCTGGCCCATGCCCTCCAATCACTCCAGACCAGGTGCCAGTATCATGACCAACTCGGGCATTGAAGTCACCCAACATGATGACTCTATCCCGAGGGGCCACTTTAGCCAGCACCTGTGACAGGAGGTCATAGAAGGCATCTGACTCATCGGCTTTGCCTGCATCCCTCCACGGATGTTCATCTTCGGTGGGGGCATAAGTAACCACGACCACCATTCCTCGCCTCCGGTTGATGGGAAGGCGAGCCCAAAGTAGCCTGGGGCTTACAGCTTCCCACACCTCACCGCCACGCTCCCACGCCCCCTTCATTCTTTTGTTCAAAAGAAGACCCACACCCTGTTGTTTGGCAGTCTGCTGCCCCGAGTAGAGGACTGTCCACCCCTCATGGTGGCAGGAGCCAGAGCCGGTCCACCGGACCTCCTGAATGCCGCATAGATCCAGGCGGTACCGGTCCAGCTCCCGACAGAGGAGTGGCAGCCTCTCCTCTGCAGTGAGCGTTCGAACATTCCACGTGGCCACCCGTAGTGGCTTTTCGTTGTTTCTGGAGTAGCCCCGAGGGTAGGTATTCAATCTCCTGGCTCCGCCAATTGGGGTTTGGCCAGGAGACGTCATAGACGCCTGGCCCCCCGGGGCCTCCGGCACAAGCTTAGTTGTTACATATTTCAGTTTAATTCGTGGTTTCGTGGTAATTAATTGAAGGTGAAGGGGTTACCAGCCCCTCGCACCCGTCCAGAGCCCCCGTTTAGCCCCTGTGGTGGACACATATGCCATGAGGGGAGGAGCCAATCAAAATTGGATCTCCCCCCACAGCGCTGTCCACGACAGAGTTGCCCGTCCGGCACCGCGAGGAGGTAGGGGGTTGTTTTGCCGGACACACACACAGACACACACACACGTACACAGCGCGCTACACTACAATGCGTTACGCTTCCACACACAGACAGACACATACACAGACATAGACACACAGACAGACACATACACACACAGACAGACACGCACAGACACGTACACAGCGCGCTAACCACTACACTACAATGCGTTACGCTTCCACATGCGCGGGTCACGTGACAGATTTGACGTCACAGCTCACTTGCCGTGCAAAAAAATAAATGCATTATTGAGCTCCCCCCCACCAAAAAACACACACAAAAGTGTATTTTTTTAATTTTTGCATGGTGTACAGTTTGGAAAGTACCCACATGGCAAATTTCAAGTTTGTTGCATGTCGGGAAGTACGCTAATAAACATTTTGAACAGACACACATATTCACAACTTTGCCTTTTATATATCTGGAGATCATCAATCCACGACTCGTGGGACACAGCCCAGCAACGGCAGTGTCACCGAAGATAATCATCGGCAGCGTCATCATCAAAATCATGATCAAATACATCATCACCTCCATCATCATCATCATCATCACTCCACGGTGAAGATAGCGGGAGATGAGGGTGAACGCAGATAACTCGAGTTTTGTGGATCGATTTTTGCCGCGGACACCAGAAAGATCGCGGACAGAACGAAGCGTCAACAATGCACACAAATACAGAGATCCCCCATGTAGCCTTCACAAGTGTCGGGGCAAGTGCTGCTAGCGAGCACCTATGAATGGCCAAAAGCACCATGCTCGGATGCCTTTGTTTCACCAGCGGCGATGTTTAAACATAGCAGCGGGTACTCATTTGAGGCTGAGTCGACCTAGGGGATGCCCAGGACCGGTCTCAGTTGTTTTTTTTTTGACCATCGATGTTGGCTGCATGTGAGCGGGAATCCAACTGGAATCCGTCGGTTTCGTAGCGCAGTACGCTAACCACTACACTACAGCTCCCCACAACGTACACGCAGGCAACACGCGCACAGGTATATGTATACACACACAACACACACATCATGAATTGCCGCTTACAGAAGCCCTCGTCATGCAACGAGCCATTTGAAAACTGCACGTGAACGAATTCCATCGCTCGATCTCTGCGATAGTTCGGCTTCCTTTGGGCGTCATTCAGCCGTCCATAAATGACGTCACACACCTGGGGGGGGGGGGGGGGGGGGTGGGGGAGGGGGGTCAGACATTTGTGACGATGTGTGACGAGGGGGGGAGGGGGGGTTTGAGAAATCTGACATCACAACTTTAAATAAATACAAACAATAGAATTGTTATAACACTAATTTTGATTAATTGTTATTATTAACTAATTTACTAAGGTCACCTTTTATTTATTCCATGAAGGAGCATTGTGCTTCTCCATAGAAGAATGGAGAAGCAGAAATTTTGTAAAATTTTTTAATGATTGTTATTAAATATTTTCATTTTAATGATTCTATACCAGGGCTTTTCATTCAATTATATTTTTTTAGTTATAATTAATTGTAATATTTTTATATTTTCAATATAATATTCTGAACATCTGCAGTTTTAGTTAGACGTTGAATATTTTCAAGTGAATTTTATGCTAAATTTCAGATTTCCAACGCCTCTTTTTTAATAAATGTTTTCTCCTACAACATCAGAGTGCAGCGCCACATTAAATACGCACTACAATGACAATAGTTTAAAGTGATTTGAAGCATGTTTTATTTTCAAAATGGAAATATGCTTTTTGGGGGGGGGGGGGAGAGCTTTGTGACGTCATATTTTAGGGGCGTCTGACTTTTTGTGACGCCATGTCACGAGGGGTAAAAAATCGGCCAAAATCGCGTGACGTCATTTATGGACGGCCCCTAAATGGTATGTACTTACAAATTTCTCTTTATAATCCACATACACTGCCACCACTCCATGCTTCATTGCACACTTTTCGGTTTTTGTCAGTGTTTACACTTAGCGCCATTATAGATAACGAACACGGTTTAAAATTGTTTTTATTTACGCACATGTGTGAAATGCACGCTGATGATATGGCTTTTCATTAAGTTAATAATTTCAAAAGCTTGTGTCCGACTCTTTATTCCACCATTTTGGGCCTTAAATGTATGCCCGAGTAAAACATACTCTGCGATGCCTTTCCAAATGTTACAACAGTTCATGACATTATAATGAAAACACATGAAGGCTGAACAATGGGGCTTAATATAAATTCGCCAAAGTCGCGTATGGCTCGCTCGCACAATCATTGAAGATGTTTGTCGGACGCCACCATGAAATAGAGCCTATACAGCTTATTGGGCTCTTCCTCTTGAAATCGAATCTAAAGGACACCACTGAAAAACACATCGCAAACACGAGTGCAAAAAAAACACACACACAGTCACAGCCATAAATTCGCAGCACACGGAGAAAAATAAACAAGGAGCAGCCTCCTCCAGACCCCCCCGGTGCCCCACGCGGCTCCACAAACCCTGCCAGACCCAATTCCTCCCTCCCACGTGGCTCACAACAACTCATCGACGACAACAGCCCCGGGGTTCTCCCGCTTTCTCATCCCACTGCGCACAAACACATCGGCTCCGTGTATTTGAACAACAACCCACGGAGTTCTTGAACGAACGTTGTTCAGACACGCAAGGCGAGCGACGCAGTTGGGAACGCTCTGGCAAGGGCAGGGCGCGTTTTGGAGTAAAGTTGCAGTAGTGTGTGTGATGCTGGGGAGGAAGGGAGTGAGAAGAGCACACTTTGTGGGTCTCACATCAAGCTGCGAGACAGACGATGTTGGTTCGTCTACCGAGACGCGTTGCAGCGCGCCAACTGTGTGTGTATACGGTCCAATTCTTGGCACTCGATTTTAGATCATTCACTTTCTGGGTACTTTTCATCAAGTGAATGAGCACGATTGTATTTTTTTTTTAAAGGTGGCTTTAAAAAAAAGAGACATGCTCATTAACACGCGTCATTGTTGTCGTTTATAGGAGGGGGAAATACTCAAATCAAGTTGTTAACGAGCCCCCCTTTGGCATAACAGCAACTGCGTGCGCAAACTTGTTCCAGTCTTGACAGTATGAGCAAGTGACTGCCGAGCGAGTCTTGGCCTCTCCGCCTTGTCCCCTGCCTCTCTCTCCTCTGGCGTACAGCCACTGGCTCCGTGCAGCCCCTGGCTCTGCGCGGCTTAGAAAACTGCGTTGTTGTGAGCGAGAGAGAGAGAGCCAGAGGGGGCAGGGGGGTGGGTGGCAGTGACTGAGCTGCAACTCGCCGACCGAGAGTTGTGCAGCAGCAGCAGCAGGGGCAGCAGGGGCAGCGGCTGCTGATGCCGGGACGCGCCACGTGGCCCGTGCACATCCAATGATCAGCGACTGAGCAAATAACTAAAAAAAAACAACCTCCCACGGGAACGAAAAGCACTCGCAGTCACACTCACGACCAGGCAGGCAGACGGTAACGCGTAATGAAAAGTGAATGTAGGAGTGAACAATAAAGGAGGGCCCAGTGCTAAGTACGCAGACGAAAGAGGTGGCGTGGGAGTGAGAGTTTGTTGGGGGGGAAGGAGGAGGAGGAGAGCTCTGGCTTCTGGGCTGGGGGAGATGGACGCTGCCCGTGCCCTGCTTCTCGTCCTGCTCCTCACGCCGCTCGCCTGCTGCTCCACGGCTCCAGGTGAGTGGCAGCAGCTCACGACGATGAACTCGCGTGTCCGGGGCGCCCCTCCGGTCAGCACCGGGGGGCCCCTCCGGTCAGCACCGGGGGGCCCCTCCGGTCAGCACCGGGGGGCCCCTCCGGTCAGCACCGGGGGGCCCCTCCGGTCAGCACCGGGGGGCCCCTCCGGTCAGCACCGGGGGGCCCCTCCGGTCAGCACCGCGGGTCCCGTGTGGGGACGGGATCCGGGACCCCCCCCCGATTCGTTTCCTCCCGAGTGTGAGCTTCACGTGTAACCTCACCAATAAACCAACTCACTCACACACAGTCTCCCTCTCTCTCGAGCGAACGTCCTCATCAATTAGCTTTGCTCGTCATTGTTAGCACCGCCGTATTTGATGCGAAACAACGCGTCGGGCAAATGGGTCGCCCGTTCAAAGAGCTTGTTCTTTGGTTCTTTCGTTAAAGTCACGAAGATAGAATGACAATAATACTGTGAGTGTACTGGCAGTCTATAATGTAGACTGTAGCAATGGTTATTAAGTTTGGTGAGTGTACTGGCAGTCTATAATGTAGACTGTAGCAATGATTAAGCTGGGGGAGCGTACTGGCAGTCTATAATGTAGACTGTAGCAATGGTTATTAAGTTTGGTGAGTGTACTGGCAGTCTATAATGTAGACTGTAGCCTGGTTATTAAGTTTGGTGAGTGCATCGGCAGTCTATAATGTAGACTGTAGCAATGGTTATTAAGTTTGGTGAGTGTACTGGCAGTCTATAATGTAGACTGTAGCCTGGTTATTAAGTTTGGTGAGTGCATCGGCAGTCTATAATGTAGACTGTAGCAATGGTTATTAAGTCTGGTGAGTGTACTGGCAGTCTATAATGTAGACTGTAGCAATGATTAAGCTGGGGGAGCGTACTGGCAGTCTATAATGTAGACTGTAGCAATGGTTATTAAGTTTGGTGAGTGTACTGGCAGTCTATAATGTAGACTGTAGCAATGGTTATTAAGTTTGGTGAGTGTACTGGCAGTCTATAATGTAGACTGTAGCAATGGTTATTAAGTTTGGTGAGTGTACTGGCAGTCTGTAATGTAGACTGTAGCAAAGGTTATTAAGTTTGGTGAGTGTACTGGCAGTCTATAATGTAGACTGTAGCAATGGTTATTAAGTTTGGTGAGTGTACTGGCAGTCTATAATGTAGACTGTAGCAATGGTTATTAAGTTTGGTGAGTGTACTGGCAGTCTATAATGTAGACTGTAGCAATGGTTATTAAGTTTGGTGAGTGTACTGGCAGTCTATAATGTAGACTGTAGCAATGGTTATTAAGTTTAGTGAGTGTACTGGCAGTCTATAATGTAGACTGTAGCAATGGTTATTAAGTTTGGTGAGTGTACTGGCAGTCTATAATGTAGACTGTAGCAATGGTTATTAAGTTTGGTGAGTGTACTGGCAGTCTATAATGTAGACTGTAGCAATGATTAAGGTGGGGGAGTGTACTGGCAGTCTATAATGTAGACTGTAGCAATGGTTATTAAGTTTGGTGAGTGTACTGGCAGTCTATAATGTAGACTGTAGCAATGGTTATTAAGTTTGGTGAGTGTACTGGCAGTCTATAATGTAGACTGTAGCAATGGTTATTAAGTTTGGTGAGTGTACTGGCAGTCTATAATGTAGACTGTAGCAATGGTTATTAAGTTTGGTGAGTGTACTGGCAGTCTGTAATGTAGACTGTAGCAATGATTAAGCTGGGGGAGTGTACTGGCAGTCTATAATGTAGACTGTAGCAATGGTTATTAAGTTTGGTGAGTGTACTGGCAGTCTATAATGTAGACTGTAGCAATGATTAAGCTGGGGGAGTGTACTGGCAGTCTATAATGTAGACTGTAGCCTGGTTATTAAGTTTGGTGAGTGTACTGGCAGTCTATAATGTAGACTGCAGCAATGGTTATTAAGTTTGGTGAGTGCACCGGCAGTCTATAATGTAGACTGTAGCAATGGTTATTAAGTTTGGTGAGTGTACTGGCAGTCTATAATGTAGACTGCAGCAATGGTTAAGCTGGGGGAGTATACTGGCAGTCTATAATGTAGACTGTAGCAATGGTTATTAAGTTTGGTGAGTGTACTGGCAGTCTATAATGTAGACTGTAGCAATGATTAAGCTGGGGGAGTGTTCTGGCAGTCTATAATGTAGACTGTAGCAATGGTTATTAAGTTTGGTGAGTGTACTGGCAGTCTATAATGTAGACTGTAGCCTGGTTATTAAGTTTGGTGAGTGTACTGGCAGTCTATAATGTAGACTAGCAATGGTTATTAAGTTTGGTGAGTGTACTGGCAGTCTACAATGTAGACTGTAGCAATGGTTATTAAGTTTGGTGAGTGTACTGGCAGTCTATAATGTAGACTGTAGCAATGGTTATTAAGTTTGGTGAGTGTACTGGCAGTCTATAATGTAGACTGTAGCAATGGTTATTAAGTTTGGTGAGTGCACTGGCAGTCTATAATGTAGACTGTAGCAATGGTTAAGTTTGGTGAGTGTACTGGCAGCCTGTAATGTAGACTGTAGCCTGGTTATTAAGTTTGGTGACTGTACTGGCAGTCTATAATGTAGACTGTAGCAATGGTTATTAAGTTTGGTGAGTGTACTGGCAGTCTATAATGTAGACTGTAGCCTGGTTATTAAGTTGGGTGAGTGTACTGGCAGTCTATAATGTAGACTGTGGCCTGGTTATTAAGCTGGGGGAGTGTACTTGCAGTCTATAATGTAGACTGCAGCAATGGTTATTAAGTTTGGTGAGTGTACTGGCAGTCTATAATGTAGACTGTAGCCTGGTTATTAAGTTTGGTGAGTGTACTGGCAGTCTATAATGTAGACTGTAGCAATGGTTATTAAGTTTGGTGAGTGTACTGGCAGTCTACAATGTAGACTGTAGCAATGGTTATTAAGTTTGGTGAGTGTACTGGCAGTCTATAATGTAGACTGTAGCAATGGTTATTAAGTTTGGTGAGTGTACTGGCAGTCTATAATGTAGACTGTAGCAATGGTTATTAAGTTTGGTGAGTGCACTGGCAGTCTATAATGTAGACTGTAGCAATGGTTAAGTTTGGTGAGTGTACTCGCAGCCTGTAATGTAGACTGTAGCCTGGTTATTAAGTTTGGTGAGTGTACTGGCAGTCTAAAATGTAGACTGTAGCCTGGTTATTAAGTTTGGTGAGTGTACTGGCAGTCTATAATGTAGACTGTAGCAATGGTTATTAAGTTTGGTGAGTGTACTGGCAGTCTATAATGTAGACTGTAGCAATGGTTATTAAGTTTGGTGAGTGTACTGGCAGTCTATAATGTAGACTGTAGCAATGGTTATTAAGTTTGGTGAGTGTACTGGCAGCCTATACTGTAGACTGTAGCAATGATTAAGCTGGGGGAGTGTACTGGCAGTCTATAATGTAGACTGTAGCAATGATAAAGCTGGGGGAGTGTACTGGCAGCCTATAATGTAGACTGTAGCCTGAAAAACACGACGCTTGTTGATGGCCAATGTGGAGGAGTTTCTTTTGAAGTGCGTCGCCCGCACCGCCGCTGTTGATGCGCGGGCTACCACCCCCCCACCACCACCCCCCCACCACCACCCCCCCACCACCACCCCCCCCACCACCACCCCCCCACCACCACCCCCCCCACCACCACCCCCCCCACCCTCCCCACCACCACCACCACCCCACCATCACCCCCCCACCACCACCCCCCCCCACCAGCACTCCCCCACCACCCCCCCCCAACACAAAGACAAAGATCCCCCGTGTAGCCTTCGCAGCCTGCTGGGGCTAGTGCTGTTAGCGAGTAGCAGCACCTATGAAGGCCGGCACGGCACGCGAGCGGGTGGGGTGGCCAACACCACGCCCGGCCGCCTTTGTCTCCCCAGTGGCGATGTTTACTACACCGCACCAGGTGCTCATTTGAGGCTGAGCCGACCTAGGGGAGGCCCGGGATCGGTTCAGATAATCGTCACCGGGTGTTGGCCGTGAGCAGGAATCGAACCCGCTAACCGCTGCACCACCGCTCCCCACCACCACCACCACACACACCGCTCCCCACCACCACACCGCTCCCCACCACCACCACCACACACCGCTCCCCACCACCACCACACACACCGCTCCCCACCACCACCACACACCGCTCCCCACCACCACCACACACACCGCTCCCCACCACCACCACACACCGCTCCCAACCACCACCACACACACCGCTCCCCACCACCACCACACACACCGCTCCCCACCACCACACACACCGCTCCCCACCACCACCACCACACACACCGCTCCCCACCACAACACACACCGCTCCCCACCACCACACACCGCTCCCCACCACCACACACACCGCTCCCCACCACAACCACCACACACCGCTCACCACCACCACCACACACCGCTCCCCACCACCACCACACACACCGCTCCCCACCACCACCACACACACCGCTCCCCACCACCACCACACACACCGCTCCCCACCACCACCACCACACACACCGCTCCCCACCACCATACACACCGCTCCCCACCACCATACACGCCGCTCCCCACCACCACACACACCGCTCCCCACCACAACCACCACACACCGCTCACCACCACCACCACCACACCGCTCCCCACCACCACCACACACCGCTCACCACCACCATACACACCGCTCCCCACCACACACCGCTCACCACCACCACACACACCGCTCCCCACCACCACACACACCGCTCCCCACCACAACACACACCGCTCCCCACCACCACACACCGCTCCCCACCACCACACCGCTCACCACCACCACCACACACCGCTCACCACCACCATACACACCGCTCCCCACCACCATACACGCCGCTCCCCACCACCACACACACCGCTCCCCACCACCACACACACCGCTCCCCACCACAACCACCACACACCGCTCACCACCACCACCACACACCGCTCCCCACCACCACCACACACCGCTCACCACCACCACCACCACCACACACACCGCTCCCCACCACCACCACCACACACCGCTCACCACCACCACCACACACCGACCCGGCTTCACAAAAGTGGGGGGCTGCGTCCCCCTCCCCCCCTCCTCCTAACCCCCCACACACGGCTTCACACACACGCAGAAGTCGACCAGGACTTCAACAAGGGCGGCCAGGTTAACACAGGTTTCGACAGAAGATAACTTTAATCTGAGCGTGAGAATAAAGCGCGTTGCGAGGAGGAATTTGTACATTTACATTTCATGCATGGGGATCGTGAAACGAGCCCCCCCCCCCCCCCATTAATTATAACATTGCAGAAGATACCCCCCCCCGACCTTAATACTTGGAACTCGGGTACCCCCCCCCCACACACACACACACTCAAGGGAAGATATAATGAATGTCAGCGGAGAGGAATGTGGGTTACACATGGGGGCAGTGTGGCGAAGTCTCCGTGGGGGGAGGTGCTGTGATCTGCACATGGCCGGGCTGCACGGCTGCTGCAGATTTCCCCATCTCAAGTGCCCTCTCCATCGGCGGCACGCGGGGCCCTATCGCCCTGCTCACCCCCCGTGCGTCTCTCGTCTCTAACAAATTACGGTGAGCGTGGTGGTGGTGGTGGGGGGGGTGTCAGAGCGCATCGCCAATAGGTGACACGGTCGATGCGAAGCGCTGCAAAGAGCGTGCCCCCGGAGTTTTGAACGTAAAGGCAGTACACATGCGTGCACGTTTTGACCAAGGCCGTAGCAATGGAGTCAACATTGGGGGGGGCGGGGGGGGGCAAATCTTCCAGGCGGTCTGGGGGTCCCAACCCAGAAAAAAATATATCTAAATTTCATAACTAATTTCCTGCCTAAAATATTAACAAAAATTCACTAACGTGGGATGGACTTTTTATTTATGTTTTGCAATAATGTCTAATGGTGTATTGTATTACATTGCTCTGTTTTTACTTTTTTTACCATTTCTTGTTTCATTGTATGTAATGGCAGAGATTAGGAGATAATAAAGTACAACCATAACCACAATCATATGAACATAAATCTATGCATTGATTTATATCAAGAAAAGTCCAGATATTGTGGCCAAGGTTTAGCAAATTGTTTTAATTTACACAGCATAGCAATTGTTTTTATTGCAATATATTGGGGGAACATTTTGAGCATATTTGAATATTGGGGGGGGGGAAATGTGTGTCCCCCCCCCCCCCCCATATATATTATAATTACGGCCTTGGTTTTGACTGTCCAATATTAATGACGCAAGATGACAGTGGTCATGGCTATGGCTGTGCAAGGATGATGAGGATAACGAGGTGGTTGCAAGAGCAATGCAAAGCCGCTGACTGCAGAGGCTTAACCAAGCGCAGATGGTGGCAGCTAATGGCTCGCTGCGATACAGCAGCAGCAGCGTCATCCAGCAAGACACGCTGCCGGCAGAAGGGCCTTCACCAGGGTGTGAGCTTCAGAGAGCCCCTCTTAAGGGTATTTGGCCTACTCTTCCATGCTGGACCAGACGTCTTGGAAGTGCTGGGAGTACCCATGCTTTACCCCACCACCCATCAGAAGCGATCTGCAGATCGACAAACTGGTTGGTGTACCCTGCTTTGTGAACAGACGGCAGGAAATTTATGAGAGTACACCTCTCAGCCATTGTTTAAATTACTACGTCCTCTCGGGAGATCGAACTGGCCGGCACCATTAATCGACTAACATAAACGACTTTCATTTGTGGTCTTTTGAAGAGGGAAAACTCCCGACAAGCCGAGCCCTCGCAATGCGGCCTATGATGTCGGTGACGTCACCAAGTCCCATCGCCTCCCATTCAGTGGCACACGTGGGAATAAATGTGACTGATTTCCCCCAACTATTTTGAACCGATATTAAGGGGCCGTCCATAAATGACGTCACGGGATTTTGGCCGATTTTTGACCTCCCCCCCCTCGTCACATGGCGTCACAAAAAAGTAAGACCCCCCTAAAATATGACGTCACAAAGCTCGCCCCCCCCCCCCCCCCCAAAACCATATTTACATTTTGAAAATAAAACATGCTTCAAATCGCTTTAAACTATTGTCATTGTAGTGCGTATTTAATGTGGCGCTGCACTCTGATGTTGTAGGAGAAAACATTAAAAAGGAGGCGTTGGAAAGCTGAAATTTACCATAAAATTCACTTGAAAATATTCAACGTCTAATTAAAACTGCAGATGTTCAGAATATTATATTGAAATTCTCTTATAATTGTAACATATTAAAAGTAATTATAACTATAAAAAATACTTGAAAGTTTGTAGTAGAACGAAGCAAAATGGAGAGTACAATTATAACAATCACGTATTCATACCACAGAATGATAAGCCCTGGTAGAATCATTAGAATCAAAATGTTTAATAACAATAATTCAAAAATTTTACAAAATGTATGCTTCTCCATTCTTCCATGGAGAAGCAAAATGCTCCTTCATGGAATAAATAAAAGGTGACCTTAGTAAATTTAAATAATCAAATAGTTAACAATGACAATTATTGTAATGAAAATTAATCAAAATTAAGTAGAACGTGTTTTTTATATTTATTTAAAGTTGCGCATTTTGATGTGACGTCACATTTCTAAAACCCCTTCTCGTCACACATCGTCACAAATGTCTGACCCCCCCTCTACCCCCTAGGTGCATGACGTCATTTATGGACGGCCCCTAAATAGATGTTAATGAAATATCGGTAGTGGTGATGGTATTGCCCTGACTGATTTTACAAAAATATATACATTAATGTACAAAACAGCAAGTATGTAATTTTCTTAAGTGCTTTGTTTTAAAATATATTAAATTTTTCATCCACAGGAGAGGAATATTCAGATATATTTGCAATCCAAGTTCCGGACGTGGGTGGATGCCTCGTGGGAGAGTCCTCAGGGCTGGGCTTGGTAGAGAGCTGTAACTCATCAGAGCCTGCTCAGCAGTGGAAATGGGTGTCTCGCCAGCGACTTTTCAACTTGGGGATGTCTCGCTGTCTCGGGGTGGCTCCGGTGCAACCGAGTGGCAGTATTGCAAGTAAATCGCCCAGCTTGAACGCATCAGAAACGGACGCTGAAGATGATCAGGTGACAAGAATATTTAGGACACATTATTGCTTCTTTGGGTTGAACGGGGCCCGTCTATAAAGATAGAGCGCTGTCACCAACAGTGTTTGACAATGCCATAGCATTTGCTTAATACACTAAAGAAGGCCCCATAATGAGACTCGTTTTTTTTGTCACTAATGAATAAGAGAGTCCTCGTGTGTAATTTTACTCCAGGCCTCCAGCCTTCAGGAATATGGGCAGCCTTGCTTATGAGAGATAGACATGTTCATGTGTCCATGTATGTGTCGACTCTTATATTATGTATAATAGAGGTTGTTTTGGGTTGTATGTGCCGTCTGCTAGAAGACTGAGCAGCCTGCCTTATATGAATGCGATGTGGAGGAGATGCAGCTGCGTTGGGCATGTGGAGATGATGAGCAGCTGATCATTCCACACAGAGGGAAGCTCAGTCTGCGTGGAGCCATCGGTGCCCAGGCTCCGTTTGAGCTGCACCCTAAGAATGGAACGCGACTGCTGATCTATGGCACTCAGGATAACCTGTGCTTACGACCGTACCGTGGTGAGAACGGCTGAGAGTGCACCTCTCAGTCTTTATACTGTATCCCTTCCTTTCATCTATTCTTTGACAATCGTACACTCTGTTATTTTGATGTCTGATCCCACGCTTCCTCTCATGCAGAAATATATACTATCCAAGGAAATTCCCATGGTCGGCCGTGCGCTATCCCGTACAAGTATGACCACCGGTGGTATCACTCCTGCACAGGGGATGGCCGTGATGATTGGCATCTGTGGTGTGCCACATCAGCCGACTATGGCACCGATGAACTTTGGGGCTTCTGTCCTGTCAAGCGTGAGTAAACACCCTTTCTGTCCACTAATTACACTCAAATTACAAATACAGGGCCATCAGGCAACTTATTTATACTTCTCATTGGGCACGACAATGTGTTTTATGTTGACATTCCATCCATTTTGGCTGTTCACTTCTCAGCTAGTATACGTGACAACAATTCACTTACAGGCAAAATAGTCTTGACTCCCTTGTGACCTCATCATGGTCATTATGAGCTCTTTGCTAATGTTATTTTATGTTTAATAACCGTTATATAAAAATTGTGTCATTCACATTGAAGTGTTTTAATCAAAGTGATGTTCTAACTTGGCATTTAAACATATTGCATTTAAATCCCCCAAAAAGCCAATTTATGTGCTACAAACATTTGTTTTAAAGTCATGACTGGTATTCCACATCCTCTGCCCCATACAAAGGTTTTCTTTCAGATAGTTTTTACAAAAATATTCAACAAAGACTGAACTATGTGGTTGGTTGGCTTATTAAAATGACTCGTTCCAAATAACAACAGGGTGATATTGCCATTCGTAGAAAATAGAAAGAGCGGATTTTTTGTGTGAAAAGTTCGATTAAAAAAAAATCAACATTTGTCAAGATGAGTTTCTGAACCTAATTGCAGAAATTAATATGTGAAATCACAGAAACCTGACCGCTAAGTACATTTTCGAAATGATACATGTAAACAAGAACTTGGTTACACATGATTGGGATTTACATTTAAACACACAGAGTAATAACCTGAACCTGTTTGTGCATAGTACAGAATAAACAAATAATTTAAAATGTACCAATATTAAAATTATTTCAACATAGAGTCTGCGATGAACACTTTGGTCGCTATGATTGCAGTGATCCCACTGTGTTGTTTTTCTACTGCATTGTGGACCTTTGAACACGTGGGAGTATTCCCAGAATTTTGTTTGTGGCGGTTGTCGTTGTTTTAATCTAATAACCATATAGCAAGGTGTCTCACAAGTTGCGGTTTACTTCCTCTCCGTTGCCTCAGGATTTTGTACAGCAGTGTCTCACCAGCACGCTTACTGTCATATTCTGAATTAATCCCCTTCCATATGATGGGGTGCAAATAACTGTTGTGTTCATTGTCTTGTGTGACTCTCAAGTATTTTCTAATCAAAGCAATGTGCCGCTTTTATTGAATTTCTGTATACATTTTTTTTTATAAATCAAGTTCCCTAGTGTTTTTTTACACTGCATCTTGCCATTTTCAATTTTATTGGTAGATGATTTGATGATATTCTATCGTTAACAGATTCTAGATTTTCTAATCTGGCTGTTTATTAGATGCATACAGTCACGCCTGTCACTGTCGTTCAATTGCTTTTGCAGTTCCGGACTGCAGTGTGTTCTGGGACACGGATCCTGTGACTCGAAACTGCTACCAGTTCAATGTGCATGCTGTGCTTTCATGGCACGAGGCACGCACCAGTTGCCTGCAGCAAGGCTCCGACCTCCTTAGCATCACGGAGATGCATGAGCAGACCTACATTGCCGGTAAGGGGCATTCACACTGCCAACCGCTCAAATTCTGGTGCGCTGCTTTGTTTACAGATTTGTTATTAATGTTGTGGTGAGTTCAACTGAGTCGCAGACGTACTCTTGGAGGTACCACATTTATTTAACACCAACACATGGGGTAACTGCCCCTTAATAGAATAAAAACCTATGGTGGTGACCACCAGGCTAACTACGCTAATTACAACGGAGCTGGCTACAACGGACCGGACCACAGCTCGGGCCCAGGTCCACGTGTTGTAGACTCTGTAGGACGTAGAACATAGACGAAGGCTTCTTCAGGATGAACAACAACGCGGTCCCTCTGGGGGACCCGGCTTATATTCTCTGTGGCGTGGCTGCCCCCAACCTTGGCCACGACCACCTTCCAGAATCCTCGAGCAGGATCTGGACCCGGACCCGGACCACGTGACCACCCCTAGCCCCCACTTGGGCCCCTTTGTAGACTTAACCGGTCACGTGTCCTCTCGGGTCAACCAGAGTGCCATGGCCTTTAGTAACCCCGGCACACCCACACCCTAGCCTCTAGGGCTGGCACTGCATCCCAAGCGTGGTGCCACCCATCGCACGCCGTGTCTCTCTAGGGCTGGTACTACACCCACACCATAGTGGTGTCTGTGATGTCATTACATCGCATGCCGTGACTCTCTAGGGCTGGTACTACACCCTCATCATAGTGGTGTCCGTGATGTCGTTACATCGCACGCCGTGACTCTCTAGGGCCAGTACTACACCCACATCATAGTGGTGTCCGTGATGTCATTACATCGCACGCCGTGCCCCTCTAGGGCTGGTACTACACCCACACCATAGTGGTGTCCGTGATGTCGTTACATCGCACGCCGTGACTCTCTAGGGCTGGTACTATACCCACATCATAGTGGTGTCCGTGATGTCGTTACATCGCACGCCGTGCCCCTCTAGGGCCGGTACTACACCCACACCATAGTGGTGTCTGTGATGTCGTTACATCACACGCTGTGACTCTCTAGGGACGGTACTACATCCACACCATAGTGGTGTTCATGATGTCGTTACATCGCACGCCGTGACTCTCTATGGCCGGCACAGCACAGTGATATCCCGAGATCTCACTACAATGTCACTGCTGGTTCATTAATACATTTTGAACGTTTGTTATCGCGCACTCTTTATGAGTCCAGTCCATCACGATTGCTCACTGAACATGCAAAGTAAACTCTTTCGAATAGCACTGTTGTAAGTCTGTTGCAAAACTGTCTCACACTGAAGGATGGTTATCTGTAAATACACTTTGTATACACACCTTTCCATAAAGGATTCACTTTAAACAGAACTAAAACAAAATCTCATTGGATTTTTTGCTGTTGTCAGTGCCAATACAGTCCATTGCAACATCACTTAAAAAATTCACATCGTCATAATTTTTCATGCACATTTCATAACCCAGGTCTTAAAGCGCAACCTTCAAACACGTTTCCAGAACGTAATGAACCAGTTTATTATCTACAAGAGAAAACACACGTAGTTAATGTCTAACTTTTGACCTTAATCCTTAATAAATCAATGAATAAATGCCTTAATATTTATTTTAAATGGCTGGAATGGAATGAGCTCTTCCACGTATGTGCAGCTACAAAAATAGAAGCATTATCTCCTGATATGATAAGTATGCTTCTACAATTATTATAAATGCCTGCCATTATCAGTAACCTTAATTCGCTATTATTTCTAGCGTGGTACCCACACTCTATAGAACATGAGAATGCATTTCATGCAGTCATTCAGTATCTTTTATGTATTACACAATGCAAATACTAACACCCTATAGAAAGTCACACACCATAATGCTGAACTGTACTCAGCCGATGTTCTGGTGCATCTGATAGTAACTGCTAATTTACATCGTGCACATGTACTGCTTGGTGTATCGTGTCAGTGGATAATTTTGCCACGCATTACGACATTTTGAGGTGCAAATGTGTAGTGCTTATTTTCTTCCGTTGACTGTCATTTTTCCTCAATCACTTCACTGTTGTGTGCAGGCTTTCTGAGTGGTTTTGGAGCCATTATGTGGATTGGACTCAATGACTTGGACTCGGATGGTGGCTGGCAGTGGTCTGATGGCTCTCCGTTAAAGCTCCTTAACTGGGACCAAGGTGCAAGCAGTTGTATTTGTTTCAGATTTCCACTTCTTCACCGCGTCAGTTCCCTTCAGCAGTATACTCGCGCAATAATTTTGAAATTACGTAGCATAGTTTTGAATGTGCGTATGTGGAGAGCGGTGGCGTAATGGTTAGCATGTTGCGCTGTGAACCCTGCAACTGTTCACGGTTGACACCAGAGTTCGATTCCCGCTCACGGCCACCACCGGTGACGGTTGTCTGGACTGGTCCTGGGCCTCCACCAGATCGACTCAGCCTCAAATGAGTATCCGGTGTGGTATGTAAACATCGCCACTGGGGAGACAAAGGTGGTCGGTCATGGTATTGACCACCCACCCCCCTCGTGTGCCATGCCGACCTTCATAGATGCTCGCTAACATCACTTGCTCCTACGGTCTGTTAAAGGCTATGTGGGAGATCTTTGTCTGTGTCTTATTGTGTGTATAAATGTTGTGCTCCTGCAGGACACCCTTCAGAAACGGATGGACAGAACTGCGCCCTTCTCCGTGCCGAGTTTTTCAGCAAGTGGCAAACCAAGGAGTGTGCGGCTGCACTGCCCTATGTTTGCAAGAAGCGCCTCAATATCACCTCCATACAGATACCCAACGGTGTGTGCCTTTTATCACAATTGTCTCAATGTGCTTTCATTTAATTGAGGCATTTCACTCCGTGGACATTTACGCAGCCGTTTAAACTGTCACAAACCGAGGCTGAAATAAAATATTTAATTAAATAATTGTTTAAAAAATTTGAACAGCCACACTCAGATTACAAGAAGAGAGTTCCAAAATAAAGAGGGGGTGATGGCCGGGGGTTGAAGATACAAAACTCGTAGAGAATGTTTACACATTATTGGGTGCTACATAGTTCTCAATTAAATTTACTAACCATCACGTATTTATGCGATCTAGCCTAAAAAACTGTATTATGGATGATATTGGTCGCGAAAGCCTACGTGTTACACTTACTAACCATTTTTATGAAGATATATTGCATTAAATGCCTTAACAGATTTTTGGAAAATTGTGCATGTTAAATCACTTGATATTGGCCAATGTTTATATTTGCAAAATAACCTGCAGCTTGATTCACACTCATTGCATTCCATAAGACGGACAGATATGTTATTGTTAAGTAGTTAGGCAATTCGGTCTCCATTTTACGTCAGCGTGATTGAAGTCAGAATTTAAAAAAATTTCAGAGGGAACAGCTTTTACACTTCCGATGGGAGTGATTTCGAAAGGTAACTGATTGTGGTGTCGTTACAGAGAGCTGGGAGAATCGACCGACCGTGTGCCCTCGCGGCTGGGTACCATTCAACGGGAGCTGCTTTTGGCGCGATGCAGAGAAACGAACGTGGCAGGATGCGTTGGCACGATGCCGGTTAGGAGGTGGCGACCTTCTGAGCCTACACGGCTTGGCAGATGTCGACTTCCTAGTTCAGCATGTGCTTAGTGGTTGGTAAAACGCATTACATGCCCTTACTTGCAAACTGAACAGTCCCCATTACAAAACCAGCTCATCATCATTGGAAAGGTGTTCCACCTTCCAAGCAGTGCTAACATATTTCCCATTAATGGTGTTCGCCTTTTGAGGTGCTTAACATCTTACCGGTGAAATATGTTAAGGTCCAAAAGATGGATGAGTATACGGGATAATTCATTTGGCAGCAGAGGAATGGGAAGTTACAAGGGAGCAACAAGTGGTCTTGTTTGCTGTGGGTCCATGTGGGTCTATTGCTCGGTGGCATAAAATATCAATTTGGTTAGGCATATTGGGATCTATGGATGTAATGCGCCTTACAAATGCAAATTATGATTGCACCTTGCTTCTCTTTTGAGAAAGATTAAATTATAAATCATCCACGTCTATTCAATGCATGAATGTTTTCTCATGCACTTGTGTATATTATGAGAAAATGGTTGGTGAAGTGGTGACACCTGTGCCTCACAACAATAATTGCCTGGTTAGATTCGCGACTCGGATGCATTTCTGCGTGGAGTTTGTATGATCTCCCCACTGTTCTGCATTGGTTTCATTCGAGTTCTCCAGTTTCCTCCCATAGCTAAAACATACACTGTCACTAGCATTGGCCAAATATTCCAATGCTGACAAATGAGCTGAAAAAAAACTCCATTGCGATTGCATGTAGCATCGTCGCCTATGACAACAAAACATTGGGAGGCCCCCCCTGAAAAAGAGTTCAAAATCAGGCTTTTCTGGCTAAACTTGCATAATAATATTATTACCGTCATTTGTACTCTTACCACTTACATGGATGGAACCCATAATTACAGTATGCTTAAAATTTTACTCCAATATATTGCATTTGCAACGTTTGAAGAAAAAAAAACATATCCTCTCAGAATTCAATGCAAATAAATGACGCAATATAGACTCACGTAGAGCACGTGCATACATTTTTACTGCAACTTTATGAAAGATGAAATGTGCAAATGATGGGCGAGTGAGTGAGTTTTTCTGTTGCTGCTGCTGCTGCTGCAGATGGGGAAGAGGTGTGGTTGGGTCTTAATGACCTCAAGACGAAGATGGTGTTTGAATGGTCTGACTTCACACCGGTCACCTTCACGTTCTGGCATCCTCGCCATCCAAACAGTCGCCCAGGAGAGGGCTGTGTCTCTCTCTGGGGCAAGGTAACTCAAATGTTTGTAGCGTCCTTGCGTAAATATACTCACCCTACATTTACCTCTTGGTTATCTGTGTGGGGAGCATAGTGTTGTGACCAGTGTGGTAAAGTATTAGTAAAACAACCCCTCGTCAGCATGGCTTGAGGAGGTTTTCATCCAGCAGTGGATTGACATGTTGCTGTAGATTATTATTACCAAAAGTATCGGAGCCTCAGGCTGCTTTTACGAGGCATTGCTGTTATGCAGGTTGACTGTCTTTACAGCCTTTATCACCGTCTTTGATCTTTGACAACACACGTTGTGTTTAAATTGCAGTCTGGTGGTGCAATTGCTTGAGCAATGTCCTATGAAACCCAGTGACCTGATTTTCATTCCTGGCCCAAAAAGGCAAACATAAGTTTGCCTTTTCTGAGCCTTCCAAAGGAATAAGCGAGCCTGAAATGTGTACCTGCTTGTGTTGTGTAATTTAGAAGTTAAGGGTTGGTGGATTGCCACAGGATAGTTGTCAATTGGTAGATAATTAGTAGAGGGAACGGCATCCTTATCACTCTTCATTATCGTTGTCATTTATGATAATGAACTATTTCATTTATCTTCAAGGTCATCATCTTCATCATTATAACCACTGTATTCGTAGTCATCATCCTTATCAACCATATCTTCACATACATCATTGTCGTCTCCATCATATTCATCATCATTGTCATAATGTTTTAAATGTTTTAAAGTTTCCATCTAGGTGGAGAGCGGTGCAAGACTCAGCACACATTTAGTTTGCGTGTGCATGTGTGAGTCAGACAGAGCCTGATTGGTTGGCTCGATTCATTAGGAGGGAGAGCCTGTTGATAATACACACACAGCTCCAAATCCCCGAAGGCGAAGGCCTTTCCCCAGCTGCTGCTTGTTTTGCAGGATGTTTTTGCAGAATGGGGCCAAAAAGTACCACATGAATCAGGCAGAATCGCATTTTGCGGAATTTCCAAAAGAGTGTTTAAAACGTTACATGAATTTGTCCTCCTATTTGGTACGTTGTCTCAGCAAAGGTGTGCTGTAGCATTGTTAGTGATTATTCAACAGCCAAGTAAGAACCTGTGGAATTATACATCGCTTCTGCACAGGGACCTGTATAGCATCAGAAATAGAATTGAAAACAATTGTTACATATATATTTACAATATCTTACAGTACATAATAGAAACTCCCAAAGTGAACATTCATCTTTATCATTGTTCCATTCAACAAAAATATAAAGTCATGACTCAAATATTTAGGGCCCTATTTTAGTGTTGAAAGAGATGTCCATATATCGTGGATATTTTAAAACAAAACAGCTTTATTCTAACCCCCACTACCTAAAATTCACCTTGCAGTAGACAGAGGAGCTTGGTTATCACATCATTTGAGCAGCTGCATTGTCAGACATCAAAAAGTAAATAATGTATTCTCACTCGGTCTTCATATTAATTTGACCATATATTATATGGTCTGATTCAGCATTTATTTTAGAATCATGACTGAACATAGAAATGTATAGGAATACTACAATGGGATGAGGTATACGATTTTAAAGAAGCAATCTCCCATATTAACGCATAAAGGAACCTGTAAAATAACAATTTAACACTTTTAATTAATGATATCTTCTCCATCGGTATCAATTCCATAACCATAAGGCAAACGCGTGATTATACCACAACATGTTATGATTTTTGCTCTGCATTTCAGCCACTCGGCGAGTGAAGTATTTTATGTCTGGTGAGCGAGTATTTGCTATTATTTCTCAAAAAATGTGCTTGGCAGGAAGGTCGTTGGAAAGATGGACCATGCGATGCCAAGAAGGCTTCTGTGTGCCGGGCACCGGGAAGTTTGTCAGAGGCCCAGCCGGACTCGCAGGAGGGCGGCACCCCAACGGAATGCCCCAAGGTAAGAGATAACGAGAGGGATAACGAGAGAGATAACGAGAGAGATAACGAGAGAGATAACGAGAGAGATGACGAGAGAGATGACGAGAGAGATAACGAGAGGGATAACGAGAGAGATAACGAGAGAGATAACGAGAGAGATGACGAGAGAGATAACGAGAGAGATAACGAGAGAGATAACGAGAGAGATAACGAGAGGGATAACGAGAGAGATAACGAGAGAGATAACGAGAGAGATAACGAGAGGGATAACGAGAGAGATAACGAGAGAGATAACAAGAGAGATAACGAGAGAGATAACGAGAGAGATAACGAGAGGGATAACGAGAGAGATAACGAAAGAGATAAGAGGGATAACGAGAGAGATAACGAGAGAGATAACGAGAGGAGTAACGAGAGAGATAACGAGAGGGATAACGAGAGGGATAACGAGAGAGATAATGAGAGGGATAACGAGAGGGATAACGAGAGAGATGACGAAAGAGATAACAAGAGGGATAACGAGAGAGATAACGAGAGGGATAACGAGAGAGATAACGAGAGAGATAACGAGAGGGATAACGAGAGGGATAACGAGAGAGATAATGAGAGGGATAACGAGAGAGATGACGAGAGAGATGACGAGAGAGATAACGAGAGGGATAACGAGAGAGATAACGAGAGAGATAACGAGAGAGATGACGAGAGAGATAACGAGAGAGATAACGAGAGAGATAACGAGAGAGATAACGAGAGGGATAACGAGAGAGATAACGAGAGAGATAACGAGAGAGATAACGAGAGGGATAACGAGAGAGATAACGAGAGAGATAACGAGAGAGATAACGAGAGAGATAACGAGAGGGATAACGAGAGAGATAACGAAAGAGATAACAAGAGGGATAACGAGAGAGATAACGAGAGAGATAACGAGAGGAGTAACGAGAGAGATAACGAGAGGGATAACGAGAGGGATAACGAGAGAGATAATGAGAGGGATAACGAGAGGGATAACGAGAGAGATGACGAAAGAGATAACAAGAGGGATAACGAGAGAGATAACGAGAGGGATAACGAGAGAGATAACGAGAGAGATAACGAGAGGGATAACGAGAGGGATAACGAGAGAGATAATGAGAGGGATAACGAGAGGGATAACGAGAGAGATAACGAAAGAGATAACAAGAGGGATAACGAGAGAGATAACGAGAGGGATAACGAGAGAGATAACGAGAGAGATAACGAGAGGGATAACGAGAGGGATAACGAGAGAGATAATGAGAGGGATAACGAGAGGGATAACGAGAGAGATGACGAGAGAGATAACGAGAGAGATAACGAGAGGGATAACGAGAGAGATTACGAGAGGGATAACGAGAGAGATGACGAGAGAGATAACGAGAGAGATAACGAGAGGGATAACGAGAGAGATTACGAGAGGGATAACGAGAGAGATGACGAGAGAGATAACGAGAGGGATAACGAGAGGGTAATGGTCGGCTTTTTCGTCATTTACAGATTTGAAAATGAGAGCCACCTTTATAAGGCAGGCTCTTTTAACATACAAATGAAAAGTTCTGTATACACAACAAGTAGCAAGAATATAAATACACAACTCCAAAAATAAATAAAACATTTAATTCCGTTACTTCAAGTGGTAACTTTTCATATTCTTGGTTCTTTAGGTAAAGTGATGTAGAAGAAAACATGGTAACTTTTCATGCATTTCAATATCTTTCTTAGCGTTCGTCTATTATTGACTCACCTAGATTTTTGATGTTAATTATCTTGATTTGAAGCTTTCGTGACTGCAGGAATCCATACTCTTTGGTTTTTTCGGTAAAGTCACGTAGGTATAAAATAAAATAAATTAGATCACGACGTTTCGATCGCAACACAAGCTTCCGTCATCAGGTGAGACATCTACAGCAAAAAAACTGCTGAAACTTGAGCATTATTTTTTCTACCTACGTGACTTTACTGAAAGAACCAAAGAGTATGTTAATTATCTTGTTTTTACCTGTAATAAGTTTTGGCCTCTCTTTGGCTGTGCTGAAGTGCAACTTCCATCGCACCAGTTTGTGATCGCTTGCTGTGATTAATTTGTTGCGGGCAGAGACATCTCTGATGACCTGGGGTTTGACCAATCGAATTTAGTCAATGTTCAAGTGTTAGTTATTTGTATTGGAGCTGTAAGGCAATTTGATGTGATTCCCAGGATACCTGTTATGAGTCGACTGGACTTGCCCTTATGCTGAGCTGTGGCAGTAGCTAAAATTATTCGCTGCAAGCCATGAGACCTTGAGTAGTTGACACAAAGGGATTCCTTGACCTAGTCAATGTTGACATTAAGGACACTGCAGTTCACACAGGGATCCTTGCTGAATTTTGTATTGGCACAGCTGGTCTGAGCGCCCCTGTAGTGAGCAGAACAGCATTCTCATCTGCCAGGGCACGCCAGGCTGCTTTTGGAATCGAGAGGGACAAAACCAAATAAGAAGAGTCTGCCAAGGAGATACACTCTTTACCAAGGCTATTTACATCGGCAGTAGAACATATTTGCTTTGAATTTGAGAAATAAACTATTTACGAGGCAGTTTGGACTTGTGTTTGCTTTTAATTGAATCAAGTCAACGGTATCTTAAGAGGCTGTACAGAATAATAGGATACGGTAAGTCAGGGGGAAAGGAGGCATATTTGTTTCATAGAGAAAGGGGGTCAGTCATAGGCAGAGTAACAAAGAATTGTCTTGAACAGTAAGAAAACGACAGCGTGAGTGGCTGGGGGAAGACGATTGGTGTATCAGAACAGAAGGAGCTACCTCCTACGAAGCAAACGTTTCCTGGGGGGTTTTGACAAAAGGTCTTGTTTGCTCACTTGGAGAGTGTGGACAGAGGAGTAGAGTGAGTGTCTCCTGCATAAAGGCATGAACATAAATGAAGAAAGTTATTTTATAACACTTTTTCAGGAGATCCTTTCCAGATTACCCAAAATTATGTCATACCCATGAAGTTATAAATCGTTTAAAATTTGGGTTATGATTGGTCATTTCTTAACATAAGTGACAATGTTCATGAAAAGTTGTAATATCTGTACACATCTCAGACATTCGGAGACTATTTAAGATATATTCAACAATGGTGAACTGTTTAACCTCAGCTTTTGAGCCAAATGATTAGTCGTTCTGAATCATTGCAATTTGTACAGAAACCCTATGCATTTAATTTTTATGGCTATAAAACTACGAACATTGTTGGGTTCCCTCAATGAAATCTGCACTCTGGACAAGAGAGTATATCTCTGACACCATAAATCTCATTCCCTTTACATAAACATTTACAATCAGAGTGGGAAATGCTCTTTTTTCTGATTATGATACAAAAACAACATTTTTAAATGTCACTCACTGCAGAAATCTCATTGACGGTGCAGTGATTTAACACATTCCTGCGTAGGGAGCTGGTAGGAACGTTGGGTTGCTCGGTCAATGGCCAGGATAAACGGTGGTGTGGTGTATTCCGCAAATATTCCCGACTGCGAGGGCGGGCACAAGCCGGCGTGAGTAGGTTAAACGTTGAGTTTTATAAGGGCACCACGGGTGACCAGCTCCTCCCGATCCAGCCACACCCCCCACCCAGCCCCTCCCCACCCTCCCCACCCAGCCCCATCCCTCCCCACCCAACCCCTCCCCTCCCCACCCTCCCCACCCAGCCCCTCCCCACCCAGCCCCTCCCCACCCAGCCCCTCCCGATCCAGCCACACCCCCCACCCAGCCCCTCCCCACCCTCCCCACCCAGCCCCTCCCCACCCTCCCCTCCCCACCCAGCCCCACCCTCCCCACCCAGCCCCTCCCCTCCCCACCCTCCCCACCCAGCCCCTTCCCACCCTCCCCTCTCCACCCAGCCCCACTCCTCCCATGTTTGGATGCACGACGGACGGACACAATAATCCCCTGTGGGCTGGTGTAACCAGGAGGTTCCTACCAGTAACAGTGAATATGTGCTTGTTCTCAGGGAATATGCACATAAATACGTGCAAATTATTCACAAAGCATTCATAATCTGTAGGTAACATGCATATCACAGCTATTTTTGAATAATACTCGGTGCAGATGAAAACTCGAGAGATGGGAAAGGACACGTAACCTCGACCTACAAGCAGGATGGTTACGAATATAAAAAAAAAACATAACAGGGCATTCATATGGGTCGTAGAAGGTCTAAATGTACAAGGCCATGAGAGAAAATGTGCTCGTAAACACACGTGTGTGTTCATCCTCACGGTTGCTCTGAACTTAACACAATCCAGATGTGGAAGCATGCCAACAAGTGCCCCCACTCCGAGAGTTGGTCACAATAACTTTGCCAGCTCTAAATCCACTCAGGTTGTTCATGGGTTCGGTCTGATGCAATGTTGCGCGTGAATGTGCGTGGTGATGCATCTTTACGCCCCCCACCCCCACCGCATGCACGACCTGAGTGGATTTAGAGCTGGGAAAATTCAATTTCCGTTTTGGATAATGTGCAACAGAATATAGGAATGTGGAGTTTCCACCACTGGCTCAAGGCTGTAAGTGGAGATAAGCACTGGCCCATGCTCATTTGAGCTATGAAACACTGATGTTTTTAGATGTCAGATGTTTTTAGATGTCAGATGTTTTTAGATGTCAGGTCTCCGCATGTTTGCTTTTGACATGTATTGACTAATGATGGGTTCTTATGTGGCTTTTATGTTTCGATGCGCTTGTAACATAGTTGTGTTTATCAAAATGTAGGGTTGGGATTTACACAATGGATTCTGCTACCTCATTGGCGAAGAGCTGACCGACTTCCAGAATGCGTGGACACGCTGTTCCCAGCAGCAGGCCACCTTGGTGTCCGTCACGAGCAGGTTACTTATTAAACCCCCCTGCAGCCTCACTTGGTGTGTGTGTGCTCGCGCATGTGTGTGTGTGTTTTCGTGTGCTCATGGCCAGCGCCAGTGACAATTATGTGAACTGGTCCTGGGCCTCCCCTCGGTCGACTCAGTCTCAGATGAGTACCTGGTGTGGTGTGTAAAAATTGCCACTAGGGAGACATAGGCGGCTGGACATGGTGCCGGCCACCCAACCCCTCGTGCTGTGCTGACCTTCATAGGCGCTCGCGAACAGCACTTGCCCAATAGTCTGTTTAGGCTATACGAGGGATATTTGTCTTTGACCCCTGATTCACCCAGCCACCCGATGGTTTGTCTTGTCTGTTCCACCCTATGGTTTATGTCATTTCGGCCCACCGCTATTGAAAGCGAACCCTCTTAAATACCCTTTCATTAATGTACGTGCTATTGATATGTTATTTTAAATAGTAAATGCGTGTGTCTACAATGGACCTGGAATCATTATTTCATAAATGATAACCTGGCACTAATCCAAAGAATTACGATTTAATGATTACTAGCCCACTTGGCAGTGGTGGTGCTGATGTGGCCTGTGTGCACGCCATGCAGACTCTGCGCACACAGGAGTAGAAGCACGTGTCTTTTTCCCTCCAGATACAAATTTAATGCGTTGGAATGTTGAGGCCTGATAGCAAGTTAATGTTCACCAACATGGTAATATTTTGTATGAGGATGTTTTGTTTTCCACGGATTAATGTCGTAGGATTGATATTTTTCTAAGCACAATATTAATGTGTGTTTGGTGCTGTTCACAAAATTAGAAACTGGCGTTTACTTCAATGTCTTTTGGTTTAGATGAGGTTACTAATCTCTGGGCTGTCATCTGTAAAGCATTAAGCAGCTCCGTTACCAATGTCTGTCCCTCTGCTCCTGTCTCTCCTGTCTCTGTAACGTCCATGTGACTCGCCGTATCACTTTACTGGAAACGTGCATTAATTTATTTTATTTAGCGTCTGCGTTTTGAGACTGGAATTCGTAGAGTTTTAGCTCGCAGAATTATACCCGCTGGATGGATCATTAGCTTCCCCGGGGAGGGGTGGGGGAGATGGGAGGGTACTGGTGAGAGCCCAGACATGAACATGAACTCTGATCCCCGCCCCCCCTCAAATTATTTACTTAAACGGAGGGCACAGGTCTCCTCCGAGCAGAACAAAAATGGGAGAAGCTCTGGTTTGTCGTAGCAAACCAATCTAAAACAATCAAACAAAGCAAGATTAATCAATAACTGCAGGCCTGACAATGAAGTTTATGATATCTGTTTTGTTTTGCTTTTCCAGGTTTGAGCAGGCATTTGTGAGCAGTCTGGTTGGGCCACGCGTAGGTGACTCATTTTGGACGTCTCTGCGAAACACGGGTGGCTTGGACAGTTTCCGATGGCTGGGTGGGGAGCACGTGACCTTCACCAACTGGAACCGAAATGAGCCTGGTGTGTGCGCACACCTGCCCTGCTGCCTCTTATCACTGCCCGGTCACGATTTATACCATCACCGTCCTCCATATGGGCCTGTGTGAAGAGCATTTATTAGAGATTCACTTGTGGGTGATTTTAGCCATTATATTGCTTTGCCTGAGAGTTGGTGAATTGCAGATACACCACCTTCACCTGTATAATTGGGGCAGCGTGCAGCTATACAGGCCATGGTTTGGAATTCTTAGCCAATGTCGCGCACAGGAGAGCCTTGATTTTCCACTTGGTTCCGTCGTTTGTGCGAAGACAGTTAAGTGCTGCCCATTGTTTCGGTGGAAGGTGGAAGCCAGGCAGTCTGTTGGTGGGGTCGCTGACCAGGTGTTTGTCGGGCACGTTGCTCGAAGCCCATAAGTTGTTCCATGCCGTTTTGATGCTGATGTTTGCATCACGCAGTAAACTACCTTGAAATGATAACAAATGTCACAGTCCTCGCTATCACTTTGCAGTTCCAGTGCCTGAATTGTCGTTTCCGTTGTGAATAGAGTAGTTGGGTGCACACAATTAATTCGTGCAATGTAGTGGATAAGAAAAAACTTCGTCATGAATTGTGATGCAGGTGTAACTGATTTGTGATGTATTTTTAATTCACATTTTTTATTGGACTTTGACCATTCTTTTTAATTATTTTTCAGTATATAAACACGTCTTTATTTTCTGTAAAGCCCTTGGAAATTAATATCCAATTCTATTCAAAAAAAGTTTTTTAATATACACATTTTTGTGGAGATATCTAAATACTGACAAATAATCCATAGTTTCCCTTTCAATGCAAAATAAAGACCTTGCCTTGCTATTGCCACATTTCAAATGCACTTTTAACATGAACCATTGTCTGATTATGCCACCTCTTCTTTGGTTACATGTTCCTGTTTTTTGTTTTATGGTCTTATATCACCTACAGTAAAACCTTCGATTGCGAGCATAATTCGTTCCGGAAACGTGTTTGTAATCCAAAGCACTCGTATATCAAAGCACTCGTATATCAGTTGTGATCACGTGACGCTAGGCAGGCAAAGCGTATACGTACTACTACTCGTATTGCAAGACCTCGCTCGTTTATCAAATTTATATTTGTTTAAAAAAAATTATCGTCTTGCAAAACACTCGCAGACCAAGTTACTCGCAATCCAAGGTTTTACTGTATTTATTATGCACACGTTTCTTTTTCATTCCACATTTTTGAACAGCAATAGGCGTGGACATTGATTTATGGACATTTCTATATTAATTTACTTATGTCCAGCCGATTTACAGCTCACATTGACTAGTGTGGTGAAGTCACGAAACCCTGACAACTGACACAAAGGGAAGGCATTATTGTATGTATTGACAAAGGGAAGGCATTTTAAAAAAATCATGACAAGATAACTGAAATATTCTTGCAAACTGCTGATGGACATTACCATTATTATTTAAAACTCTTCTTGGTTCTTTCGGTGGAATGAGAATAAAACAATAAAACAAAATAAGACAATAAAATTCTCACGACGTTTCGGTCACAACACAAGTGGCCTTCTTCAGGTGAAGAAACAGGTATATCCAGGAGACAGAGCTTGAATGGACGCTGTCACGCAAGGACCGAGTTTTTTTAAAGCTGTATGGGCGGAGTTGGATTTTGAACAGACTCGGTCCTTGTGTGACAGCGTCCATTCAAGCTCTGTCTCCTGGATAGACCTGCTTCTTCACCTGAATAAGGCCACTTGTATTGTGACCGAAACGTCGTGAGAATTTTATTGTCTTTTTTTGTTTTATTGTTTTATTCTCATTCTACGTGACTTTACCGAAAGAACCAAGAAGATTAATCCTTGCAGTCACGAAAGCTTTAAATCGAAATATTTAAAACTCGTTGAAATAACTCTCTTTTTCATGGCTCCTATATTGTATCCTTCAACTTATTTTAAGCAAGAAGCTTTAATTTCCAGGTTGCTCATTGTGTTGACATTTTGTTCTCAGTGACAATGTTCCATTCCCTATGTTGTTGCTAACAGTACCCATTGATCCAGTAATTCAGATTCATTAGTATATTCCTCATGAAAATACTATTTTCCAAAAGTAGCCCATCCTACTTAATTTCTTCCTTTCATATTCGCCACGATGATTATGATGATGTCTTTGTGATGCCAAAGAGTGCATGTGCGCGCGTGCCTGTGTGCAGCTCACAGGGGAGAGTGCGTGGTCATGGTGACCGGGGTAGCAGCTGGCCTGTGGGAAGTGCACGACTGCGTCTCGTTCCGTGCCAAGCGCGTGTGCAAGAGAGCGAGCAAGATATCTGGGACAGAGCAAGGGGGCTCCCTCGCGCCGGACCCCACTCCCAGCCTCACCGGGCAGTGCCCCCTTCGATGGGATTCCATAGCCACCCTTCCATACTGCTACAGGGTCGGTAGGCCACTACACTCACGCTACTACCGTTTAACCACACCCGTGTTTTAATCTATAATATGGTCCAAGTAACGTGATGGCTGTGCTTATTTTTAGGGAGGAAACCGCTATTATGATACATTTCTATGGAAATCCATTGATATCCGCTTGCAATTTGGTATTTTTTTCTGTAAAATGTGAGTAAAAACCGTCCTTCGGTCAACGTGATTTGGCCCGATATCTTTGATTTGCATGCTTACTGATACATTAACATTACAATGCCACCCACTGCCCTCGTGACAGTCTTCTTTTTAAATTAAGTGCCACCATAATATATGTGATATACATTGCAATAGCCATATCACAGGAGGTAATATACACTGTTGAAAGTGTTCTTTTTTTCAGCACATTGTCAAATATTTTTTTTTCTGAAATGTATGTAAAGTGCACAGAAAGGGGAATGTGTCGATCAGAGAACATGTGCAAGTTCAGGGAACTTTTTTTGGCTGGAATGTATGATGCCTGTGGTCGAGAAAAATATACAATGGGCAATGTTTCAAGCTATGGCCCTTCCACGTAGCTTGAAACATATTTTTTCATTTAAAAACAGTGACGAGCATATTGAGCTTTTGTGATTTGTGCTTACGTAGCACTGCCACCGCAGTATCACAAGTACACTTTGCTCGAGTCACCCAGTTACCGTATTGCAGTTGAAACACTGTTAACCACGGCGAATCTCAATACTCTTCAGAAATATACCCTTTGATGCCTCGATGCAGTGCTTGCATTCTAAAATGGATGGGTGGCTGCTTGCACGGGAGTGTGATGGAGGTCGCAAGTCTAAGGCGCGCTGTTTGCCTTGGTGCGGTTCCGCGTGATGCAGCTCTCAGGGCAGCTGTATTGCTGGCATTCACGTCTGAGCATTGATCAGAAAAGGGCTTCCAGAGTTGGATACGCGTACTGCCACAAACCGGCTGGATTAAAGCCCTGCTTGGGATCTTAATTTGAGGGTTCTCCTAAAATAGGTGCTCGCTCACAGCACGTGAAGCTCCAGCAGTCTGTTAAGGTTATGTCTTTATTTTTGTCTGCAGTTGCTGCACTTTGCAGATGCGGGGAACATGAAGTCATGGGAGGAGGCAGACGGGTATTGCCGAGAGCTGGGGGCCACACTGCTGAGCCTGAGGGACCCAGCTGAGGGTCGCGCCGTCTCCACGCTCATCCGTGGCCTCCTGGGGTACGCGGTGCACCGCAAGTGGCATTGTCGGAAGCACGGCAGCACACGGACATTCACCAACACGTAGGAGTTCTGTATATGCCACTGAAGATACCGGTGCATTGAAATACGAGATAAATTATGTGTGAATTGTAAAGAATACGCAGCTCTGTATGTATGTTGAACTTCTTTTGCACCATATGTAGCCAACCATGCTCATTTTGGTGCAGGGGAAGGACAACAAACTAAACACGAAAAGCAGTTCTAAAGAAACGAGCTTTCAATCTAGACTTAAAAGTGCATAGCTTCAGTGGCTTCCTAATATCCGATGGAAAAGCATTCCAGACGGCCGCAGTGCATCTAAAAGAACGCGACATAGTGGCCGCCTTTGTAAAGACAGTCATTATCAACTTCATAGTCATCATAACCTTCAGGTGGGGCGAGGACAAGTGGAGGACAGGGTGGTTGGGCATGTCTGTGGCTGCTGTGAAATTCCATGGTTTGTGAAATTCTGTGACTGTCAGCCCCATGGAGGACACACAGATATGCTCCCCACCCCAGTAAGGAAGTGGGAGTTGCTCGCATTGAAATCCGAACCTCGCCTCTTCAGTCTTGCCTTTCTTGTCTCGCAAGATTTGTGGGATTTGCCGCACTTGCTTTTCCAATGGCTGTCGAGCCAACCGCTGGCCCGTGACCCATTTGCTTGATCCACTGTGGCAACAGGCACACTGTGCTTGGAATGTGTGGGAGCATTTATACACTGTGCTGCTGACATAGACTAGCTTTCATCACCATTTACGCATATCTTCACGATGTCAATAGAGCTGAACAAACACACCCTACCATGCCAAGAAGCTAAGTTGTGCAGACTTTTTTTAAGGTTGTCGTTTATTTCCATATAACATCTCCCCTTCTCCATTATCAACCTCTTCCCACACTGTATTCCTCAGAGAATCTGGAGAACAAAACGAGCGGTGGCTCTGGATTGGACTGAATAGCCGCAATCCGGGACTTATCAAGTCGTGGAAATGGAGTGATGGCACTGCAGTAAGTGGCAGTCACGTAACCCTACCTCACACACGTAGAGACATCGTCTACGCGACTGTTATTGAATGCAAACATTAACATAGCCTGAAAAGATCAAGCTATGACCAAGATAGTGATGGAATAGCCGAACAGACTTTTAACAAGTCTGTCGAACTGGCTGCATGTAACTCCTGTTCCCATTGCCTTCCTATCGCTTTCACAATTCAAAGTCAGACTTCCATGAACCTACACCCCAAACGCCAATGCTGTAATTAATCACTTTATAGGATTACGGGAATTAGGAACATTACAATCCCCAACCTCCAGGCTGTTCTGTTTGTTAATTGCTGTTTGTGTATCAATTTAAACATTTGTTTTCCTTTTAAATGTAATCAGTATCTGATGATTCATTATTACATACATCAGAAGCGATGCAAAGTTATTTTGTTGTCCGTTTTAAAAGTAATACAATACAATTACTGATCTTTTTTTTTATGAACGTGTATGGAAGTGGCCAGGTGGCTCAGCGGTCGAAATGTTGAGCTGACACCACTGAGATCCTGGGTTCAAATCTGGGAAGCCGCCCCATGATTAAGTGGAGTTGATGATCTGATCTCAGTCCAGTCACCAATTCACTGCACAAATAACCCTGTCACATTACATTTCCACGTGATTTGGATAGATTCTAGCCCTGAGAACTAATATGATGAACATTACCTCTTTACAGCAAAGAAGGTGAGTGAGTGCAGTGCTGCCTTCTAGTCTGGATAAGAAGTCATTTGAGATTTCACAAGCCTCTCTGTGATAGCTCCTTCTTTGGCAGACCATCTTCTAGCATGGGGTGATGCACTGCTCTTTCGAGAGCTCTGAATTTAATCTCATGACAAGAGGTCGAGAGCACACTTGGAATAAAATTCAGGATAAATATAAAAAAGGACAAAATAAATTATGATTATAAATCAGAGTTCTATGTATGTTATATTTTGCTTGCCAAGCTCATCATCATTATACCTTTTCTGGTTTTATATGGATTGTATGTTTCCTGTGTCCACAACTTTCATGATGTTGATGGATTATGGTGATGATGATAATGTTGGTGACGATGAAGTTGGTGATGCTGATGGAACTGTATCAGCAGTATCAAGAAACATGGAGCGAGACACAGATAGATTCAAAGAGTGATGCAGAGACACAGGCAGCTATGGAGAGAAAGATAGAGATACATGGGGAATATACTGTATAGATAAAAACCTCCAATTCTACATCTGACATGATAAACTGACCGAATGTAGCCCTATGTGGAAATGAACTGTAGCGTTTGCCTTATTGTTTAGCTTACGCCTGTCATCTTCTTCTAAAATTCATATACAGTTTGGTTATATGTAGTATATATTTAATCTCAGGATGGTATGCAACAGCGGTAGGAGAAAGAACATGGCAAGTGTGCATCGGTGTAATTACATGTTCACATGTATTCTATTACTATTTTGGTTTTTGATTAAACACCACAGCCGTATACATGTATGTTGAACTTCTTTCGCGCCGTACGTAGCCAACCACCACTAATCGGAGGTGCAGGAAGGACGACAAACTAAGCACAACAAAGCACTTGCTCTCTCTGGCTTTAGCTGTCGTTCTCGGATTTTGAAGAGGGACATGCGGAGGACGACGAGGCTGTGCGGGATTGCGCCGCGTTGGGCTCGCGGGGAAAGCAATGGCGCAAGCTGCGGTGTGACACGCGCCTAGAGTGGATTTGCAAGATTCCCAGAGGTCGGGTCTCTTGAAGCGCCGACAACGTGACACTGGCATGCACACCGCACCCTTCCACATATCCACGCTGCGCTCCTTAGCTGAAACACTTTGGTTTTTAAATAATAAAGAAATTGGGTAAAAAAAAAACATTAAAAAATGTAAGTGTAAAAAAGTTAGTTTAACACGTAGGAGGCTTTCGCTACTGGTGTATTCCATAAGAGAGAGTTAGTTTAACACGTAGGAGGCTTTCGCTACTGGTGTATTCCATAAGAGAGAGTTAGTTTAACACGTAGGAGGCTTTCGCTACTGGTGTCTTCCATAATAGAGAGTTAGTTTAACACGTAGGAGGCTTTCGCTACTGGTGTATTCCATAATAGAGAGTTAGTTTAACACGTAGGAGGCTTTCGCTACTGGTGTATTCCATAATAGAGAGTTAGTTTAACACGTAGGAGGCTTTCGCTACTGGTGTATTCCATAATAGAGAGTTAGTTTAACACGTAGGAGGCTTTCGCTACTGGTGTATTCCATAATAGAGAGTTAGTTTAACACGTAGGAGGCTTTCGCTACTGGTGTATTCCATAATAGATAGTTAGTTTAACACGTAGGAGGCTTTCGCTACTGGTGTATTCCATAATAGAGAGTTAGTTTAACACGTAGGAGGCTTTCGCTACTGGTGTATTCCATAATAGATAGTTAGTTTAACACGTAGGAGGCTTTCGCTACTGGTGTATTCCATAATAGAGAGTTAGTTTAACACGTAGGAGGCTTTCGCTACTGGTGTATTCCATAATAGAGAGTTAGTTTAACACGTAGGAGGCTTTCGCTACTGGTGTATTCCATAATAGAGAGTTAGTTTAACACGTAGGAGGCTTTCGCTACTGGTGTATTCCATAATAGAGAGTTAGTTTAACACGTAGGAGGCTTTCGCTACTGGTGTATTCCATAAGAGAGAGTTCGTTTAACACGTAGGAGGCTTTTGCTACTGGTATATTCCATAATAGAGAGTTAGTTTAACACGTAGGAGGCTTTCGCTACTGGTGTATTCCATAATAGAGAGTTAGTTTAACACGTAGGCTTTTGCTACTGGTATATTCCATAATAGAGAGTTAGTTTAACACGTAGGAGGCTTTCGCTACTGGTGTATTATCCATAAGAGAGAGTTAGTTTAACACGTAGACTTTTGCTACTGGTATATTCCAATATAGAGAGTTAGTTTAACACGTAGGAGGCTTTCACTACTGGTGTATTATCCACAATAGAGGTTTTTGGGTAAGATTGCGTAAATATAAATGCGTCATTAAACTTGCCACCACCCGACATAGTCAATTAGTAAGGTTTGTCAGGTAAACAAAACATGCCAATTCGTTACTAGTTGAGCACACCAGTGTGTTGGAGAGTAAACCCACAACGTTTACCATTCGAGTCCGACGTTTCGCCGGTAATTATAAATAAAAGTGCGGGTACAGGATATACTGCAACGTATAAATGGCTATATATGGCATGCCCCAATGCAATAATGTTGCTGCAAATTTACCTTGAACATTCGAGACGACAATAAACATGCTTAAACACTTTGTCGGACAAATAATTACACATTGAGGCAGGAAATGTATTATGCTAAAATGAAGTGAATATCCACCTTATGGATGTAATGTTTAGAATATAGGAACTTAATCGCCATAGAGTAATAAACATTAGCATTAAAAGTACAGGTTACACTTAGCATTGTTCATAATTATATTGTATGAGTCCATTGTCAGTGGACAAGAGTTACAGAAAAACATAGTGTGTTTAAATTATAGCAAAATGAGTGGAGTATCAATCAGGCATAGTGACGTATGTTATGTTTTTTAGATTCCATCTATCGACAGTCCCAGACCTCATTAGAGTTTGAAAAAACATAAAACATACCATCCTCTATGCAGTCAAGGTAATGGATTACTTAACCTTCTTTGAAAACCCCTATATCACTACTACTTTTGCAGGCAGGGCATACACAACGAAATATATAAAACTGCACAAATTCAACGCTGGGCACCGATTCCCAAGCAGGATAAGTTTGGAATTGCACGAGGTAAAACTATTTGGGAACAGCAGCTAATAATCGGTTTAGGTAACAATTTTGATCACTCACACATAATTGATATGTATTTTGAATCTCTGCTTTGCAGGTTCCAAAGGAGACAAGGATGAAATCCCACGTGAGTGCAGATTTGTCTTTTTGTGACTAACGTCCTCAACTGATTATCACAATAACATATTCACGGGCATTACTGAATCCGGCTCTGTTAGTCCAAGCCAACCCCAACTGTCCCTGCCCATGTAACCGCATTATGGCTGCTTATCCTCTTCCCACTATTCACTCTCCTCCCACTGTGAGCCAATGTTTAACTTATGCAGTTGTACAAATATAACATGTGTGGAATTCTTACATTTTGGCTGGCTCTATGCAAGTGGAGACTTAGCAATCATCCAGGTTCTGACCGGACTGTTTTTTGATCGAGCTGTACAGTGTCTATTCGATGTCTTCAACCAGAAATCAATGTCCAGTATTTAGGCACACTGGGATTGTGAAAAGCGTGGACTACAACCTGTCATGGAGCGTGCTTGACGGAATGTGGAGTGGAGCATTGTACCCCATGCATAGCGAGACCACACCGCAGCGTAAATGGTTTATACCGCACCAGAGATTTCCTGCTTAAACAAAACTACGCTGATAAACATTGGTCCAGAGAGCTGATGGACTGAAAACAATATTTATTTTCTGGTGGGCAACAGGAATGTTCTCTGTGTGTATGTTACCCATGATCCACCACGATGGGACATCATGAGTATATACAAATCCTATCGCAGTGTTCCATCAGGCGTCCAGCCCCCTCCTCTCGCTCCTCTGCCCTGCTTTGCTTACAATGCTATTTTTTTTAAATGTTTCAGCCATTACCAATTATGTGCCCCCTAGTTTCCTGTTTTCCTGATTATGTTAAAACGTTCAACATATAATACATTAGTGCAACCAAAAATTGACTGCAGTTCCATAGATACTCCGTAGGTAAAATGAGAGACAGTGGTACCTCGGTATACGACCGCTTTGGAATACGTCGAATTTGGTACACGTCGTGTTTTGACGGGAAAAAAAAATGTCTTGGGATACGACGTCTTGCTTGGGATACGGCGTCTCGCTTGCTAGAACTTGTATGGGTCGGGATGAGTCACCGCGTACCCGCGTAGACCCCGTTCACGACTGAGACAAAGCGCCGCTCCTCAGTCTGCCTGTAGATCTCGTTCAGTGCACAATCCTTGCTGTAACTCTCTGTGAATTTTCACGTGGTTTTCTTGTCATTTTAACGTGAATTTTTTGCGAATTAATTCAACTCCTCTCAGAAAGCTAAAGTGTTGTTAAATTTTATTTAAATTTATTTTAATGTATTAATGCATTTATTTTATTTATGTATGCATTTTAGTAATAAGTAGTGTCTAAATTATGTTACACAACCCCATTAATGTATAACATGCCATATAAAATATAATTTCTTATACTCTGGAACGGATTATTTCCTTTGCCTTTATTTCTTATGGGAAAAATTCGTTTGGTATATTCATCAGTTTCGGTGTAAGTCCTCCTACCTTCTGGAACGAATTAACGACGTATACCGAGGTACCGCTGTATGTCCATTTAATCTGCGCCTATCGCTCGCCAGAGTATGAACACAAATATTTGTTCTTTTTCAAAAAACATACTTATGGATTCCAGTTAAATTGGGTATAAAGATAATGCATGTGATGAGATGTAAGGACATCCCCATCCAAAAAATCAAGATACAAGCGTCGCGCTGCCAACCATGCACAGGCAGTTGTGCCTCTAGGCCGAGGTAGATATTCTTGAAGGAGAGGTGAGGGTTAACTGAGACAACACAGCTGATTCGTGAAGGAAGTGTGGTTTGATTTTACTTGAGGTCCTGCTGATGGTAACTTTATACAACAATTTTTCAACCCCCCTCATGAACAATTTTAGCTGCCACTTTGCCAGGAAAAATGGGTAGTGCTCCTGTCCGCTCTGAAGGCAGCGTCCAATTCAGAGTTAGGAGCGAGGACCCCGGCTCATAGAAAAATCTGGTCAAGCATGCTCTGATCCACCCAATATCCACACAATCGAGCGTGTACACACGTGTGTGTGTGTGTTTGGTGAGCGGTAGTGTAGCGGTTAGCGCGCTGCGCTGTGAACCCGGCGACCCGAGTTCGGTTCCTGCTCACGGCCAACACCAGTGACGATTATCTGAACCGGCTCTGGGCCTCCCATAAGTCGACTCAGCCTTAAATGAGCACCTGGTGCGGTGTGTAAACATCGCCACTAGCGAGACAAAGGTGGCCGGGTGTGGTGCTGGCCACCCACTCCCTCGTGTGCCGTGCCGGCTTTCATAGGTGCTCGCTAACAGCACTTGCCCCAACAGTCTGTTCTCTTTATAAGGGGCATCTTTGTATTTGTATGTGTGTGTACAATAGCAGAACTGTTGTGCAAAGCCCTTCGATAGTGAGGAACATTGGTGGGGGTTGAGAAAGTAGCAGTACACACGCTGGGACATGTGTGTATACATTTTCATTTTTAAAGGCCAATAGGCCAACACCAAGCAATGCCCCCTCACCTTGCCACTGCTTTTTCCCCTCTGCCTGTTTCTGCAACTGCAGCAGTTACCACACAAACTCCAATGACAACTTTTACAAGTGTCGTGTCCATCTCAATCGCTGACCTAAGTGTGCCCATCCTCTCTCGCCAAACTGCTCTCATTTGCCCTGCATGTGTTCTCCAGCCATCTCAGCCCCCTCTGCTCTCGAGCAACCTCTGTTGACTTCCCCCGTAGTGGCTACCTTTTTCTTAGACTGTGGAGTGACGACGGTTCAACAATAATGGTAATAGGATTGAGTGGAACACCAACGAGAATTTAAAACTAAAACCTTCCTACTCTTTGGTTCTTTCGGTAAAGTCACGTGGGTATCAAATAAAATAAATCACGACGTTTCGAGCGCAACACAAGCGTCCATCATCAGGTGGGAAAGCTTTTCCACCTGATGATGGATGCGCCCGAAACGTCGTGATTTATTTGATTTTCTACCTACGTGACTTTACCGAAAGAACCAAAGGGTATGGATTCCTGCAGTCACGAAAGCTTCAAATCAAGATTAAAACCTTCCTGTTTAGTTGAAGCTACACTGCTCTAGTATACAATGTCTTTCTATGGTGAATCCCGAACATTGACGGCGAACATTCCTCCAGTGGTGGATAGTCCATGTTCCCATGGCAGGGCCTGATTATCCCTGAAACAACCACTGCAGAATGTCTACAAAGTAGTATTGACTCCAGTTTGACCCTCGTCCAGACTATGAACTGATATCCCTTTGATAGGAAATTAACTCGTTAAATCCTTTGAAATGTATGCATTTCATCCAACCTCTGCATCAAAACATTTATAACTTAATAATGCCCATTCATAAAACTGGACAGCTACACTGAGGTTGCAGGAAGAAAGTAATAATGCACGTATTAGAAGGGGATTCACACATGTGAAATAAATTGTCTCCAAAAGTATTCTCAGCAGCATTACAAGAGTACTTTTTTTTCTGAAATTTGGATATGGAGGAAAAATGCATAAACATAATTGGGGAAAACATTAACCATCTCTGATTTACTGATGGCAGTCATTATACGAACCAGTGGGAGTTAACTACAGGAAATGATTGAAGAACTTGATCAAGAAGGCTGCAAATGTTGCCAAAATAAAAGTCATGTACACTAAGTGGTGTCGGTTTTATTGACGACGAAAACTATCTTTTTACTGACCCTTGATTGAATTAGGAGGCAGTTAGACATATAGGAGCGACGTTCTCATCCTTTAATTTGTAGCTGGGATGTCTGGTGGTGGCGTTCTCTCTCTCTTCCGATGGAGTTTTCAAGCAAGGATTTCAGGGAGGCCGTAAAGAAGAGAGTTGGAATAATCCAAACAAGATGTGACGAAGGCATTGGTTTAGGGCATCGCAGCGAACGGGGTAAGAAAATGGATGATGCCGGATACATGAAGACAGATGGAGGCGGGAGGCCTGCCTGAAAGCAGATACACGCAGAGTGCCTTAAACATGACGATAGTTAAGATGTTAGGAATTAAGAAATTGTATTATTTCAAATGGTGTTGTCAGTATTGTACCCATTCACTCATAAGTACCAGCATCACCACTGTGAGCTGGGAAGGAGGAAAGGATTCGCCTGTCACTTTTTTAGATGAGCGTATACGACCCAAGTATATGTGGTTAATGCAGACATGATTCCTTGCAAAAGTAGATTTGAAGCTTTCGTGACTGCAGGAATTACTCTTTGGTTCTTTCGGTAAAGTCACATAGAAATTAATTAAATTAAATAATAGAATACGACGTTTCAATTGCAACACAAGCAATCATCATCAGACTCTATGTTGCATTGCATTACACTTCCTAATTTTACCAAATTAGCTTTCTACCGTGCTTGTTTATGGGTTTATTCTCTCCTTCGGCCGCTATTGGCAGGAATTCCACACAACTCCACCTCTGCCCCAACCTCCCCCTCTCTATTTAAGGCCTCGACACAGAGACGTCTTTCTGTGTGCCTATGTGTGTGTCTCTCTCTCTGCTTGTGTGTCTCCGTGTCTATGTTTTGTCTCTCTCTCCAATTTAGCAATCTTGGAAGAACGTAATCAACCTGGTGGGGTGTAGACAGTTATGTTGGCCGACTCTCTGTGTTGTATTGCATTATACAGTAAAACCTTGGATTGCGAGCATAATTCGTTCCGGAAACGTGTTTGTAATCCAAAGCACTCGTATATCAAAGCGAATTTCCCCATAAGAAATAATGGAAACTGAGATGATTCGTCCCACAACCCAAAAATATATAAAAATTATTAATACAAAATACCTTTTTAGATTTTTATTAAAATTTAATATAAAGTAATCAAATTAATTAATTACATTTAATCGTGGCTGGTGTGAGGGAGACGAGACAGAGTAGAGGAGGAGGGTTATTGTGTAAGACGACTTTCACTGTCACTAACGGAATCACTGCCATCTGTTGGCTCACTGGAATATTTTTATTTTTGTGCGACTTTAACAAGGAACCTATCCAATGACACTTGTTTTGCCTCCTTTTGAGGAGGCAAAAAGCATTGTTGCAGTACAGTTACTA